ATTTGCGAACAAAAGAGGCAATCGCTGGAATGTAGTAGAATATTAATTTTATTAATTTTCCAGTAACCTTATTACAACAGGTATTTTACAGGTTTTTTTTGTTTTAATGTTTTCTACGATTATAAATACAATTTTATTTAACAAAATCGTTCATTCATCATTAAAAACCCTTTGGCCAGTAATTACGAACAGCAAAACAAAAAATAAATTTTAATCGCTACCTCGTTACCAAAAAAAAAACAATTTTCTTTTAAATTGTACCTAAAATAGGTTGTATTTATTCTATTGATATAATAATTGTTTACTTAGATTTCCAATATAAAAACTAATATACCGAGATCCAATTTAAATTTAATAAACAACAAAGAAAAATAAAATGAACTGATTTATTATTTCATTATGCCATAAAATGAAATTCTAATATTAGAAAAATTGAAAGAAAAACGCAATACAATAAAATTATGTTTCATTGTTCATTTTCTTGTTATTACAACTCGGAACAAATTTATTTTAATGATCTTATTATTCAATATAGGAAATTTCTGGATTTGATTATACGAGGGAAACCCAATTTAAATATTGTAGGCCCTTTGTATGTATTTACCGTATACTTCGTTTATAATAGTATAGCTAGTTTTTCTATATAGGATTAAATGGAAAAAAATGATACATTTCTTCTCTATTGTGTGATTGAGAGTTGGCTGAAAGGAATGCTGTAAAGCATTCATCATTTCTACAACATCAGAAATGAATCAGTACATTTAACTTATTGATAATTCGGAAAAGTTTGAAGGGGATTGTGTATTAATCTATAGCAAAATGATTTATATTTATCACTTCACATTCTTCTCTTAGATTTAGATTAGTAGAATGAATTCAATTGAGACACATACTAAGGTGTTTCAATAGGTAGCATAAACAAATTGTAATATTTACTTGTGTTGAATTATTAATAATAAAATCATATTAGTTGAACTTATCGGAAAAGGGCTAAAACCGAGTTTTTGCAATTCCTTTATTACCGAGTCGCTCATTTATTCAGACTTTTTAATAGGTGCTTTCATTAATATCGCTAAACAAATTGAAATCAGCAATGTCTGTAGGTGACATGTCAGTTATTTTTACTGGAAAATTGAGCATGCATTTACATTTTATATGTTTGTATTTTGCATTTCCTATTTCCTGTTTTTTCTCCTTTAGCAAATTATAACAACCGTTGCTAATTGCAATGTCACAAATATCCCTGATAGTTGTTGAGCAATGTTGATTTTACATTACTGATGATGAAGTTATAATTATTTCGTGAAGTTTATTCGCACGCAAAGAGTTGTACCTACTTAATTAAATGTATATAACAGAAAATTCTAGTCAATCTTTTGCTGGAATTTTTGGTACTTTTTAATTTTCCTCCAAATATCATATCCAGTTATCTGGTATAGTTAATAATACTAATTCATAATTACTATAGTGTACCGGTTACGTTCAGTAATGTTACCCTTTTAACGTCTATATTGTGTTAAGTAATCAATTAGTGTGTGACTTAACCTATACGCAATATATGTGATTAATGAAATTAAACCTTCAAAGTCTCCTAAATTTAAGCAATCATGCGGTTTTGTCAACAATTTTGTCAAAGGCTACTTGCTTTAATTAGATAACTAACGGAGTATCTAAAAGCTCCGGGAAGAAAGTGTAGCCAATTGCAAAAATAAAAGGTCATTTGAGTTTTTACTTTTGGCGAAGCGCTTTTTAATTTACGAAAGCTTACGTAAGTTTAAAGTCTTGTTGTGAACCAGCTCTGCAGAAGGTAATTAAGGGAACGTAGAGTAGAGTAATATATCAGACTTATTAAATTCATTACCATTTATCTTTTCAGGATGCATTAAAGGTAATCCTATTATACCTATATGATATTGCAGTAATCTATAGTTATATTAACACCTTAAATTTATCTACTAGAGTTTCGATTCCAGATAATAAATTGGTTTAATTCACTATTGATTTTGTTCTAAACAAGAATCCTGGGACTTTTTATGACATAAAAACCGAGTTTTCGTAGAAAAAAAGTTTGTATATAATGAACAAGAAAATGAAACCTTTCGAGGGTAGTAAAATAAATGTTAGTTATGACTGAGCTTTGATTTTAAAGAAAGAAAATATTTTTGTTGTAATATATAATTCGATTTGACGGGTAGGAAGGTGTTTTGGGAGGACTAAAAAACCGGTATCGCAATCTTAGCAATAACGTTCTTAACCAGATATTTTCGTTTAAATCCCAGCTGTAAAAAGCGTAAGATAGAACAAAATTGTCGAGTATGAGACGTCTTCCGCAGTGTTCAAGACATTTATTTCGTATAATATCGGACAGGACATCCTACTGTAGAAAATTTTCAACTGGTTCTAAACTGCTAGTTGGAACAAACCCGAACTTTTATCTGCCATCTTCTTTATTCGAGAAACATCCTCAGTGACAATTTTCTTTTTAGAAAGAATTGGACCATAAGTTCCCGATTACATTTTTAAAGTCTTAACGACTTTTTAGAAAATCGGATTGCGTTTAGGAGAAGTGGATTATACTTCCTATTTCATATATATTTATTTCTAAGGATGCTTTGTAAAATATTACTTAATTGGTTTCTTCCACAAAAAAAGATAGGTAGGTAAATCCAAAAAGGTTGGGTTCGATATACTGTATCGAGGATTTAGATAAAAAATTAGGTGATGTAAGGTAAGGTAAAGAAACCAAAATTTCAATTTTCATTAAAATTTAACCAGGAAAATATCCTATATTTAGACATGTTCATTAAATCTAAAAAATACATATAATTGAAGTTTTTGTGTAATTTTATAATAATGAAATAAAAAATGCAAAAAGTGCGTAAAGCCGTTTTTATGCAGTATAAACTTTGTAGAACAACTTTTTAAAAGTGCTCATATACTTACATAGAATTTTAATTAGTTTTGTTAATTTTAATAATCCGCTAGAGCTGTGAGATGTAAAGCAACTTTTCTGTCTGACTCCCTGTTAAAAAAATTGGGCAAAATTATAGAAATATCCAATTTTTATACTTGTTTCTAATCAAAATTTATCTCTAACCGCTACCGAAAAAATCCAATTTTGAACACAATTTTGCAGTGAAATAAACTGATATTTGTAAAATCTATTAAGATTTAATCAGATTTGTAAACTTCTGGACTCCTGCCAAAACCATATCTATAATGCACCTACCTGTGTGTTGTATAACTACAATTAAATTCGTCTATTCGTGAACCTCCTATATCCGGGTTGAACAATTTCACGATAATCTTCGTTCCCTGCGGTATGCTTTGAAACATTGTGTGTGTATGTGAGAGCCTATGGTCAACCGTAGATAGGTTGTACAATATTTAGAGAAATACATTGCTGGAAAACAGCCAACGCTGCTAAACAGAATGTCTTGCATCACGCTAGCGCTTTCTGTTATTGTGTTATTTTGTTATCTACATTAATTTGTCGTTTAAAAATAAATTGCATATTATCTCGTTTATTTCTATCGATTTTTCGTTGATTCCGGCAACATTGAATAGACAATTTGATTCGATATTAGATAGAATTACAGATAAATTGGATCGGAACCCAAAAAATTCCCGTTCGCAACCCATATCAAATCCCCTGATTAATGTTTCTTTATCCATCACCTCGAGCACGTGGTTTACTACCTAAAGTAGAAGGTTAGAAAAATACTGAACTAAGTTTGTTGCTGTAATTCAAGGAAATCTTTCAAGATTAATTTCAGTCAGAAGGGCATTAAGATAATTAAATACTTAAAATACTTGAAATAATTATAGATAATAAATAACGTTTTAACAAAATATATTTGAGAGAAGAATACAATGAAAGAAGAAGCTAATTTGCTTTAAAACTCTTTTGCATTACTTTTTAATTTCCTACTAATATTTCCAGTTAGTCCTTTTCATTTTACCGATTTATGTGATTTTTATTTTTAGAAACATTTTTAAATGTAATGTATTATCTATCCAATATATCGTTGATGCTAATTTGTAAAGAGCTATGAAGGTAATGCCAATATTTCAATGGAAAACTCGTTAATTCCTTTTGAATTGTTTTGCAATTTTCAAAGCTACAAATCACGTTAAACCCAAAAATTGGACTATTCTATTGACTGAATATTTTAACGTTGTTTTTTTCATTCTATTTTAGGTAAATGATTTTATTGCCACTCGAGCGAAATTAAAAAATAATAGTTTGTATAAATATAGCATTTTACTTAATACATAAATTATTCGCGGAGTAATATCATTTTAATAACGAATATTTTCTACCAAGTTTATTGTTAAATCGTTGCTTTTTCTAAATTAACAATATAAAAAAATAGAATCCATATACTTTATACATACATAAATTAAAGGGTTTAGTTTATTAAAAAGAATTAGTTGTTGATTGCATATTTATTTATTAATATTTATTGTACATTGATTTATTATTATTGTAATTTTGAATGAATTTTTAATTTCCTATGCCATATGTGTAGATTAAATAAACCAACAAATACAATAAAATAAATGAAAATGTGGAGTTTTTTTGTTATCTTTCGTGAAAATCAAAATATTATGAATATTACTAAACTGTTTTTCCCGTAAATTATTGAAAGCGTTTAAACAGTTTTGTTAATTTTTAAAATAATCGAAAGACCACAAAATTGCTTATTGAATAATATATTAGTTAAATAATAAGTAATTTAGATTTTGTTTAATGCAATTATTTTATTTTTAAATTGATCGAAAAGTGCTTTCCAATCCTACATTTTTATAGAATAAAAAAGTGTTGATGATCTGAGCTTTTTTCCAACAGAAAATCTCAAAGAAAAGAGCGCTATTACTTTAACACAGAGGTAATTATTTACAATTTAGATTCGCAAAATCTCGTCGAAAGAGAAATTTATTGAGAAAATAAATCGGTTTTTGTTACGTAAAAAGTAAAAAATGAAAAGTTAGCTTACCATAAGTATACTGTTCATTTTCCTTAATGACTTTTTCGGCGTTTTTTCTGGCAATGTAGAACCACTCGGATGTGTTTCCCAGATAATCGTATTCGACTGATAGATCCTTAACCAAGATGTTTCCCTCGGGCAGACGATAAGCGTAAGGACAAAAAAGCACATGATCTTTGTACTGATGTTCGTCGTAACAGTTCCCCGCAGCGAATATAACGTCATTGAATTCTACTAAGGAATAAACCATCGAATAAAGTAAATCTTCGGACGTAAGTGCATTTCTGTCGGCATATTTCCATATTCGAGTCAGCATGTTGGCTCTATTAACGCAAATATCAGCTTCAACTCTAAACCGTTCTTGAGCATATCTGTCTACCACTCCTTCGCCTAGGTTTAGATCGGTTCCCGCTGTGCAATTCTCTCCAAGTAGATGTTGAGATTCAACGATCCGCAGGAAGCGAGTTACAATGTCTGCTTGACCGCCACTCTCAGTTCTTCTCCATGATTTTTCGCCGGAATTATACTCTCTAAACGTATTTATATCGTTTGCATTTGCGAACATTTCCGAGGCAGTTTCATTTTCATCGCTATCAACTTTATTGAAAATACGTTTCTCTCCCATGTATAAGACAGTTTTGTCAATATGTTGCCAGCTATTATTTGAATGTATGACTGAATTCGTATTTACTTTTATATTTATGTTTCCTTCTGACTTTGTTCGGTTCGATTTCTTGATACTTTTGTGAGCATCTGGACTTTCAGAAGACAACTTTATAATAATTTGCTCATCGGTTATTGTTAAAGTCGAATTATCATACATTGAATCGGTCGATTCTGTCACAAATTTATTTACATTAGCTACATTTTCAAAATCGGAGGAAAACTTTTGAAGTTTCAAAAAATGGTTACCATGTCGCCGGTTCCTTATTAATCTCGCTCTTCTGTGCCTGATTTGCAGATCGCTGGGAAATATCTCTTCAGTTAAAACATTTATTAGTAACAATAATAATATCACATATTTTAAATTCAGGTTTATACGAAACATCGTTAAAATTGATTATTGACAACACATATATACATTTAATAACAGATAAACACCGATTTTCTACGAATATTTCAAGTTTACAGCTGTTTTAGAAAGTTCATAATGTTGGGAAAGTTTCGAGGAGCACGGAAAACGCGCGCGGTTTGGTGGTTGAACGAAGCATGAAGCGTGTACTGCCTACGCCAAGGGTTGGTGGAAAACTGAAAACTGACTCCGCTCAGCTCGGGGTGAATGTTGTCAGTTAGAGAATCCAGATGCGAGCTGGGATACAAAAGCGCGCCACCTAGTCATAAGATGCTGGCCAGCGCAAGCGTTCTTTACACTTTTCACTCCAACATGTATATTATTCACGTATTTTTCGAAATATTTTCAAAACATACACCCTCTACGCAATATATTTCTTTGTCGAATCTTGCGATACGCATCGTGCGTACCTGTTGCTTACTATCTTTTAAATAGGATCTTGAAATATTACCATCATTCTTATAATGTACCTACTTATTCGTTATATACTACATTTTTATATACTTATCTATCAGTTACCATATTATTCTATATACATATATACTGTAAGTAACAAAAATATTCATAAAGAATTACTTGACACACATAGGTACATTTTAGAATTCTCTTTATGATGTACTTTATTTAGGCTATGCCTTCCGGACAATTTATCCAGTAACGTACCTTGAAAGGGCACTGTTCTGAACAGTTAATAGTCATCTCCTTTTTTTTGTTTCCAAGTAATTAGTGTTCTATGCAGATAATAAATTTTTATTGCTCTACGGAAGGTTACAAAAAATGCTATATGAAGCACCATGTTCATCCTGAATAATTACACACTCAACCTTTGACTATTATCACTGTATTTAAATGTCTGTAAACCAAACCTGTTAATGCTCTTCAGAAATAATATTCATTTTTCAAATGTAGATAAATCTATAAAATTGATAAAATAATTTGAAGATGCCACTTACATTTCACTTGCATGAAGACCAAAAGGAACTAAAAAATAAGTATTACGCAACCACTGTAAAATTTGATATTTAAATATTGCAAATTTGCAGAGTATTTTTATGAAATACATGTCGAAAATACCAGCAATATATTATACTTGTATCCTGCATTATACTCAATCCCGCATGTTAACGAACAGCACTTAACAGTAGTGAAGATCATTAAAAATAATCCGCATGAATCGTTAAACGTGCGTCTAGCAAGAAATTCCCAAGCCCTGCTTGTTTCTGGCCTAAATAATCATTGTTTAGAAGTTTCTACGATTTTCCGCCTTTTAGTATAATTACGCTCATCGCAGTAATCAGGATTCCTGCTTCCCTTTTTCTCCGATAGCAATCTGTCATAGATATCTCTAAGAACTCTGATAGAGAACATATCACGAAACAATTATACACGTATTTACACTTTAATCAAGATCGTGAAATTACATCACTGTAAATTATTAGATGTATAGGTATTTTAATTTATACACTACATCCAATGTATTAAGTTTAATAAATTCTATTTTAAGGTTTAAATACGAGAAATGTTACAAATTATTCACCGTGGAATTTACCGTTTCAATTCAATAGATAAAATTATATTTTGTAAAATTTATTTAATGTTATAGATACTTCGATATTCTCAAGATGTAATTTATATCCTTTTGGGATTGCATTTAGCTGCTGAAAGTAGTAACAGGAAGTAAGTAACCTTATTAATATTCTAAACGAGGTTTTAAACGGGGTAAAACTATCCAGGCCAAAAAATACCATCAACATAAAATAAGCTAATCAAAATAACATTAGATACATGAATTTTACAAAGAACAGAAGCTCCGTAACGTTTCTAAAAAAACGCGATAGGTATGGGTTATGGTGAAAAGGATATAGATCACATTGTTTTTATGTGTACAATAGCCGTATTTTGTTTGATATTCCTACGTTTCATTTTTACCCTTGTCAAAGAAAAATAGTTGGGTGAAGTTGAGTTAGTATCGGACAAATTGATGGAGAAGTAAACCTTCCAATCACTCTGTCCCAATAGGGTTCATTAATTTTAATTAATGTGCTATGTACGTACAGAGTATGAAAAAATTTTGTTCAAGAGTTTTTATGTTATAAAATAAAGTACTTTATTCTTAATAATGTGGTATATTGTTTTCTATTGACTTAAATCCTTGGTATGTAATGAATTCTGTTAAGTTCATAGATATAATAAAATCGCAACGAAGAACAGACGCAAATATTCAGAATATTTTCAATGCCTCTCAAACAACAAAATATTGCCCCAGAAATAATACTTATACCTACTGATTTTGCCCGCGTCGTTATTTGTTCGAACTTTTTCACGCGTGATTGATGCTAGCACATTCGGTTTTATCCCTACGTTGTTGGATGGTACGGTTAAAACTGAATCGAACCACAAACGTGTCAGACAGCCTTTAAGAATGTGTAAATTGAATTTTTTTCGAATCTACCGTACAGAAAGGCATAAAAAAATAGATCAAAAATTTCTGTTATCGAATAAAAGACTTACATGAATGGCATGAATGCTAATAATAAAAATGTAGATATATTTTTTGTTATTTGTCATGTACTTAAGTGAGATTTTGGAGAGATTCACATCTATTTATGCTTTAAAAATTTTTCACTTATGAGATACTTAAAAACTAATATTAAATTCTTCCCATTTTTGAAATTTAATGAATTTTTAAGAAAGTTATTAATTTTCTTTTTAAAAATAAAATCTACCTACATCCTATATATTTCTATTATTTCGTAGCATTTTATACTTCCTAGATACGGGAACGATAAAATTAATATGAAATTCTTTCATTTATGTTCATCTAATTGCAAAATTCCATAGGAGCTACAAAAGTCATTAATTTCATACTTTGTATTTAGTAAATGTTAGTTTTTTTTTAATATTGGCAATCCAATTTAATTACTCGATGTACTTACATATCTACCTAATTATGCATACGATTATCTTAAATGCATTTCGAATTGTTTCATAAGTCAGTAGATAAACTCTCATTCAGCAAGACAAACATACTCGACTGTAGGTGTCTTAAGGACGTTAAGCTCACCTAATTTATTCCAACTCGATTAAAATTCCTAAAATGATGCGTTAATAAGAACACTCAGGTCTAAGAGATTTAATAAATTAATTAGAAGGAGCTAAATATCGGAAAACCCTCAAATGTCTTGTCTTTGTTCCTTTCATTTTTTTGGAGCTTCGATTATACTTCCACGGAGAAAAGAGTGGAAAATTTAATTTTTAACGTACCTAATATTTGCCCGGAATATTGAGTTAATATAATTTTTGAAAATTAAATCGTGATTAGTTAATATATTATCTAATTAATTTACAGCTTATAAGTTTATTAATAAATTTGGTGGTAATAATTTTATCCACCATTTATGAACGGATTTTTAATTTTGGTGGATACTAAAGTTTTATCACCATAATTTTAGTGCAATGAATTTTGACTACAAACTGAGAAACGAAATCTTAATGGTTTTGAAACAATTTGCTGCACGTGCAACTTTTACGTGTTCGGAAATTTATTTAGGCAGATTATGCTCAAAATACAAACAAACTCCAATCGAGAGAAAATTATTAATAGGAATTTCAATCCACTGAATCTGCGAAATCTAGTAGTTGAAATATAAAATACAACCGATATAACGATAGAACAAATATTTGACTTTTAAACTAACCATTCAGTATTCTTCGCTTCGATGAATACCACAAGATCTGCTTTGAAAACTCCGATGTACAACCAATAAATATGTCCTTTATGTTTCACGGAGTTTTTTAACTTCGAAGTATGAATAAGTCAATTTTAAGATTACCAATCAAAAGCATAGCTTCGGTATGAAGCGCAGGAGACAGAGAAGATGCTAATTTTTTACTTTTCTCATTTTATACTTTCCGCTTACGATAAAAATCTGAGAGCAATAAAGAACTACACAAAGATGTGATTGAAATAGTTGAAACAAGCTGATTGTGTCTTGAGTTGGAAGTAGATTGCAGCCGTACGCTTCGTAATTTTCAAAGGGCTTTTGTCTTAACTTTCAATTAGCATTTTTTCAATTCGGTCGGGGAATAATCTTTTAAAATCGAGATTAAATTAATACCTAATGAGTTTTAGCTTGAATGGTGACGAAAGTCTTGGCAGTAAATATGCGCGATCGTAATGTAGTCAGTTTACTTGAATTTTAACAGTATTAAGAAGGTATTCTTTTCGCATTCTTTTCATTTTAAATCTTTTTCTATTCATATGAATGTAAGTTGGCAAGAACGTTTCTGTAATATATTGATTGCTGTTATCTAACATACACTTCAAATAAAAAATCATTTTTCTGGGAGATAAAACAAATAGAAAACAATAAATTATAAAAGTCGGTGAGTTTAAACCAACAGAAGCTTCCATTAAAAATAATGACCACAAAAACATTCTCATAAAAATGTAACGAAACTGCCGTTTGGAGACTATTTTAAAGTGGATGTCGTGTTCCATGCTAGCGTATGTGAACGCCTTAACTTTTACTCAAGCCCGCTTATAACCATTAACTTCAATAATTTTATACATAAATATTTCGAGTTGAAGGTTAATGCAAATTTTTATAGTTTTGCATTACATGCCATTTACACTCACCACGCAAGTTTTAATAGTACTATTTCGTAAAAATCATCAATATCAGGGCCGTCAGCCGTGCATTTCTTTATTGTCCCATAAGGAAATTAAAATTCATCACTTTGCTGAAACATAAATATAACTGTTACAATCCTTTCCTCTATGCACGTTGTGTTTATATTGTTAAGTTGTATTAAAATATTTTTCATACATACATTTCACTTTCTCTATGCGAGTGGAATACGAATTAGATTGCAAGCAATTTGAACAGTGCACCAGCCTCCGTCGGATTTGACGTGCCATTTCTATTATCACTAATGAAACACGCGGGACGCTAATATGGACAACGCCGAAATTGTTTCATGAAACTTTGAAAATAATAGGTATATATTTCTCATACTATGCATCTGCGGCTAAAATGCGTCAAAAGTTTAAACGTTAAGGTAACATACGATCTGATCCTATTTCTTACCTCAATGCCTTCATCTGCATTTACTACACATGCAAATCTAAAACAGATTTGTAAATTTCAGTAGTTCTACACACATTATTTGTGTTATAAGTGCATATAAATTTATGTTACATAGGTATCACTAAACCAATGAATTATTTTTCATTTTAATAATTATTATTTTGTTAATTATTGGTTTAATGTTAACCCGTAATAATATCTATCTATGCAAAATTTATAGAGGCACTCGCCCATATAATAATTTTGGCATCAATTTTTGCAGACAAAGCTTGCACCACATAAAATTTTGATTTATTTTAAAACGACTGTCATATCTTACATTAGTGAAAATAAATTTTTCATAGTTTTACATTTTCTTTTGCATTAGGTAAGGTATATCAAAATGTTTTATGGCATGTTCATAGCTTTTCAAGTTCTAAGCGTGCTTTAAAGTATGAACGCAGCACAAATCTTGATTCAGTTCAACTAGTTCATAACGAAATGTAACAAATGGAGCTAAGGCACGTTTTTCCTTTGGCTAAAGACCGAAAATATTACCGTAGAAACTGCCGTGCATGTCTGAATCTTTTGTTTTATTTTTCTGATGTGAGGACCGACTCCGTATGAGAAATATTTCGGACTTATACGTCAGTTTCGTTTCGTTTGCTTAGAAGGTATAGACAAATGGATGGATAAGATACGTTGAGAATACTAATGTCTGAATAGATTTGTCTTGTTGGATTTGCATCAAATCGTATTTATAGGACCTACCGACACTTCTGAGTACAGCGAAGAATAAAGGAGTTGACAGCTATAAGCGCAGGATACCGAAAGTAATTGCTGGAGCTGGTGGATTTATTTTTTTGCGCGAATCATTTTTGCCTGTATATATTTAGCTACGAAATCATCGAAGTGAATAAAGACGTTATGAAGAAGGTTAATCTGCGATTGCTTTTTTACTTTTATTCGAAATGTAATAAATGTAATTCGCAATAGCACTCCACAAAATTTCATATATGGCGAAAATTTTTAACCGGGGAAACGAGCATCAACCGCAATGAGACGCGGTTTTATTACATCATTTAAAACGAACGTGTTCGCCGTAGAATTAGTGATCTCGATCGATCTAGCCATAAATTTGAGATTGTTCAAATTCTATTGGAACCGATTGGAAAAGACATTTTGAAAGGTAATAAATTTTTAGTGTTCGAATTAATAAAATTTTAATTGGATACATTTATTTCAAATACGGTTTTTTTATACTCGTTGGCAATTGTTCTGAATAAATTATTACTGTATAATGGTCAATGCTTGTTCAGTAAAATGTCAATACTAAGTACCTACTCCTCCTTGGCAACAAGAATATAATCGGAATGAGAACAAAGCCTTTCCAATTGGTATAATGTTCGACATCAACAGAACATAATAGGTATAATTCCAATGTATACACTCTGTTAGATACCGTAGGTAGGTACATTCGGTTTTCAAGTGTTTACTAACGATTTCGCATATATCAAAGCCTATCAAACATACCCTATATATAAAATTTCAATTTACCGAACTACCAAATTTTATGACGTAATAAGAAAAATTAAGAAAATATTCTTTTAGGATAGAACCATGTTTTTAAATCTTCTGTAAATAAAGCAACCTAACAGTAACTAACAATGTCCCAGTAGGTATTAAACTACCTCAGTACATGAATTGCAAGCTTCGTCATAAATAATTAAGTGCAATTATGTCCAATTATCCGACCTAATGGAACCACTTGAGGTCAGTGAGATATAATTTTCACAATTCAATATGACAATAAATAGTACAGCTACATATAGGTACATACTTATTCCCTAATAGTTGTCCATACCAATGTTTTAAAAATTAATAATGAGAAATTAATAAAAATAAAATTAAATATAAATAGCATTAATTTACATCCCTTGATTCTATGTCATTAAATATTTTTGTGAATAATAAAATAAGCAATATAGGATTATACTATATAATAACTTTTTACTGCTTAAGGTGTATCTATATTAAACGATCCGAGAGAAATCTAAATGAGAATATTAATACTGACGAATGGATTCTTCGTTCTCTCTAAGTCTGTTCTACTCTAAATGACGAGAGTTTTTAATATAAAAATTAATTTATGTTGAAATAAATATAAACAGGGCTTTTGGTAAAAACCCTCGGAGAACAAACAACATAATCGTTTCTAAAAATATGCGATTTCACGTTTCGAAGAGGAACAATATCAAACGAAAAATTTCGTAATTAATGGACTTTCACGTAATGTGCAAAAAAACTTTCACACAATGAGCAAAATTAACATCGGTGGATTAAATTGCTTTCAATGACAATTAAGGAATTTATTGTGCTTAATGCTTCTCACAATTAAAAGTACATCCAAAAACTTTTTATATTTGATTTTCGATTGTTGTAATGGAAGATTTACAAAAAATTTAAGTTAAGCAGGTGTCTTGAAATTCTATCTTCTTAGGCTGTAGAATCAAGTACTTACTAATTAGATTTACTTCACTTAGTATTGATTACAAAATTGTAATTACACTAATAAAATAACCCTCTTGTAAAAGATCAATAATCAAATAATGCAAAAAATTACTTTACAATAGGTGGATAAACAACGAGTAAATTAAATTAACAAAATACCCAATAGCTACCCGGATTGAATATCTACTGTGTAGATTGTGGAATATATGTAAGTTAGAACTGTTTTGCCCTGTTTGAGTCAATTGTTTTTATGCCTGCCGCAACGTGGTTTCTCTGAATTTAATGTCCTAATGGATCCCGGGGTGAAAAGAGAATGACCTTGTTGTGATTTTCGTTGTGTCTTCTTCTTGTCATTTCGTTAGGCAGGTTAGCTATTCCGTTAGATTAGCGTTTTTAGGACAGTGGCTCAAGAGATAATGCTGTGCACACACCAAACCCAAATCCCAGTTAACATATTTTACTTTTTTTTAGTTATAGCATGCCTAGGTAATCCTTTATAGCACAGAAGCGAAAAAATTAAATCTAACTAATTTTTTTTGTTGAAGATAAATTAATAAAAGGCTATAATTGTGTGAATCAAAATTAATGTCAATGGAGAAAATTATACCAGCTATAGTGACGTTTAATTGTTTTATTAAATGAACCTTTATTGATCTTCATTCTACAGTGTCTACTATTGCTGCCGATATATCAACGCTATTTTCCATGCTGTGTAATTGAGTTATCTTTGCTTATGGTCTGAATTTTTTCTGCATAATTAAAGAGCGAAAAAAAGTTATTTTATCACTTTAGCTTTTACGCATTTTCAATGTCTTTTGGGAGATTAAAGGGATAGAGAGTTGATCAATTTATTCTTTCATCCGCCGTTGAATTTTATTCTCTAGCCTTGAATCCCTTTACATTGAAATTTATTTGCTTTAAAATAATTCGTTCCACGAAAGAAAGTAAGAAAGTGTAAACTGATGTTTTCCTTATACAGTCAGCTATACAGAGAATTTGAATATAATGAGGATTTATTATCTTGTTATTTAATTAATACGTTAATATATTTTTCCACATACTTTTCAACTAGGTACAGCTGAAAATAGAAGTTATGTACTTTTAATTCGATTAATTCAGATATTTAATTTAAATTATTTGTCTCTCTACATACCAAATGATAGCTTCAGAGGAAATGGAACAATTAGACATAAAGCCCTTGTTGGTAATTTGCTTGACCTTCCTTAATCTAATATTCTCCGAAACGCAATATGATCAGCTAAAATTTAATGAACCTTATAGCACCCTGTACATGGTAAATACACGCATTTTACCATTTACAAATTTAACAACCTTAATTTAAATTGAACTTAGCATTATTGTTACTGAGACAATTATTTTTATGTAAGAGTCTGTAAAATTTTTACTTCCATTCTTTCAGCTCTTTCTGTACGAGTCTGATTTATTATTTTTTTATTCATTCTGGTGGAATTAATAAAGAAATCGTTCCATTTCATTTAATGGTGTTAAATGAACGACGGCTATGGTCTAATAAATAAAAAAATGACTTCAACCATTCGTGAGTTATCCAACCATTTTTTCAAAGACCTATATTCTGACAAAATGGTTTTTCAGATCGAGAACACCACTCAATTCGTTATTAACAGCTTATGCCTCAGTGCATTTTCTTATAGCAATTTCACTGAGCATCAAAATTAGTTAGGTTTTTCGATAGGATAATTGGTTCCTTTGGATTGTAAATAGATTAACAACAAAGAAAGGATACACTAGAACAACATCAATTAGATAAGCAAACATGAATGGGGACTTTTTACATGTAACTAAAAAATATCACAAACGGGATAAAAAGTTGCTATAAAAATTAAAATCGAAGCAAAAGTTTAACCAAAATAAGTCAATTGTCATTAAATAAGCTGATAAGGATAAATAAACTAACAACAAAAATAACTTGAACTAGACTCCGTAGCCGTAGCCCTAACATTAGGAAACAATCACATACTTGTAATAAGAGTTGCCTACATTCAAGTAGTTTTTATTTTTTTCAAATCACTACAGTTTAAAAGAATCTGAAATTCTATACTTATAGATCTTTCTTAATTAAGAGGATTAAATTATTAATGTTAAATCGTTACAAAATTCTGCATTAAAATGATAAATATTTTGGAATTAAAAATAGATGTCAGTGCAATAGCAAAATGACTGTATAGGCAACCACCATTACATGATATGATTCTTGCAAATTTACAAATAGTTGTTATTTTTAAATATTTAGATGATAAGGTGAATTAGTTGTTGATTAGTAAGATAAAACGCCACAAGACGTTATATAAAATCATTAGAGTCAGTATTAAGAAATACTTAGAAGCTGCAATGTATTGTATTTGAATTTACCGCGATATAAATACGCATCTTCCATTGGTAAGATTCAAGCCTATAAGAGTGAGGTAAGAGAAAGTCGACCAGTTCAAAGAACTGTCATGATAAACCAATAAAATATGTGTGAATTTTGTTGACTATCTATACATCACGTACTTCTTTCCTTTTGACAAAACAAGTATGGTTGAATTTAGATTTGTCGGATTGTCGGGTTAACCTAAAAATGGAACTTTTTTCAACTGGAACCGAGTACTGTTCGAATAACGCGATGATAGTGAAGTGAAGTGAAAACTATTACCCAATCTGTGAGTGCATCTGAAAACCTTTAGTGATATAAATTAAATTTTTCCTGTGAAAATCAACATATTAACCATCTTTGTTGTATACTATTCATACAATCGATAGCTGGTGGGGGTAGTAGGTACCTACATGTAGTTAAAATGGGTTTACTTTTGCGAGTTCTCGAAATAAAAAAATAGTTTGAAGTAATCAAAAATAGAGGTAAATTAGTTTTCCTTCCATCGCTAAGCAGAAATTAATACAAAGTGATTTGATTTCAAGTGTAGTTTGATCCTCATTTTATTCCAAATACACGGAATTATCAGGTAATAAAACATCATTCTCGAAAGTAACTTTTACGATATCTGTGACTTACCCATTTTGTCAGCTATAATTTATATTAAAATGTGTACTTGCTAAAACTTTGGATGGAAACTTGGTCGAATATTGTATAGAAATTCCAGATGTTATGATGTAAATTTGTCAAAATGACTACTAAAGTTGAGAAACAATTAAATGGAAACAATGGTATAAAAAGCCACCCAGGAAGTTCAAAAAGTTCTCCAGTTAAATCAAATGATCACTACTCCCAGTACAAGACACTTTCCACAAGACCAGTAGAAGACACTTTTCAATTTGATGTTCCTCAAGAAGCCCCAGTATTTTATCCCACAGAAGAAGAATTTCAAGACCCATTAGCATACATTGCAAAAATACGACCAATCGCAGAAAATACGGGAATATGTAAAATAAAACCACCATCAGTAAGTATTTATTTTTATCCTACAAAAAGTGCTAGTGATAAAGTATTTATTTTAATTCTGAATGACATAGCAGACATGTTCTTTTAATTACATCCTACCTAAACTTGAGTAGACTCCATTTTTCTATAATGCACATCTACACAAATAGAAGCAAAAATACCTAAAATTTACCTAGGGACTAAACTAAAACCATATTTTTAAACATCTATCTGAATAATTTTTAGTACATCACTTATTTAATTCATAAAAAAATATTGTCCTGCACTGTGAACCTATTATTAATTATTCATTTGAATGCTTTACGAGCTAATTTTATTTTTAATTTTACTTAAATTCTATAGTGGATTTTAAACATTAATTTTGCTTGATTATTGTGCAACACGGTAACTAAGCACTTAACAAATAATTTGCATACTTTTTTATCAATTCAGATGGCATTCTAAAGGCACAAACAATTTACTAATAGAGAATTGATATAGTTATCAAAATTTGTAGTATTTTTCATTTTAATTCCAAATTCAGGGTTACTTAACTACATTATGCCCTTTATAAATTAAATAATAATGTCGTACAAATAAGTTCTAAAGGCATTTTAGGCCTCACATAAATTGTAATCGAATTACAGTGATTTTCATACATGAAATTTAAAGATATAGATTTCAAATTAGCCACTCCTTTTAAAACCTTTTGGGTCAATATCCTTGTACTTATTTTAGATTAGCTTCAACTGTTAGAGGCTCATTATATTACATCTCATCTTTCTTAACTTTGTCTCACGAAACTATAGTCGAATACATGATAAACTTTAAATTTACTGAACATATATAAAAATAATCATTTGCTTGCAGCACTGGCAACCACCGTTCGCAGTAGATGTAGACAAATTGAGGTTTACTCCTAGAATTCAGCGACTTAATGAATTAGAAGTAAGTTTTGTGATTTTTGGTACGATGCCATTCTAACAAGGCTTCTTTTTTAGGCGAAAACACGCGTAAAACTTAATTTCCTAGATCAAATAGCTAAATTTTGGGAACTGCAAGGTTCATCGCTTAAGATACCGATGGTAGAACGAAGAGCCCTAGACTTATACACGCTACATAGAGTTGTACAGATCGAAGGTACAAGTTTATCGAACGTTAGTAGTTAAATGACATTATAATGTATTGTTGTAGGCGGATTCGAAAACGTTACTAAAGAGCGAAAATGGTCGAAGATATCACAAAGAATGGGTTACCAAGTCGGCAAAAGTATTGGAACAATACTCAAAACGCACTACGAAAGGCTTCTTTTCCCATTCGATGTTTTCAAGGCTGGAAAAACCGTTGACGTGGTATTTATTCGATTAATTTTGTGAATAATAATGTATTCAAATCAAACTCATTCTAGAAATTGGAGGAACATTCTGACGACATCGAAAAGGCAGACAAAGATTACAAGCCTCATGGAATTGTGAGTCGCATGCAGATTAAACCACCACCCGAGAAAAACGCGAGGAGATCCAAAAGATTTGATAACAATGATGACAGTAAGACTGAAGTACGTAAACAACGATAACAACAACTGAATTCCAATTAACACGACTCATACGTTTCAGAATTTAGCACTTAAGATTAAAGAGGAGAAATCGGAAGACGAAGAGGGCGGTAATAAAGAATTGAGACGCCTTCAATTTTACGGAGCCGGTCCCAAAATGGCTGGATACGACGAAAAGAAAGAGCCCAAGCCCCGAAATAAAGCAGTGAAATACGATTTTGATCCGGTATGTTCAAATTATACCGCATTGAACGTTGTAGAGGTAATTTTATTTATTCGGAATATAAAAAAAATCTGTATTTTGGGAATAGCATCCTAAGGTAGGGAGAACCTTAATGGTGTAAAATCGATATAATTTTTAAATTGGTTCAACCTCAGTAATAAGCAACAACGCGTGTACTAGCATAACATTCGCAATACACTATGCTCAGCATATTTTACAAGAGATAGAGCAACGGTTCAACGGTGAAAAATTGCACTATATTTTCCTCTATCTTTCATAATTTCTAAGATTAACATGTTGTTTATCCACTTCTGGAACACTATACATTGAAAGATTGTTAATTACAATGTAATTAAATTCCAGCTAGCGAAGTACGTTTGCCACAATTGCAACCGCGGCGACGCAGAGGAATACATGCTGCTTTGCGACGGTTGCGACGACAGTTACCACACGTTCTGCCTGATGCCGCCCCTGTCCGAGATACCCAAAGGCGACTGGAGGTGTCCGAAATGCGTGGCCGAAGAGGTTTCCAAGCCGATGGAGGCTTTCGGATTCGAGCAAGCCCAAAGGGAGTACACGCTTCAGCAGTTCGGCGAGATGGCAGATCAGTTCAAATCCGAGTACTTCAACATGCCGGTTCATGTGAGTGTATAACTATAGCTTTATTCGTTCGTCTTTCTGTTATAAAGCGTACTTTAGATGGTGCCTACTAGTACAGTGGAACGGGAGTTTTGGAGAATCGTGTCTTCGATCGATGAAGACGTTACTGTTGAATACGGAGCGGATTTGCATACGATGGATCATGGTTCCGGTTTTCCTACGAAATCTTCAAGTAACCTTTTCCCGGGCGATAAGGAGTACGCGGAATCGAGTTGGAATTTAAATAACTTGCCCGTGCTGGAGGGTTCTGTATTGGGCTATATTAACGCCGACATATCAGGAATGAAGGTAAGTAACCTTGTACTTTACATGTCTATTTTCTTTCAATATATTACTAAATTCTGTTAGGTACCTTGGATGTATGTCGGTATGTGTTTCGCAACTTTCTGTTGGCACAATGAGGATCACTGGAGTTACTCTATCAATTATTTGCATTGGGGAGAAGCTAAAACTTGGTACGGGGTACCGGGTAGCAAAGCTGAATCCTTTGAAGCGACCATGAAATCAGCCGCTCCGGAATTGTTCCATTCCCAACCGGACCTTTTGCATCAGTTAGTCACAATTATGAATCCGAACATTCTGATGAATGCCGGGGTTCCTGTGTATAGAACAGATCAACATGCTGGTGAATTTGTTATTACCTTTCCTCGGGCTTATCATGCTGGATTCAACCAAGGGTTAGTAATAGGTTCATACATAAATTGTATGTACTAAATTTATTATTTTTTAGTTATAATTTTGCTGAAGCTGTGAATTTTGCTCCGGCGGATTGGTTAAGAATGGGCCGTGAATGCGTATTGCATTACTCGCATTTGAGACGTTTCTGTGTATTTTCACACGATGAATTAGTTTGCAAGATGGCCCTGGATCCGGAAAAGCTGGATCTTACAATAGCTGCAGCTACTTATCAAGATATGTTAGTTATGGTAGACACCGAAAAGCGGCTAAGGAAAACCTTATTAGATTGGGTAAGTAATTGTATTTATTGGTTTCATTGAAAAATATAGTAACAATCGTTTCTGTAGGGTGTTACTAACGCAGAAAGGGAAGCCTTCGAATTGCTCCCGGATGATGAAAGGCAGTGTGAAGTATGCAAAACCACATGTTTCCTATCAGCCATGACTTGCAAATGCACTACCGACATTTTAGTTTGCTTACGACATTATAAAAATCTATGTGAATGTCCTCCACAAAATCGAACTTTGAGATACAGGTACACGTTAGACGAACTCCCTGTAATGCTGAAAGCTTTGAAGCTCAAAGCCGAATCCTTCGATCATTGGGTTGCCAGGGTTAAAGACGCTTTGGATCCAAAGACGCCGAAAAACTTGAACTTATCAGATTTAAAGGCGCTGTTAAGTGAAGCTGATGGTAAGAAATTTCCAAAGTGTGATTTATTACAAACACTAACAAGCGCTGTGGAAGACGCTGAGAAATGTGCAAGCGTCATACATCAGCTAGACCTGAACAAAATGCGTACGAGAACAAGAAATTCAAATGATACCAAATATAAACTCACAGTGGAAGAACTAACACTATTCTGTGAAGAAATCGACAGTTTAGCTTGCATTTTAGAAGAGGCGAAAAGTATTAGAGAGCTATTGCAGCAAACTAGAAAATTTGAAGAAAAAAGCGCCGAACTGTTGGCTTCCAACCTGGTAGGTTGTTCAATTGCTGATTTAGAATCCTGCAATTCCCACGGAAGTGGACTGTGCATAGAGCTCCCTAATTTGAAGCTGATAGGAACCAGATTAAAGCAACGTCAATGGCTTCAAAGTGTAGAAAATTACAGAAATAAAACCGACGTAATGGGCTTAGACGAAATCAGAAGCCTCATTCAAGAGGGCATACTTTTACCACCGCATCCCGAATTAGAAGAAGAATTGTCCAAGTTGCAAGGGATTTTGCAAACCAGCGAGGAATGGGAGGAACAAGCAGCAGAAATTTTGAAATCTGAAGACAACAATGTGTTAATTCAAGTCGACAAGCTACTTAAGGAGGCATCGAAAATTTCTTGTTTTCTTCCTACTGAAGGACATTTGTTTGATTCGATGAAGAAAGCCAGAGACTGGTTGAGATTGCTGGAAGATATGAATTCAGCCGAATATTATCCTTACTTCAGCGCAATGGAGGAGTTAATAAAAAAGGGACGATCGCTGGCTCTGCACTTGGTCGAAGTAGATAGAATGAACGATTATTTAGTCTTAGCTACAGGATGGAAGGAAAGAACCTCCAAAGCTTTCCTAAGAAAGAATTTCACTTGTGCATTGATGGATGCTCTATCGCCTCGAACATCAATGCCGAACAGTTCGAAAACTCCAAAGAAAGGAAAAAATAGCGAAGAAGATCACAACGGTATATCATTAACCAATGCTATGGATCCTGCAGCGGTAGTAGCCGTTTTCAAAGACGCCGAAGACATGGAAATGGCGATGATAAAAAAACTGAGAATAACAAACATGTCCAAAAGTCTAGATCCGAACGATAACTTCACATTCTGCGTCTGTGGAAAGGGAGTGCACGGCGTTATGATGCAATGCGAATTATGTAAAGACTGGTTTCACTCTGTATGCACGCAGCTTCCGAAAATAGCAAGCACCAAGTTCAAAGGGAACTTCGGCTCCGTAGCGTTGCACATGGGCTTCAAAGACTGCAAATTTCTCTGTCCCAATTGCCAGCGTACAAAACGTCCCAGATTGGACGTAATTTTGGGCCTTCTCATGTCTTTACAAAAGCTATACGTCAGAGTACCTGAAGGAGAAGCATTGCAATGTCTCACGGAACGCGCTATGAACTGGCAAGACAGGGCTCGCCAGCTGTTGCAGCATCCCGAGCTCGAAATCGCCAAAAACAAACTGACGATGTTCAGTCAAAAGTATAACGAAGCCGCTGCGAGGCAAAGGACCGAGAAAATAATATCGACGGAACTGAAGCGCGCTTCTAAAAACCCAGAGCTACACCAAAGAGTGCAAGAAATCACTCCCTACAGCGGCGTCGCCGACGAAGGCGTCACGTGCGACAGCGGCATCACCGATTCGGACGACGCTTCGAGGGATTCTCGGGAATCCGACGATCGAATGGGAGAGCACGCGTATTCCCTTCACCTGCCCAAAGTCGGCGACAGCGAAGAATACACGCTGCATTTGAACACCGACATCAAACTGCAATTGGAGGAACTCCTTACAGAAGGCGACCTACTGGAGGTCTCGTTGGATGAAACGTTCGCCCTGTGGAAGCTTCTGCAAGCGTCCCGTGACACTGAAAAAGAGCCGATACTTATCGATTTTGATGTAAGTTATTTTTAATTACTTTATAAAGCAACTAGGTACTAGGAATATGTAAAATTTTCTTCATCTGAGGGGTGTTTCCACAGTTCTTAATTAAATTAGATACGTCTGCAAGGAGTATTTGATGAGTTTACAGAATTTGAGGTTTAGCTACGTCTTCCATGATTACATAAACAATGCTATGAAAAAATGTCTATGTCAGTCAAACACATGAATCAGACTGAACAATATTGCACTGGATAGTTGCGTAAACGTGTCAAGACTTGTCTGTCACCAATAACAATTGCCAATGTGTTTTTCTTATACATTTGAATCTCTGCATGTTTTTTTTTTAATATATGAATACTTTCCTTTTCATCAATGAGTCCTTCTATCGCTCGGGTGGTCTTCCATCTCTTAAAACTTTCGCAATTCTTTCGTTGTTTATCCTTCCTATGTATTCCTCTTCCGATATGATTCTATTCCTCTTATTCCTACTATCCCTATTCCTTCCTATTCCTCTCTCTTTGCCTATAATATCTGATCAATTTAATTAGAGCGCAGTTCCCAGATCTTTGAAAACATCTCTCGTACATAGTACTACTCTCTAATAGTTCATACGCGTAATTTAAATGTATGAAAGAAATGGTTTGTTTGCAGGCTCACATGAAAAGCGCTCCGAAAAAGCGAGGTCGAAAGCGGCTCTCGGAGGAGACGGATTCCAGCAAGACCAAAATAAAAGCCGTGAAAGTCGAGGGCGAAAAGAAGATCCGCGGTAGAAAGGTGAAGAACAACAAGGAAGCGGGAAAGAAGAGGACTTACAAGAAGCGAGTCGAACGGGCCCAATCAACCGCTTCGGATAGCGATGATGAAGAGGACGAAGAGAACTGTGCTGCGAACGGATGCCAAAAACCGACCGGACAGAACGTTGACTGGGTGCAGTGCGATGGCGGTTGCGAGCAATGGTTTCACATGGCTTGTGTGGGTCTCTCGGCCGAGGATATCAATGAAGATGAAGATTATATCTGCATTACGTGTTCAAAGAGTGCAACTTACGAAAATTTAGATAGCAGATCTAGCAGTCCCAGATCGCCTGATTCAACACAGCCTTCCACGTCTAGAGATGTTTCTTAGTACCCGCCCTCTAGTACCCATTAATTTGTTTAATATAATATATATATTATATATATGTCCGAAAGAAGGAGAGTATTTTAGTAGATACACAGTTCAGTTGTGATAATTTAATGATAAGGATTGTAAAATAATTTTATTGTATCACCCACCCTATGTATATTCTTTGTTCAGCCGTTTTTTATTCTCATTTAGTTCGTTTTCATTGTATATAAAAAATCATGGTAAAACAGCCTTAAAATTTGTTCCAGTGATGTTCCATATGACGAAACAACTGGCAACATTACTCTACATTTTTGTGTGCAGTTTTATCAGCAGTTGCAAAACATGAAATTTATATCAATCAATAATTATGATACATTATTTATTAAACTACTCGAAATTACTGTGTAACTTGCAATTTTAATTTTAAAATTTTATCTGTGAGTTGAGTCAATATTTAGTTAAAATAACACTTAATTTATAGTTAGGCTGTGGGAGTAAACTTAATTATGTTTCCATATATAAGTTTATATATAGATTCAGATAATTAAAAATTGTAAATTAGCGATTATGTTTTTAAGTTGCATTATTTATTTTTTAGCTTCATATTAGGGTTTAGTTTTTTTTTATTTTTTTAAGATAATTCATGCTGATAAAACTGCATCAACAAAGAAGTATAAAGAAATTTGGCATTGCACTTGATTATGGTGTATATTTTTATCATGCAAAAATTTGTCGATTTAGTGTCAGATATCAGTCCAGATATATTCCAAGCGAAAAAAGCACGTTTGCCATATTGTAATAAATTATTTTAAGTAAAAATGTCGACTCTAATAAATTTGTAATTAGCCTTATGCATTCTACTGTAATTACAATGAAATCAATCTGAATTTGTAAAAAACGTTTTAACGATTTCTTCTAAAATCACTGAACTCTGATGAATTCGATACATTTCTCTATCTGACTGTTAAATCAAGTAATGTCAATTCGTGCGCAAGTCCATTTTAAAATTATGTGTTAGTTGTTTCTGTTTCTGCCTTTGTACAATTTCTAAAAAACGCTAAATCAATTATTTCAGTTGATTGAATCAAACCCTAACTAGCCATTTTGCAAAGATGAAAAAGGTGTTATGACTTCGGCAAATATTTTATGCCAGTAACCAATGAATCCAATTCTGGAATATTTTTTAAACTTTAACTTGTTAAGTCAGGTATTTGGCATGACAGTTTTTCTTTGTTCTATTACGCATAAACCATTTGCCGATGATTGGAGATTACTTGTAAAAAGCATAAAGTATTGTTGCTATATTCAACTGAGCATTGATGATTATTTTGAAAGTAATGTAGGATATTTATCCATATTTTCTGTAAATTTTGGCCAAAACAATTAGCTGTGTTCCAAAATTGCGGGTCTGCATTATAATAATATGTCAAAATTTATATTTTCTATAATAAATTTAATAGGTAGATTAAAAAAAACAATAAAAAAATATTGAAATTTTATTTTATTTTTTTGTATTGTTGAAATATCTTTTTTTATATCATAAGTGGGTAAATACTCCTATGAAACCGATTTTAATAACTATCTACTTAAAATATCCCTTGGCTTACCTACCCTGCTACAATTGTTTTTCATTACTACTATACTTTTGAGCTTTTTAAAAATTATTTCTCTGTCTTATCATAAATATAATCTTATGAATCAATTTAAACATTTTTTTGTATTTTCATTTTTACTTATAAATTAATATTCTTAGTCTAGTTTCTAAATTTTTATGTTGTGTATTTTTTGTATTTTAAGGTCAGTATCTTATAAATCGGTTTTCATTATAATTCGAATTCTTCGTGTTTTTTGTGCAAACAATGTCTAAAAAATCAATTTTAATATAAGATTTAGAGTTACAACTCTCCGAAAAGTATTAACTAGATGATGGATTTATCTTTGAAGAATAATTTTTCATATTTATAAAAAATATAGTAAATTATCAAATATCGATAAGATAGCACTAAGATTAAACAATATTTACTTCAAATATAAATCCATAAAAAAGATACATGCATCAGCCTGTACATAAGATTTTTTTTTTACTTAGTATGTGGTTAGTCGACTTATTCGCATTATGATTTATCCTATAGGACTGGTAGATCAGTTAGACTCTCTATTAAAACAATTTTCTTTCTGAAAATACTAGTACTTAATGGAACTTCAAGTATTTTCAATATTTAGAATCTCTGTGGATTTAATTAGGAACAACTGGGTTACGGAGTACTTATTGTGTTCCTTCACCTCTTTTCTGCGAATAAATAAATTCGTTGGAGTAAAAATTTCTTATTTCAGGCTAATTGATATCCCAGTCCACATTGAAACTAGACGTTAGGAGTACATTTTATTTTTGTATATTTTCATTACCTATGTGTTGAAGTAATATATTTCATTGTAAGACTTAAATTCATTTTGTTTGAATTTTGTCAATAAAAAAATTGTAATAAAACGAGGTTTGATTAAAAAGAGTTCTGAAAACTAAGGGGAAAAAATAATCTTTGCAATGCACTGAAAGATTGTAGCATCTCTTGGGATCTTCCACGTGACAAATACCTACCCATTTCAGGTTGCCAAATAAACTGAACTCTTATAAGACATTTAGTTATATTTAGTTTTTTAAGAATATCTTCTTGATTCATCTTTAGTTAATTATAACGTAACGCCGGTATTTTAAATGCTGGCGTGGGCTAAAATATTTTTAATGATGAACCACGCCGTGGGAATAAATATAGTTTTTAAAAATGCATTTTCAAAAACAAATCGACCTATAACGATGGTCAATCGATTACTTTTGTTGGCATGTGGTGAAAGTAGCGCTTATGGCACGTTATGCGATTTTTATTGTTATGCAAATATTTGTGGATGTCCATGAGATAATTTCCAAAACCGAATGTAGTTTACCAAATAAAGCCTGCAAAAATTTGCAATATGAATACTTAATGAAATCATTTCGGATTGCTGATGTGCGGCAATTCGTATTTGTTGACCTTTAAACAAGTAACTTTGCAGAATGCCACATATGGAGCTACAATGACATTGGATTTACAAATGGAAATAAAGCACATATCAATAACTTATTATTTTATTTACAGAATGATAATTAGTGTAGTATTTAAGCGCGTGAATTTACAAACAATTCTTTTCAATTCATCCGATAGGAATTTTTGATTCAATTTGGTGAAAATAACAAAAATATATGTAAAAAAATAATTTATTAACACAAGAATCGTAATACTAAAAAATTTACAAACTCTATATTATTTTTTATATAAATAACAGTATATATACACTTTATACTCCGAGTGATAGACAATTTGGCCAAATGTATCTAATACCATGTAAAACCTCTAGTCATCTAGAGAAAGCTAGTTTTATATACATTAATTACAAAGGCTTTAATATTAGATGTTTCACCTGTTGCACTAAAACGTACAACTAGTTTACAGTACAATTAGTCCTAGTTGGGTAATGTGTCATACAGAATATCTTTAACTGACGGAGATAAATGTTCGGGGAATTTGATATCAAAAGTAACTATTAAATCGCCCTTGCGTGTAGGCTCCTTGGGTAGAGGTAGACCATATCCTTGAATACGTTTAACTGTATTTGGCTTGATGACTTCATTGGTATAATGTATGGGTATGGATTTGTCCGTCATTGTAGGTACTTCGATTGTACAGCCACACAACGCCTGTAACAAAGCAAAAAAATATAAAATATATCATCAAAATAATAACTATTAGTAAAATCTGATTACTAAAAATAGTATCACTATTATTTTTAGAGTCAGACGTCAGAGTAGGTCAAGCAACATAACTATTATTAGAATTTTAAGAAAGTGTACAACTTATTGTAAATTTAAATTTAGATAATTTTTAGCATAAAAATATTCTTACCTCCTTGAGTGAAATTTTAGCAGTGTATTTGATATCGCTGCCTTCCCTCTTAAAGAGCGGATGGGGTTTATCTCTGATTATAAAAACTATATCCGCTGGTATTTTATTCCTTCCTTGATCCCCTTCTTTTTGGAATGTAATTTTCGTACCAGACTTCCAACCTGGTTTGACATTGATCGTCAGCACTTTGTCTTCCTTTTTCGTTGTACCATCTGGCTGTAAAACCTTCCTGCTGATCTTCATCTTCTTCTGGCAGCCTTTCGTAATGTCCTCCAATGACACGTACAAATCGTGCTCTATCGGAGGATCCTGTTTCTTGTCCTTATTCCTGTTAGGACTGTTGTGGAAGTTGAACGAATGACTCCTGAAAGCCCCGCCTGGGCCAGCTCTCGGCGGTCCACCAAGTCCCACCGAAGCAAACGGATCATCCACATCCATATCATCATCGTGTATTCCTCCGAACATTCCACGATTGCCTCCGAAGTCGAAGAAGGCTGCGAAGGGACTCGAATTTCCGAAGAATTGAGCAAAGGTCGCCCTCGGATCGCCGTGGAACGTGTATTGGAAATTGCCACCTGGCTCGTTCCCTGCACCACCGGGAATGCCTCCCTTTAGGCCCTCTTCGCCGTACGTGTCGTAGATATCCCGCTTTTTCTTGTCAGAAAGCACCTCGTAAGCCTCGGCGACTTCCTTGAATTTTTCCTCGGCCCCAGGCGCCTTGTTCTTGTCCGGGTGATATTTCAGGGCTAATTTGCGATAGGCCTTCTTGATGTCATCGTCACTGGCGCCTTTCGCTAACCCCAATATTTTGTAATAATCCTTTCCCATCGTAAAAACAACTGTTTTACACTAAACTGTTTGTATTTTCGCACAGATGTTCGTTCAAAATTGTCCCAAATCACAATATACCAAATATGTGAATCCACTACTTTACGTCTACTCAATTTCAACTCCAATCGCTCACTCCCATGCGCAGAGGTCTTCACTCCTTATATATTTAAAGGCTAAATTCGAGAACATTCACGATTATTCTGGAAGGTACTGGAAATTCATCAGCGTCTCGTTTGAACGGTCTGAATCTAGTGGGTATAAATAAATATCTCTCGGTGGTAAATCGGGATATTATCAGGCTTATCTTATTGCTGTAACGAATCCTGTGTGCTGACGACTTATGGAAGTCGACGATCGACGAATTTAAACAATGCCAATAATTTCTGGGAAATTTTCGAAAAATACGCGAACCTACAGCACTGGCAAACCGCACGACACCTTTCATATGACTGACGTTCTCCCAACAGGCGGGAACTTTAAATAACTTCAGGAATTGCGTGGGATTCGAGACGCATTATTTTATAGAAATTTCGATTTAGTTCAGCCGAGAACTTTTATAACCTATTCATTCTCACAATCTAAAAAAACAAAATTTAAGCTGCAATCAATTTGCGAAATTGCACGCGTTTTGTTTTCGACGGGCTCGAATATTAAATATATTATTAATACGCGAAAACAAGTTTATTTTTTTGTTGGTGTTTTATTGTAATTGCCAGTTTTTTAAGCCGAAACAATCATTGAAAATGATTTAATAATGAGATCAGTTTAAACACCTCAGCGTTTCCAAATAGAGTAGAAACGAGTTTTTATTTTTGATGTATACGCTCTTTGTAGGCGTATCAATAATGAATTTCTTTTTTTTTTTGCTTAAATCTTGCCCACGATTATGAGAAAATATATAAAAAATATTTACTATTAATGCCGGAGAAGTTATCGCACGATGCGATTTAAAACGTGAATTTAAGTATTTTTATTCCTCTTTTTTTAATATCTATTATTTATTGGACTAAAAATAATATAAAATAAGAATTTAAAAAAATTCCAATCTCAAAAATCAATTCTTCTCCTTTGTACATTCTTGGCCTCAGCTGCCAGCGCTATTCGGCCATCAAAAATCAATTTAAAATGGCAAATGACAAGTTCCTATTCGAAGCAATGTTGCCTTCTTATTTTACGAAATGTCAACTGCAATCTGCAATAAATCGCATTTCCATTAGTTGAAAGTTTGTTTATAAGATATTTTAAACGTTTGATAACAGTATCACATAATTTGCATATAACCGATAAGGTAACATATTGAGCACGCGTTTTAATGAAATACATCAACACGGGATTGGTTGATTAAAATACGCCGTTAATTTAATAACGTCATATTACGAATCAACCAATGAAAATCGCCTAATTCGATTATGAAATAAACGTGTGAACCGTTCCTTATTCTGTGTAACCCGCACCGTTGCATATTGACATTTCTATTTGGTACAACACCTACTAGATTATTGCTAATTAATTAGTTTTTTAATGTAAAGAAGTTTTTTTTTTGCTTAAATATTTCGCTAATATTGAAGTAAAGTCGAAATGGATTTAAATTTATCTGTTTTTCAAGAACCCAGAGGGGTTATGAGGGTTCTTCACCTTGTAAGTAAAATAACTCACTTTAAATAGTTGCTGTATGAAGTCATACATGAAATTACAAAAATATACGTTATTTCAGATCTTTTCAATCTGTGCCTTCGCAACTATAACAGGTTACTCGGGCATTATAAAGTATGGATGTGCACTTGGGAGTGGTTCGAAGAGTTTCAGCTATCCATTCGAAATAGTGGTAACAGATTCTCTGAATAGTAGTGAAACCACCAAATGCAACATTTCTATCCTTGGAGACTTCTCATCTGATGCCAAATTTTTTGTATCAACAGGAGTATTAGCTATGTTGTATACATTGGCTATTATTCTCGTATACACCAAATTCGATGAAATCTACAAAAGCAATACAAAACTACCTCTATATGTAAGAATATTTTTCTTATTTTACCTAATTTGTATTCTAGACTTATAATTGTATATTACATAAAAATAATCACCATTGTATTCACTTAGCATATTAATGTTCATTATTATTTATTTTTTTGCACTAGGATTTCCTGATAACAGTTCTTTTCGGAGTCCTGTGGTTATCCAGCAGTGCTGCTTGGGCTAATGGTTTGACTGGATTAAAAACCGAAACAAATCCGCATTTGGATGACGATACGGCATGCAAAGGTTGCACAGCAACATCTAACAATTTCTCCACGTTAAATATATCTGTGGTAAGTATTGAGGAACCTGAATAAACCACTAATGATTCTACCGATTTCTTCGGTTTCAGATTTTTGGATTTTTGAATTTCTTCTTGTGGGCATCAGATTTGTGGTTCGTTTACAAGGAAACCTCTTGGTTTCTGGGAAACCAGAGACAAGGGGTCGATGGAGTTTAAGTAACACACAAGTATTATTAGAATGCGTTCAGATTGAGCTAGTCGATACTGCACAACCTTTGCTAGAAGCTACTTGATTTCGGTTATTTGTGTCATGAAAGGTAGGCCAGTCATTGTAGGATAGGGATTGTTTTGTAATTATTAATGGCATTCGTTTCACAAAAGGTTAGTTTTACGGATACAAATATTTTTTGATACTACTTATTTTTGTAAACCGAAATATCGAAGATAATTTTATTTTATAGAATGTTCAGTTTTAGTTTTTCTTTTTACGAAATTGCATTTTGATGTAGTAAATGTTATTTATTCTAACAAGACAAAATTTAAAAATATGTGTTTCTAAATGTTATAAAAGTATTCAAGAATACTCAGACTTATGCATTATCTGCCCTTAGGGAATCTTCCAAATTATCATTAGTCATAGTAAATCTCTGGAAAATTAGAATATCGCTTTATTGTTAAATGTAAAGGTAATTTTAGCAAAATCGTTATTATAAATTGAGATTGTAGGGGCTCTTATTCTCAATGCTTACAATGACATAACATCACTGAAATCATAATTGTTAGTACCTACAAAAAATAAAAACCTTTTGTGCGCTATTGCTCAGGAATGAGGGTCCACAAATAATTTTAGTTTTTATTTATGTCCAATATTTTTTGGAATGTTTTATCTATTTTTTATACCAATAATTTGTATACTTTTGTAAGTTATTAATACCATTTAATTTATTATATTATGTAACGTTTATACGTAAAAATGTGTTTCTGACATACACGAAGCCTTCATTATATATCCAAATAACATTTTAAATATTTTATGAGAATTTTACAAATTTTGGAAATCATAAGAAAATAAGAACAATATCAGTAAGTTATCAGGAATTTACATAATATACATAAATTACATTTTTATTTAAGTATATTAATTGCCTGATTATATTGAATGTACCATTTATGCCAATTTTTAACGATCTTAATTTAAGAGTTGTTGACTCTCCTTTATTTCGTCCATTTTGTCAAAGATTTATATGAGCATTTTTTATTTTAGATTTGTAAACCGTTCTTTAAGAAAATGCGCTACAATTATTTCCAGAATATTTTGTGTTTACTTGATTGCAAGATAGTTTTATCGGGGCAATTAATTACTTTGATATAAAAAATTGCTAAAAATATCAGCATTTTCTTAAAAAACTAATAAAGTAGTTTTTTTTGCAATTGTGGGTATTAAAATGTGAAATATCCAATTTATCAAATATGTTTGTTATTTACATATTTATCTTTTTAGAGCTTGTTATGTAAAAAATATTACTATCACCTGTCATTGCAATTGTTACAATATAATTTTCAATAAAATCATAATTTACCGTTTACTAAATTGTTGCGTATTTCTTTCCAGGAAACGAAGCAAATAAGAAATAAAAATTTATTGCATTTTGCATTATCAAAATTTCAATAAAATTTATGATTTATCTGAATAACACATTTATCAAAGTCACTAGAATAGAAGACTATAATATGGCCTTTTTCAAAATACTAAAATAGTTTAATAATTCCTATTATTATTATTAGAGGTTATGTTTTATATCTCGGTGATGTGACATTATTTAAATTAACATTACCTATTATCGTATAATTTTAAATCAGATTCCATTCAAACATAATTACAATCATGTCGAAGTTCCCAGATCTTAAAAATGATCGTATTTTAAAAGTTGCCAGGGGCGAAAAACCGGATAAATTGCCCATTTGGATAATGCGGCAGGCTGGAAGATATTTACCAGGTAATATGAGCACTTATAAATAAACAATAGTAAAATAAAAAAAAATATTTTTTAGAATTCATGGAATTCCGCGAACAACATTCCTTTTTCGAAATTTGCCAAACACCGGAACTTGCTTGTGAAGTTACTTTAATGCCTATCAGACGGTATGATTTAGATGCTGCTATTATATTCAGTGATATACTGGTCATACCGCAAGCTTTAGGAATGACTGTTGAAATGAGACCCGGTGTTGTACGTAAACTATTATATAGTTCTTTGTTTACAATACCGTTACTTCACAATAATTTGTTATATTCGATATAATTCAATCTAATACTCAGGTTAATAAGAACTATATAAGATTAATTTTATTAGGGACCTGTTTTGCCGGAACCACTAACTTCAGATAATTTCCATAAATTAAACAAAAATGGTGCTGTTTCAAGACTAAAGTACGTTGGAGAAGCAATAACATTAACAAGACATAAGCTCGAGGGAAAAGTACCACTATTTGGTTTTTCCGGTGCTCCTGTTAGTATGTAAATAACACGTTTACTAAAAATCTAACATTGATTGTAAATTTTAGTGGACTTTAATGGGTTACATGATTGAAGGAGGTGGATCAAAAACCCTTAGCAAAGCTAAAAAATGGCTCTATAAGGACCCAGAGCTTGCTCATTTATTGCTGGATTTATTAACTGAAGTAATTGTGGATTATTTGGTGATGCAAATAGAACACGGCGCCCAGATCGTACAAGTTTTTGACAGTAGTGCTGAATATCTCAACAAGAACTTGTACACCAAATTTTGTTTGCCTTACTTGAAACAGATATCGACAAAAGTAAAGGAAAAAGTCAAACAGCTCAATCTAGAGGAAGTGCCAATGGTAGGGTAAACAAATCGCTTCAAATAACACGTTAGAAAATATTTTTATTACAGGTACTTTTTGCAAAAGGGGCCTATTTTTGCTTAGAAGACCAGGCTGATTTGGGATATGATGTTTTGGGGATCGATTGGACAATGAGTCCAGACTTTGTTAGGGCCTCGCTAAAAGATAAAAACGTTTCTATTCAAGGAAACCTGGACCCATGTGCCTTGTACGCTAATAAAGATGAATTGAAGAACATGGTGGTAGATATGGTTAGAAAATTGGGAACCGACAGATTAATTGTTAATTTAGGGCATGGTATTTATCCGGATGCTCCGACAGCGAGCGTACAAACTTTTATTGAAACAGTTCATTCATTTAATTTATAATTTTTTCGTTGAAAATATATTTACGTACAGTTATTATTATCGCTTGTTTTGTAAATACAAATCCTTTCCAAAACACCCAGGAAACCAAATGCTTTGTTTTAGTTTAGAGTTCCATAAAATCGCATTAGTTCCTCAGGCAATAAAATTTTATTTCATACTTAAAATGTTTTATATTTAGACGAGTCGATGTAACATAGGAAGTGTGTAATTAACATTGCATAAAGGCTTCTGATGTCTAAAAATAAATGCATGTTGTTCAGTTAGTACTGCACGCAAATTTTCTGTGATTTTTAAAAATGAGCGTTCGAAATGCCTTATTTATAATTAGTTCATTCATAAAAATATGAACTACTCGCTGTTGAAAACGTCGTGTTCAACTATAGCAGGTTTTTAGTCTCCAGTCGTTTTTTTTTATTTCACAAAATCATCTTGATGCCCATAAGTGGATCAAAAATGATAAAATATTGAATTATGTGAGCGTTAGATTTGTAGGGTTATCAAAATAGAAAATGTGACCTTTACTCGTACAACAATGATTACATTTATTACACTAATCGGAAATCAATATTTTTGTAAATGCTTCAATCGATTTTGGATGGTTCTAATTTTGCAAAATATCCCTGTCGGTATAATTCAAATTAATTCTGAACTGCAGATAAAATAAAAACCGTTTTTGGCTATATTTTGAAAAGAGTTTGTGATGCAAAAATCATTTCCTATATACATATCATTTATAAGAGCTTTTTTTTGTTATACCAGTGACGGAGATCAAAGGGTTTCCAGTCAAATCCAAATTTTTCCAAAAAATGCTCGCATTAATTCACTGTAATATCTACTTTTTTATACTAAATCAAATTTGAGGACATTTTCTTGGGTACAAATTTTACGTTATCTTAAAATCCATCCAGTTGTAGAAAAAAATGAGCGAGTGCTCAAAAAATAAGTACTAATCTTATGAGTAGAAATGTTGAGATTTAGATCTCGAATAGTTTGTGAGATACCGGCGAAAAGTGCATTTTTATACCTCTCCAAAATTACAGTTTTGGAGAGTAATTCAAATATTTTTCGTAACGTTTTAAAACACCTTGTAGATATAACGAATACAATAAGTTTTATTAAAAAAATAATAATTACGATAATATAGGTGTAATAGAAAATTATTGATTCAAATTTGGTATAGGAAAAAAAACCAGTGAATATATCTCCTAGTTTAGACAACAATCCGGATGTTAAATTATCAGTCCACCAACGCTCTTAGAGGAAATTAGCCATTGGTCGGAAAGACGTTCATGATATGTACATATTATATTTGATAACTAAAAAACTAATTTTAGTTCCATTTCAGTTCGGAATGAATTCATAATAACAATCAAAGAGATAACATAGTGTCGAAGATCAATTTGTAACGTGTCACTGTCCTCAAAATCTTCAGTCGACGGACGGCTTTATCGTTTTTGATCCCTGCCGAATTTCCTAATTTCGAATAGATTACGCGGACTTTACGTACCGAGTGAAAGAATAAACAAAAAGGAAGAGAAGCAAGTGTTCAACAGATGTTTTACAAATTTTAGTGACTAATGAAAGGGATATTACACCAGAGTGAAATAGTTACAGTCGTTGGGCTGTTTTAGGGAAATAACATTTTCGAAAAGGTCAGTCTTCCTGTATATAATTATATTTTTGTTTGGTTTCTGCTTTAGTAAGTATCAAAAGTTTTCTACAACTTTAAATGTTCGGGTTTTGATTTTTTTAAATATATACTAACACCGGTAAAAATGTATTAAATTTATTATTGGGTAAAAGATAATAATTTTAAGTACCTAAACTATATTTATAAGTACGCTTGGTCTATAATTTAATGCTCTCTATGTGTATTAATCTGGGTAAAATGCATCCAAATAATTCTTGGAAGTTTTAGGCACTTTCATGAAAAACTCAATTAGGCGAAATTAATTCCGAATGAAAATATAATGGTGATTAAAAATCATAAATGATCATTTGAAATGATTAAATATTTTTAAATTGGAAATTATCATTTTTAAATTTAATTTCTTTTCGGGTGGGGTTCGTTATTTGTGGACTCTGTCTATCTTGTTCTCTACTCTCTACTCAATTGCATCAATATTTTTTATCCTCATAAACATTAACAAACCCAAATAAACCGAGTTCTTCACCACTCAATAAAAATGCTTGAATGAACATAAATATCTTTAATTGGTAACAGAATTTATTATCCCAAATATCGAATCCTTGTTATATTTTTCCCCGAACCAGTTTAGGAAAATTATTTTATTACAGTCCATATGCAAATTTGTGTGCGTATCCCTCAGCCTGTGCAAATGCTAGTCTCTACTCTCTAGGTTCCTTTTAAGTACATTTTTTACTTATGCCTCTCGACGACAAACGACGGGATAGCTCGCCGACCAATCGCCTCGACATGCATGGGAATAAGACACGGTGCACAGTTCACATGCCTTGCCTCCATCTCTTCTCAACAACACAGTTTTCAGTTTTCAGTCTTCTCCGATAACCGTGCTAAGTAACCCGGGCCGTCGCCCCTGATTCACCAGATATTTTCCTTCGACTATTTTCACGTTATTGATGCGATGCGGGAAGAACGAGTTGTATTTTTGGACGTGATGCTTTCCTCTGCGTTATGGCTAAAGTGAAATGTAAATGGACGCGTCTGTTTGAGTTTGAGTAGAGTACACGTGTGTTGTGCAGGTAAACAGAGAGGTAAACAACCTTATTCTATGGTACTATCCGTCTCGAGAGGATATTGTGACTAACATTTAAGATCTACCTACCTACCTACCTACTCTTGTTATTCTATATTTATATTGGGCACTTAATAGTGGAAAAGATATTGAAAAATATTCGGTTTGCAATATTACTCAGAATAAACTTTCTTTTTGAGGTGTAAATGGCAGGGTGAGTTTTTAAAACTAGGTCATAATACAACCCAATTAAAATTAAATGCCTAAAAGTTATCGGCAAAATTGTTTTGTATCTAATACACAAACAATAATTGCTTCATCAATGTAATCGAAAATTAATATTTAAGGGAGAAACGCCTCCTTGAATTGTTCCAAACTCTAATCAATTGAAGCCCATCAAGATAATTTTTTCAAAAATTTTCAGGAAAAATAAGCTGAAAAATTTTAGGTCGGAACAAACCAATTCGACATCCTACAAAAAAAGTTTATAGGCATTTGTTAATGGTACAATTAATCACCTGTAGCAACCGCATTTAGCGTATTAATGGGTATTAAAATTATTTTATCAAAATTGAATTTGAAACGCGGCCGCGAAACTATTTTACGCGCTTCAATTAACAATTAGTTCTTTAAAGGATAACATTTCGAATACGGGAAAATAAATTATTAATTTATGAACTTGTATACTTATAAAAACGTATACAAAGACAATCTGGTACTTGTTCATGCTCTGATACTGTTTATTTATTAATGAAATGCAAATTAAAACTAGTTCACGTCAATTTTATTAAAGAATAAGTACTTTGTATCATATATTATGTATATAATATATGGTTTTTGCATTTAATATTTATATATTTTCTTATATGGTGTATACAAACACTCCTAACTCTACCTACTATCGTATTACTAATTACAATATCAGCAAAAATTTTTGATGTAGTACATTTTGAGTTCAAGAAACCCGATAAGTGCTTGTTAAAATAATTTTTATTAACTAAGTTCTATTTTAACTAAAGAGAAGCAGGAACTATCGAATTTAGGAGAAACGATTTTACTCCAAATAATTTCTTTTAATCGCATTCAAGCTACAAAATGCTTAATCAAAAAGAGATTAAAATTAATTAAGATATCGCATCTTCTTGTAGTACTTGATTGAATTACTTAATACCACATACAATGCATTAAATTCCGCATTTTTGTATTTTTAGCAGTCTTTTTGTTATACCCACTAGAAAGTCGATTCTCTTAGTTGAAATTTAATATGATAGGTATACAAATTGTAATATTTTTCATTCGGCTCGGCAATACTTTTTATACATTAAAATTAATTAGATGTTTTGTTTTGCAGGAAAATAAGTTAACTTGTAGATATGAGCTTAAAAATGCGTTACTCATTAGCACAATGGGTGTTAATGTTACAAATATATCAAAGTAAGTTACGTTTATTATGAATTTATCGTGTACCAATAGTTTGTTTCTAGTTTTAGGTATTAGTAGTCAGTACATTGGGGCTCGACAGCGAATATTTAATCCAACTAGAGGTAAGCAATCAATTTTTTAACCTATTTGTGTTTGATTATTTATCTAATTAAGTTACAAAACAGGTTGGAAATATCTTACTTAGCCCATCCAGACTTTAATACAGTTATTAGGAGTTTAACAAGAACGTTGAGGTTTCGTCTCGATGGAATAAACCATTTTTTATTTTGTTAGTCCCACAGTTTCAAAGGGGAGATCAATCTCCTCCACCGGATACAGATTATCAGGATAATAGAAATGTCCAGGACATACATCCTTTAACTAATATCCACAGGATTCGTCGGCCCGGAGTGCATCACAATCATGGTGTGTGTTAGTTTTGCGAAAATCCGGTGAAGGTTTCGATGAAATAACTCGTTTTAGTGTTTACGTTTTAGGTGTTGGTTGATTCCAATTTTGCGAGACTTTTAACACACTAATTATTGCTTGTTCGTGTTGTTTTTTTGTTCGAATTTTTTTCGTGCTACTCTAGCATCTATTACCTGCTGTTCCATCTTATTTATATTCTACTATATCTTTTTAGTTAAAACAGTGTGATGAAAATTTTGTTATCCTCTACTTACACTTTGCATTTGTGCTTGATTTATTTTAAAAGCGGTGCTTCAGGTGTTTCTCGTTCCTCTACTATTTCATTTTTTAATTTTAGGGTACGAACCGAGAAAACTTCACCCCTGTGAGCAGAGTTCCTGTTACCCAGCGACGGGTAATCTACTTATTGGAAGGGAAAGTCAATTGTACGCGTCTTCGACGTGTGGCTTGCACGGCCAGCAAAGATATTGCATAGTGTCGCATTTAGATGCAGAAAGGAAAAAATGCTTCTGGTGCGATTCTAGGCCTTCTGCTAAGCCGAATCCACTGTTGAACCACAACATCAGCAACATTGTTTACAGACTGTTTCCTGGGTAAGTCATCTATTGCAAGTAACGTTAATGGTATAACGTTTGGTGTAATTTTAGAACTCGTCAAAAATCATGGTGGCAATCGGAAAACGGCAAGGAAAATGTCTACATCCAGCTAGATCTTGAGGCGGAATTTCATTTTACCCATTTAATAATAACGTTTAAAACTTTCAGACCTGCCGCTATGGTAATTGAAAGGTCATTTGACCAGAGCAAAACATGGCAGGTAAATATTTACAAAACATCCAACTTTCAGCAGCTACTTCACTGCTATTTTTAGGTTTACAGATATTTCGCCGCGAACTGCTCAGAAAGTTTCCCGCAAGTCAAAGAAGGAACTGCCCAAGAAATAACCGATGTTATATGCGAATCCCGTTATTCCGGCGTGGCCCCGTCTACCGACGGTGAAATAATTTACAGAGTCCTGCCTCCTAATCTTCCAATAGACAATCCCTACTCAGAGCAAGTGCAAGGTTTGCTTAAAATAACAAATTTGAGGATAAATTTCACGAAATTGCACACTCTCGGAGACGATCTCTTGGACAGACGCGAGGAAATCCAAGAGAAGTACTACTACGCTATCACTGATATGGTTGTGCGCGGATCTTGCTCTTGTTACGGTCACGCCAATCGATGCCTTCCTCTGCCCGGTATAGATCCGAAGCCTGACATGGTGCACGGCCGTTGCGAATGCACGCACAACACCAAAGGACGGAACTGCGAAAAATGCGAGGACTTCTTCAACGATTTGCCCTGGAGGCCAGCCATCGGGAAGCAAACCAACGCTTGCAAAAGTAGATACTGCTATATTTAATCGCAACGACGAATTTAATTCTGATTTTTAGGATGCAATTGCAACAATCACGCTACTAGTTGCCACTTCGACTCGGCCCTGTACGAAGCCACAGGGCACGTCAGCGGAGGAGTTTGCGACGGGTGCCAGGACAACACGATGGGCCCCAACTGTGAACTTTGCAAGCCGTTCTTCTACAGGGACCCTCAGCGCGATATCCAAGACCCCGAAGTCTGCCGACGTGAGTATTCCGCTTCAAAAATTAAAATGTTTATCTCCACGATTTGAACTTTCAGCATGCGATTGCGATCCCCGGGGCTCTCTTGATAGCGGAATTTGCGATTCCGTTACCGATCCTGTGAACAATTTAACGGCGGGATTTTGTCACTGCAAGGATAACGTCGAAGGACGTCGATGCGATTCGTGCAAAAACGGCTTCTGGAACTTCACCGACTCGAACCCTCTGGGTTGCCAAAACTGCACCTGCCACACGCACGGTACGATCGGAAACCAGGGCTGCAATGTTTATACCGGAGAATGTACTTGCAAACGATACGTGACTGGAAGAGACTGCAACCAATGCTTGCCTCAGTATTGGGGACTGTCGGATAAAAGCGACGGTTGCCAACGGTGCAACTGCGATCCCGGCGGCTCTTATGACAATTTCTGCGATGTCATAACAGGCAATTGTAAGTGCAGAGAATACATGTGGGGCAGGGCTTGCGATACGCCGAAACAGCAGTATTTCACTGCGAGTCTCGATTATCTGCTTTACGAGGCCGAAGTTGCTAAATCGAACGGGCAAGTAGTGATCAGAGAACCGTACAGGGACGGACGGGAAAACACATGGTCAGGAACTGGTTTTGTCAAAGCATTCCAAGACGGATACTTAGAATTTCTCGTCAATGACATTAAGACCTCGATGAAATACGATTTGATTATAAGATACGAACCCAGCGTTCCCGATGCTTGGGGAGAAGCTACTGTTACAGTAGTCAGACCCGACCGAGTTCCTTCAGGGCCATGCGAAAACGTCGATCCAAGAGAAGATGTTAAAACTGTTCGTCTACCCCCATCTGCTAGACACGTTGTAGCTTATCCATACGTTTGCCTTGAAGCCGGAAAAAACTACAAAGTCATCATCGAGTTCAAAACTTTAAATGTCCAAAAGGAAGTACCGACTGCTTCAGTATTAATCGATTCCATTGTGCTATTACCCAGAATCGAGGACATACCATTTTTCCAAGGTTCCATAGACGCTGATAACAGGAGGCGCGAGTATAACAGATTGCACTGCAACGATCCAGCTTATTTAAGTCCAGGAAGCCAGGCCTCCGAAATCTGCAAAAAGTACCAAGCCAGCATAGGAGCTTACGTATTTAACGGGGCATTTTGTAAGTAACAATCAACTCATCATGTAGACATAACTAATCTCTCTCTTGTAGCTTGCCAATGCGATCCTCACGGTTCTGTGAGTAAACTTTGCGACCCTTACGGAGGATTCTGTACTTGCAAACCGAATGTAGTCGGGCGACGTTGCGACCGCTGCGCTCCGGGGACTTACGGTTTCAGTCCAGATGGTTGCAAATCTTGCGATTGTAACAGCATCGGAGCTTTAGACAATTTCTGCAACGTCACGACTGGCCAGTGTAAATGCAGGGCTAACACCTATGGCAGGGAATGTGATCAGTGCAGGATCGGCTCGTGGAACTTCCCTCACTGTGAAAGATGCGATTGCAACGGGCACGCCGACATCTGCGAAGCGAAAACCGGAGTTTGCATTAGCTGCAGGGATAATACTCAAGGGGACCATTGCGATTACTGCGTCGATGGCTATTACGGAGATCCTAGAATCGATGTGGATATCCCTTGCAGGCCGTGCCCTTGTCCTGGACATCTTGGTACAAATCATTCGCACGCAGATCGTTGTATACTGGATTCCATAACGAAGGACGTAATTTGCGAGTGCCAAGAAGGTTACGCAGGAGCAAGATGCGACATATGTTCTGACAATTACTATGGAAATCCAGAACTGCCTGGGGGAAAATGCCAAGAGTGCGATTGTAACGATAAAGTCGACCTTCTAGCGCCGGGAAATTGCGATCCTCACACAGGAAAATGTCTTAGATGTCTGTACGATACTACGGGAGATCATTGTGAAGTGTGCAGGCCTGGATTCTTTAGATACGCCGATGATAAACCTTGCGAGGAATGCGTGTGCCATATATTAGGAACTAACAGCACAGCGGGTCATTGTGATCCTTACAGTGGACAATGTAAGTGTCTTCCAAACGTATCTGGTTTAAGATGCGACGCTTGTATTCCTAATCATTGGAAAATAGCAAGCGGTGAAGGTTGCGAAGCCTGTGCTTGTGATCCACTAGGATCCCTTAGTCCGCAATGTAACGAGGTAAGTCGTTGAAAATTACTTAAAAATTATAATAATACATTATTATTTATGTTTAGTTTGATGGACAATGTATGTGCAAGCCAGAATTCGGAGGACGGCAATGTAATGAATGTACACCAAGATCATGGGGTGATCCTAAAGAACAATGTTTCAGTAAGGAATTTCAGTCGAAACATAACTACAAGCAACTACTGAACGATTTCTATTTTTTACAGAATGCAGTTGTAATCTTAGGGGTTCCAGAACAGAGCAGTGCAACATGCAAACCGGAGCTTGTGTTTGTTTGGAAGGAGTGGGTGGATACAAATGCGACACTTGTGCTAGAGGTTACATCGGATCCGTACCAAATTGCATATCCTGCGGAGAATGCTTTGATAACTGGGACAGAATCCTACAGGAAGCCAAAAGTAAATTTTCACATATACACCACGAATGCACATTTATTCTAAACACGCATTTCAGATCAAACATTAGACATCATCGACAGAGCCGGCGACATAAAGAAGGTTGGAGCTACTGGTGCATACTCCAGAGAGTTCGATGAAATGCAAAATCAATTGGACGAAATAGAACTGCTTTTAAACACAACAGACGAAGTGGATGTTGATGAAATCGAAGACGAACTTCAACAAATACGCGACAAAATCAACAAAACGGAATTCGAAAAATTAAACAAACTGGACGATGAACTCGACGATAACAAACAGCAAGTATCCCTGAACGAAGTCAAACTAAACGAATTAACCAATTCATTGAACGAATTGAAACAACAAATTAAAAATTTGGAGAACAACGGAACCAAATTGCAAGAAGCAAACGTTCAAGGGGCATTAGTTCTCATTGGAAACGCTAAGGAAAAATCTGATAAAGCCGTGCAGAAAGCAGAAGAATCGCAAGTAAGTTTTGATGCTTCCTTTTAGTTAACTATTAAACGATTCATTTCATTGCAGGAAGACGTCAAATATGCTGAAACACAATGCACAGCTACAGCGAACTTCCTGAACAACACCGAGAAATTATACAAAAAACATTCGGAAGAAAACGAGAGAGAGTTGCAGAACATCACCGCAAAAATAGCGGAACTCAACAGCCAGATTCCCGATTTGAACCATTTAGTGTGCGATGGCAGAGGAGACCCTTGCGATGAAATATGCGGTGGCGCCGATTGTGAAAACGGTTGCGGTAATTCCATCACTTGCACCAACGGTGCTAAACAACAAGCTGCCACGGCCATTAGAAACGCCAACGATACTGAAATTGTACTTAGAAATAAAGAGGGTTTAGCCAACGAATTCATAAGAAATGTATCGCAAATCAATACCAACGAAACTAGAAATCTAGCCAAGGAGACTTTGGATAAAATCTTCGAGGAGTTAACGAGCGCGAATAAATCCTTGAAAGACATGAACGACATGCGGAACGAAATGAGAGACTTCATGGGACAAAACAAATCGAAACCCGCGGATATTAAAAAATTAGCGGAAGAGGTGCGTAAATTTCTAACAGCTTGTTTCGGGTTTATAGGCTCTTTGGTGTTTCAGATATTGAAGAAAAACGTACAAAAAACTCCCAAAGAAGTTCGAGAACTTGCTGAAAACATCAAAAATGCAATTGACAGATTGACAAATACAGACTACATCATCGAAGACACCAAAGCAGATTTACAAAAAGTTAACCAACTAAAAGAACACGCTAAAATTGCCAGGTAATATTACTAACAATCGTTGAATCATTAATTACACTATTTTCTTTAGGTCAAATGCAACAAAACTTCTTAAAGAAGCTGAAGATGTTAACACTGTATTAAACAAAACGCAAGACGCTCAAAAAGAAGCTGAAGCAGCAATCAAAAAAGCTTGGGATGATTACCGAATGGTGGAAGAAATTTTAGACATGGTAATACTTCAAATTAAAAATTGCCACGTATAATTGACATATTTTGTTACAGATTGGTAATAAAACGGAATCTGCGCAAGATGTGACCAATCAAATAAACATCAACATACATTCTTTAAGAGACAAACTAACCGATTTGCAAAGGAACATTACAGACAATGGAATATTTGCAAACAGGGTGATCGAAGAATCGGTGAAAATAAAAAAGAATGCCCATAAGACGAAAGAAGAATCGGGCGTTTTGCAAGATAAATACAACAAGGCGACCAATGAATTGGATGAAAAATTAAACAACGTCAGAGCAACAAAGGAACGAGCTAATGAATTGTACAAGAAGTCACTTAATTTAGTTGCAAAAGTAACGAAAACTCAAGAAGAAATCGAAAACTTAGAAAATAGTGGACAATTAAGCGATTTAGAATCTCTTGAAAGACAGTTACAGAATCTCATAAAGAAAATGAACGATTACACTAGAAAACTTGACGATAAAATGCAGTATTATAAAAACTGCAATTAGGAATGCCTAAGTACTGCCTAGTTTTAAAAATTTCAAATTAAAATTATTTTTATTGTCCGATAAATAAGCATTTGTACATATATTTTTAAGTTTTCCGTAACTTGTTTAAATGTAGAACCTATATTAAAATTGTTTTCTAATGAACATTCAAATTTTAATTAAAACAGAATTAGAAAAGCTTTATTCGATTTTGAAATTTTATTACACATTCCAACAAATTTTGCATTAGCTTACCAGTATTAAATCGTTCATTCGTTCACATTGGACGAATAAACACAACAGCGCCATAAAAAGCAAAAAAAACATTAGAAATGATAGTTTTTAACCAAGTAATATAATTTATTGTTTCAATTAAATGTATATTTCAATAAAATTAAAAAGAACAAACCTCGGAATACCATTTTTTACTATTATAACAATTCGCATTAGTACAATGCGGACACCTATTCAAAAATTTATGTGATACAGGTACCTTACTCTGCAAATGTTTCTGGACTATATCACAGAGAGCTTCAATGAATAACGGATGGTCATTTGGAGCAGGGACTCTACGAATAGTTTCCACTCCAACCTACAAAAAAATGTCATTAAAAACCCATTAGTTAAGTGATTTTAAACATACCTCCTTAGCTAGATCCTTGCAATATTCAATATCAAGCTCGTGCAGTGTTTCTATGTGCTCATTCACAAAAGCAATGGGTACTACAATAAACGTTTTTCGCCCTTGCTTGACGTATCCTTTGATGGCCTCGTCCGTCATGGGCCCCAGCCAAGGCAGGGGACCCACCTTGGATTGCCACACCAATTGATAAGGATGGGAGAAATTCAGCTCCTGCATGACTTGGTGAACGGTAGCACCAACTTCCGATGGGTATGAATCGCCACGGTTTACAGCCTAAAAAATTTGTCGAAATATAAGTAAATTGTGATAATGAAGGAGGTTTCTATAAAATACTAACTTTTAACGGAAGGGAATGTGCCGAAAAGAGTATAATGGCCTCTTTTCTTTTATTTTCCGGAATTTGCTGTAGTTCGTTCTTGATGTTCTGAGCAAACGTCTTTGCTAATAGAGGATGTAGTGGCCATCGATCGATTACCGATAATTTCATATCACCCAGCACATCGCTAAAACAACGAGAATTTAATTTGTAATTAATTCGTATTACTAACATTACTTTTTTCGCAAATGCCTGTATATTTCGTTAAAACTAGATCCAGTCGTAGCACAAGAATACTGCGGGTACTGGGAAAACATAACGGCATGTTCTATCCCATCTCTGGAATTAAAAAGTTAGTGAAGACATTTCAGGTACTTTTAACCTTGAACTATTGTACTTTTTTAACTCGGTAAAGGCATCCTTCGTGAATGGAGGCACGTATCTGAAGGCTACGTATGATTTGTGGGGGGCAGTCTCAGGGCTCTTCTGATCGAGCATTTCGCACATAAGTTTACCCTGTAGTTTTGTCCATTTTAATATCGGAGACCCACCTCCTATTTCCTTATATTTCTTCTGAACTTCGGGAGTTCTTCTTTTCGCTATCCAAGGTCCTAGTGTACTAAAATAATAATGCATTACAATAAGCTTATTTGTAATTATTAACTTACTTTTGGGCTATGGGCAATTGTATCATGTCTCTGTCTGTCATAATTCGATATAAATAGTCATAAACTTGATCAGTGGATTCCGGTCCTCCCATATTTATTAGCACAATTCCAGTTTTCGGTTTCTTTAAACCCGTAGAGTAGCCTCTCGCCCCTCGTAGGGTTTGATTCAGCAAACTGCATTTTACGAAGAAATTGTTGGAATTAGCACTAACACTATTATTAAATAAGAACCGATGAAACATCATGACACTGTATTTTGACTATTCAATTTCAATATTCATGAATGTTTTCTAAATTAAATCAACTCTAAATTCATGTTATTCACTAACAATTATAAACAAACGAAAAGTAATTAATTCGTCTAAAATAATGAGTTTAATACTGTAAATTCGTTGACATCAATGAATTGCATATTGCATTTATGACAATCGTGAAATAATTGATTGGCTTCTATTTATCATTTTATTTATTAAAATAATAGAACGTGGAAATGATAATGAATTTGAAAAAAATGTATTTGACTTGTTGTCATTTTAAATATTAGGAAATTTTTATTTTACTCTCTTTCTTCATCGCATGTGATGTATCCATTTCTTCTCTTTTCAGCGTATTTGTGGCAACGTCGCAAATTCTCTTTAAATAGACGTTTCTGTCATTAATTGACGTTTGATGTTTATTTGCACTACGATGATTTCTTAATAAGTGTATGTTCTAGTGTCGCTACTAAACAGCAGATGGTGCTGAAAAATTCGATTGAGCGTAATGTAAAGTGTTTCCGTTTTTTGTATAGAATGAAAAACTAGTCGTTTGAGCCTCTGCATACAAAGATCGTTAGATGCCTCGTTTTGATTCAATTTTAACGTGCAAATAGATACGACGCTGCGCTTTGTTTTTCTATTCGCTTATTTTTTTTACTACCGACAGAGGGACTTAACACCTGTGGTGTGTCCGCGCAGGTATTACCGCGGAAAGTGTGATTTTTAAGTGTGGTATAGTTTAAAAAACAACGGTGTAGCTTTTGGCCGATACGGATTCCAAACTTGGATATGGCAGCTACTAGTGTTGTAGTCCTAGATCGAGGAAACAACACTACTTGCACTATAAACTTACATGGTGAGATGCTTCGTTTAAAGGAAACATTATTACTTTGAGTCATGCTTTACATGGCTCCAATCATTTTAAATTATAATACCCGCTCTAAAAAAAACAACATAACCTAAAAGACTGTTTTTTTTTCACATAAGTTTCTTGTGTTTTTAGGGGCCACTGTTGTTTCGTGGAGAGTTAATAATCAAGAACAGTTGTTTGTCAGGTAAATTAGCTTAAATTAATTCGATTTAGTGCATAAATTTAATTGGGTGGAAATATTTCAGCAAACAAGCTGTGTTCGATGGCAAGAAAGCTATTAGGGGAGGAATACCTTTTGTATTTCGTAAGTTTTTTTATTTATTTATTAAAATGAAAAAAAAAATCCTCTAATCGAAACGTTTTTAGCACAATTTGGACCCTGGAATTTCGGTCCACAACATGGATTTGCCAGAATCGTTAGGTGGAATTTAGAAAAAGCACCCGAAAGATTACCTAGTGGTGACGTTGAGGCTATATTCTCCATAATGGACACAGATTTCACTAGATCCATGTGGAATTATACGTAAGAACCTTTCTCGATAGCTCTATCCTCGTAAAATCCCAATTGAAAGGTACACAGAGGGTACACTTTTTCACTATGACCTATTTTCTATTATGGTCAAGGTTTTATTTCAATTTTAACAAATTTGAATACATGCTAACAAAATTATAAAAATTTTGAATAAGTGAGATATTAACATTCCTATTGTTTGCTTGTACACTTCTTTAGTCTTTATGAATCTTTATTTTACTTAGTATGATTTATATTGAATAATTATTATAAGTACTTGCTATATCTTTAACTCTTTTGGTGCAAACAACTAAAGAAATGATCACACTAGAAGACTTCATTTAATTTACTCTAGTATTACTGTCTACATTTCTTTACTCTCTACTTTGTCAATTTACTTATACATCAGCTGTAACTTGATTGATTTCAACAAAAAAGATCGATTTATTTTTTTGCTGTATGTGTGTTGCATCAGTCGCTGAACACGGGCCATTATCACTAAAATTAAAATTGTAGATAGTCAATAAATTGTGCAATTTAATAGCAGTAATAAGATAAGCCATATCCTTATGTTTATAACCACATAAAATGTTACAATCTTTTCCACGAGACCTGATATCACAACTATAGCTTATTCTTAATAAGCTAATTTTGCATCAGTATTAAACAAGACTCTTCTTATCTGGTCATATATTTTGTTTATTCTTTTTTACTTTTTTTACTTACCTGCTATTCCGTGCATAATATAATACTAGTCAAATCTTTTCATTTTTTTAATGAAGATAGTTATATTTATGTTTAAATAAATACTGGTACTTCCCCAACTCTCGGCTAATTCAATTACCCACATGCTGTTCTATAATACAATACCAGTAAACATTTTTCTTTTGCTTATTGAAGGGTCAATTTTTAAAATCTTGCTCTTATCTTTGTAATCAATATTTAGTATAAAATATACTTGGGTAGACCGTGTACTAAACCAGATGCGGTAGGGTAGACCGCTTACTACACACCGGTACCGACCAAACATTAATAATGAATAATTGTTTCTATTGTATTTCGCAGGTTTCGACTGACTTACAGACTGATTCTACGCGAAAAGGAATTACATTTCAATATTGCTGTATATAATCCGAGTAAAGACTTGACGTTCAGTTTTAATATGCTATTGCACACCTACTTTAAAGTTCCTGATGTCAGACGTTGCCAGATTACTGGTCTACAAGGCTGTGCTTTTATGGACAAAACTAGAGACGGAGCAATATACCAAGAGGTGAATCCTCGAATTGAGGCGTTTATCTTGATTTGTAATTGTAAGTTTTCGTACAGGCTAGAGACGTGGTGACTATTGGCGAGTGGACTGACAGAATCTACCAAAACACTCCTCAAGAGCACATCATAACCAACGTTGTGTCGGGTCGTAAGATGAGAATTCAAAAGTACAACTTTCCTGACACAGTTATTTGGAATCCTTGGATAGACCAGGCTAAAGATATGGGTGATTTCGGCGACGACGAGTATCCAAATATGGTTTGCGTAGAGGCCGGGCACGTATCGAGTCCCGTCATTTTACTGCCGGGTACAGCTTTTGAAGCTAGCCAAATTCTGCAGGTTATGTGAATTCAACTGAGACCATCTTGTTTTCATTATTGGTACTCAATTGGTTCCTTGTATTACTACTAGTAACACATGTGTGTTGATAAACGTTGATGGAATCAGGTATTTAATAAGGTTTGGTCGTACGTATTTCACTTCATTTTTATATTGGGAAAATAATGGACAACTGCCACTTAATGTTTTAATAACGTTTATTATTAGTAAAAGTACCTGTTTATTCAATAACATTTTTTATATTTGCTTTTAAAACCTCATTCGTTTCTTTTTATTAGTCAGTTTTCTTTGTATGGTTAGGTGTTTTGAATATTAGGAAATAAAAACTGATAAGTAATTTATTGCTCAATAAAATTTGATTAGGTAAATAAATAAATATATACGTATATATACTAGATTTAAATATTTGTAGATTTAGATAACGAAAATAGTCTTCAAAATTTTAAGACTTGAGTATTTTTAATAAAAATGATTGATGAAATATCTGATCTCATCAAAATTATAAAAAATACCTACTACCTTTTCGCTAATTTGAATTATTTATTGTTTTATTTTTTAAGTTTATAAAACTGGTAAAAATTCCAGTGGAAGTGATAGTTAGATTTAGCTATATCAACACAAATTGCAACTAAATACGTAATAATACAGGATAATTCAATACTGTACTTGTACTTGATAGTCTGGCATAGTGAAAATCGGAATAAAAATGTTTATCTTACATAATATGTAAAATCTTATTGAATGGATTAATTTTTTTTTGAACATTTTGATTTCTTGTGCCTATTTATTTTGGTTATTTACAACACTTAAATGTTGAAAATTTAATTAATAGATATGCATACAAAAATCATAACTTTTCCAATATCTTTTGGATTTTTTTGACAATTACTGTTATTATAATCGAATGAGGTCCATCGTATACTTTTTACAAAGGCAATTTATTTTTGTATTTAGAAATAAATACATTTTTATTTTGATATATGTAAGACTATATTCGAAGAAGCAATAGTTTAGTACCTAAATTATAATAAAAGTGTCTTGTGATACTTACATTCCCAAGACATATAGCCTTATGTCGTATACGACTGGTAGAGTTACTTGAATATTGTAATTGACTTCTTTTGTGCAATAGTTAACTTTTTACAGCTAACTTTATATTAGGTGCTGCTTTTAACGTTAAATAAATTATTATCTAGAATTCGGCATTTTATTTTTTGGGGCTTTTTAATTTCTGATGCCACAGAAGCATGTTTCATGATGCATACCCGTTTTATATTGATGTATTGAACTTCGAACCGTTAATTTGGAGCAGGTGAGTATTTTTACATTTACCCGTGTGACCAACTGAAACGCCCACAGGAATAATTATTGGTAACAATTAGAGCAATTTTGCACAATAAAATCTAGCCATGCCTGATAATCAACCAATAAATGTAGCGTCTAAATTCAAAACTGCACAGTTACACAAGCAGTATTGAGTAAAATTGAAAAAATATTCCGGTAACTTGTAAAATATTCGTACACTTTAAATGCGATGCATCAAAAATTACAAAATATTTGTATAATAAAAAAGTATCATATTTTTCATTCAATAATTTTCGTTATTTCTTGAATATTTTAATAATGCTAAATGTCTGGTTTTATAATTTATTACGTCAATACAGATATACTAAATCGTAATTGTTCTGAAAAAAATCTACATTTATAAAAAACTAAGCATTCAAATAAAATTAATAACTTTATATATTTTTATTATCTGGCCTTACTTTAACGATGCCAGTTGCAGTGCGTAACTAATTATTTTGTAGCGCTTCGAGCAAAAATTGTTGAACGAAGTAGGTATGTTACAACGAGTATGAAATTAATAAACCAAGTAAGTACTCGTGAATATTTTAACGCTCGTTATAGTTTAAATCTAATCGTTGAAGTGATCTTAGCTACTGGTATTTAGCGTATAGGTAAATAGTTAAGTGCTGATAAAAAGTTAGCCCCGGTTGTGTGTTATCTTTGCAGTTGTTCCTCGTGAGGAAATGGAAAACAGCGTTTCTGTTTGCATTACTCCGCATACCACTTCTACTCTGTGTACCTATGGTACTCCCCTGTAGCGTTTTTGAGCGGTTAATATTCCCGATCTCGTCGGGTTAGCGAAATTTGTAGCTACTCGACCTTTCCACCAGCGACATCACGCACGCAATATATTGATAGGTAAGTGATTGCTATTTTTTAAAAATTTTCTTTTAACTCGCTTTTTTAAGGCGGGTTTTTTGGGTTAACGATGTATTTTTTATCCTCTTGAAACTAAGTTAATTTCGTAATGGGCAGAATAGGGATATTAATTTTTTGCTTCACTCGTTCATTTAGGAAATGCGATATTTGCAAACCAGCTGAAGGGCTCTTTTGTAAAGTTGTGCATTTTCCAATTAAATCCATAAATCATGAAACATGATATTTTCAGACTAACTAAAAGGCTTTATGGAACATGGATTAAAGCACATTTCCTGATAAATTCAGAAGTGTAGTATAAATAGTTTTAATATCGAACACAATTACTGTTTATCTATTGTATAAACACCGACGAGAAGCGAAATATTACAACGTGTAAATAATTAAAAATTATGTTATAAGCATACCTACATTAACATTAACTACTATTTTATATTAATGACCACTAACAAAATTAATGAGCCTGTAATACCAATTACTTACGGGAATCAGAATGCATTTTGTCTGCAAACGGGCTTACTTTCATTGAAAGTTAGTAATTTCTCATGGCGTGAGAAAACGGTTTTTTTAAGGTGAAACAACTGATATAAGCATGCAGTTATCTATATTTAATTGACAGTAAATTAGAAAAGTGTCTCAAGATTAAGTTGAATTGTTATTTAATCAAATTTAAATACATTAGAGCAATTAAATTATTTGTACTTTCAAGTAGGCAACTATCTTTCTAGACATTGGATTGTTGTTTTTTTTTCCAAAAAGGAAATTCTATGGATACATTAAAGATTATTTTTTGCTCCAATAACAAAATATTTTATAGATCAATATGCATAATTTGATAAGAGTGCACATAATTCAATTTAATCTGCATCGCGTTTTTTAATAATTGCTCTACAATTTACCGGTATAAGAAACAAATCAAAATAAATAGACTACAAAGACAATGCCCATAAATTTGAACAAAACTTGATTACTTTTCCCATTTTTTGCATCTTTGACCTCAAAATAGAGACGCTTCAGTTTGAAGTTAACACATAAATTATATAACATTGAAATCCGAATTAGAAAGTAAAGAATCTTGCATCACAAATCAGCCGGTTTGCGGCAGCTATGGCAAAAACCGTAGTTTTAAATCATATACAAAACTTTAATTGCAGTTAACCTTGCTGAAATTTCATAACAAAAACTTACCTTCACTCACTTACATTCGCTGTTTGATGTGAATAGGTTAATTCGATTGTTGTGAGCTTTATTTTGACCGTTTGCCCTGGAAGAGTTGGTTGGATAAAGTGCATGCTTAGTTAAGTGAAGTGTTTTTTGTTTTTGTATGAATGTGCTCAATCGGATATTCCCTAAATGTTGGTATTTTATAGTCATGCATTATTTATAATAAATGAATATATTTAAATGATTTAATTGATGTATGAGAGACGCGCTGGTGAAAAACAGGTGTTTGTTTTCATTATTGTTTGTTAATTCAAGGTTGATTATTTTTCTCTTTGCGGTAATTGATCTTAGAACTTTATACTTGTTCATTAAGTGGAACGTTTTCAGCATGTAGTGAGTAGTGACATTTGAACTTTCCCTGAATCATTTTTATTTCTTATACCTATTTCAATTTTATAATTAAATAATCAAGCGACATGTACGTGCTATTTTCTCTTGTTTTTGTAGAATATCATTATATAATTTCTCAATTATCTGTTTGCCTGCCATGCATATAAACAACATAATGAGTTTTTACCAATGAAATACCAAACCTGTCACGAAATAAGAAAATCTCACACGTTTCTTCGTGAGTAGGTAGATAAAAAACATAAAATGCCATCAGCGCTATTTTAACTAGGATGCATAACACGAAAATGTTAATAATTTTTATAATATAAAATTACCTCATTTATTAGGGTAACATTGCAGTGAAACGCCGCTGGTAAATATCACTTTCAATTGGAATATTCATTCATTAAGAAAGACCAGATATGTTATTGATTAGACGTGTGATTCTGTTTATTAGTTTGTCCCTCCCCACTCTCAATTTCTTTTTAAACGATGTCAATCCGGTCCTGGAAGCGCAGCCTTTTATTCTTATAAATACCTTAAGGTGTTATAGTGATTAAAGTGATGATATGAAGGATAATTTTTAATTGAACTCAAATTGTGGATAATCATTAAACAAAACTAAAAAAGCAGTCAGTTTTTTTCTAGGTAGGTGTTAAATTTATTTTTCAATTTTGTTTGATAATATTATTTCGAAATGTTTAGCCGGTACGTTGAAGAAGTATTATTAAATTTGAGGTAATGTTGAAATTTATATTGTTAATATTTTTAATTGGTCTGTTTTTTATAGTCCACAAGTTTTTGTAATGTATGTTAGTAAATAGTAAATTCATATACAAAAATTATTTAAATAAATTTATAAAAGTTGCTATACTTAAAATAAACTGCTCCACAAAAGTTAAGTACGTTCGCAAATTTCGCGATTATTTTAAAAGATACAGACTTTTTGATCAACAAATTTTCAAATATACGAAATTAAATATTTTCTCTCATATCTGAGTGGATTTTTTGCCCCTTCCTCTACAACTCGCACTAAATTTGGCTATCAAAAAACCAGCAACTTTTAAATTAATCTCAATATTTGTGAACTTCCTTAACTTTTGTGGAGCAGTATATTTTAATTATTCCTATAATTAACTTCTCTAAGTTAATAATATAAACAATATAATATAGTTAAAGAGAAATAATCTTATTGTTAGAGATTTCTTGCAAGATATGAATCGTATGATTTGCATTAACCATGCCTAATTTCCAAACACATTTTTTTCTGAAGCTCTAGCCCTTATTTATTACTCTTATTGTAGAACTATTAAAAAGAATAAAATGTTTTAAAGTGATTGACAGACTTGATGGACTTTTAAAAAGTTCAAGGAATTCATTAAAACCATTCCCAAAATAACTTTGGGAATGTTAATTTGTAGTTTCATGAAACTATGAATTAAACGAAGACTTTAAGGATGCCGGTCTATTATCTATCTGATGACAAACTTGCAACGGTAGATATCTGAAGCTCTGACAATACCTCATATGTAATTTAAGCGGGATTATATTCGTTGTTCCACCAAATTCATTCTTATTTTATAGATATTAAACGTATTTTAGTCCTTGTTAGAATTATTTCTACCAAGAATTAATAATCATCTATAATTATGGACATTGTATATTACTGGAATATTTTAATCTAATCATAAAAGATTTTATTTAAACTGCACTTATATTACATTGTTAGTTTTATCAGATTCATCATTTATATCAGAAGACAAAAATTATAATTAATTTCCAATATTTTTAAATTTATCTAATACCTACTAACCATACATAATTAGTCGTTTTATTATTAGGTACAGCATTTTTATCAATCGTATTATCGACATGAAATATATTATTATAATATTAAATAATTTGATAGATCGGTATTATATAAACAGAAGATATTACAATAAAGGAAATTGGTATTTTAGCAAAATATTTGTTTAGTACACCTGTACTTATACAATATTGTGTACCTATATTATATAATGCATGCAAAGTTAATTAAAACGTTTTACAGGTAAGAATTTATATAGTTATTAAAATAATGGTGGGGTAAATTGATTTTAAATTAATTAACAACTTCCCTACCCTATTCTTATAAATTTATTCTTAATCCTAATGTAACTATTCTACATTGTTTTTTGATTTCGAAAAGAATCGTTATGAAATGGAAACTAATTATTTATTGCACTGTACCTACATACCTTACATAAAAATAAAAAATATATCATTAATGATTTTTAAATTATGTGTAAGTATAGATATACGCAATTTAAAGCGGTTATTCTGTAACTGCATAAAGTATTTCGAAGTACAACGAAATAAATGAATTTATAACCAACAAATCAATTTATAACAATAAAATCATAAAATTTGAATTGTGATAAACCACGTTTATCGAATTTTGCAGTCATAAATGTACACTGGCATTACATTTTTTAGTATTAGCTTTTATTTCCAGACACCGTTGTTACCAAACTGAACAATGCTGCGCTCCTGGAAAAATAAATTCGATTTTCGAAAGTTTGCCCCCATTCACTCCGATCCAAATATTTTTATATCCAGCCAGGTATATCAAAGTATTATTTGGTCAATTGGTTTTTATTTAATAATAATTTCTTTTTTCAGTGGCAGAGAAATAAGACTGATCCTAATTTAATATATCTTATTTACCGCACTGCTGTAATGCTGTTCTTTTTTATTACATGGGTTATAACAATAGTACGGGAATCGGGCAAAGGAAAGTGGCCTATATTTCTAACGAACTGGGGCTACACAACAAACACAGTACAAGCGACTTTAGCATTTATCATGTTATTTTTCTCTTATATAGGATCAACGTGTAATAAACCAAAAATTAAAGAAAGCGTATTATCCCTGTACTCAGTTTATTGGGTAGCATATAATGTAGCATCATCGACAGGCCTGGTTATTTCAGTCATATACTGGACAGTGATATTCGATGGTACAATTAGTTATTTTAAATCATATATTATACTAATTTGTTATGTTACAGCAAATAAAATAGCATTGGATGCTTTAAATTTTTTCGTTCATGGAAACAATTCTATACTTATTCTCATAGATGTGTGCATAATTGCGCATCCATTTATAATGTGGCATGTTATTTACCCTGTGATGTTGGGAACAATTTATTCCATTTTTACTATCATTTATTATGCAGCAGGAGGCACCGGCAAGTAAGTTGATAGAAATTAAACAGCTCCTTCATTACAAAGTTTCTTAAATATTAATGCGTGGTTTGTTTGTTACAGGGAAGGAAGGCCGTTCATATACAAAATTGTAAATTGGGACAAACCGGGCATGACGCTTGGTGTGTGCTTAGGAGTGCTTATATTCGTCATTATCATTCATTCGTTGATGGTCTTAATTACGGCAGCTAGACAAAAATTAGAGAAGAAACTTAGAAGTAAGAAATTAGATATAACGGTGGAAACTAAGAAGCAAGAAGCTGCTTATGTCAATGAAGCCATGACAGATGTAGTGTGAATTTAATAATTATTCCATAGAATAGAATCGTATTAAATTGTGTGCCATAAAGAAAGGTTTCTTTTCGTAATTTTTGTAAAACATTGTATGTATAAAGTGTCGTTGTTTAAAAATAAATATAGTTCCTTTAAAAGTATTTATTGTAGGTAAACTAATTGAGATTATTTTGTTAACGTAATGAATTTGTTAACGATGTTAACGTTTAGAGCGGTGGAAATTTATAATTTGATGTACAAATAGATAATTATTCATTTACCTTATTATTGATTAAAGTATAACAAAATGAATGGCTATTTTACTTGTTAAATTAAACTCTATATTTAGGTGTCTTCTAATAATTTTAATACTTTTCTTAACATAACTTATTGATATTGGAATATTTATGTATATTTATTCAAATATCACAAATTAATGACTACATAAAATAATTTACAATATTTATACTTACATTTCAAAATTTAATAAATTCAATCACGTCGTTTATATCACTGCTAATATGAGCAAATGCATCGCAATTAACAAAGCACCAAATTCTACTTCGTATTTTCGTGAATCCAATCCAGATATTCCGTCACCCTCGTGTAAACTCCCGGATATCCCGGCTCCCCGCATTTATTCCCAAACGACACCACTCCAACTTGTATCCACCGTGTGTCCCAATATACCATGAGAGGCCCCCCGGAATCCCCCTTTAATTAAACCAGTTAATTAGAACTTAAATTAGTAATTATTAATTTTAAATTACCTGGCAAGCGTCAGTGCCCCCTTGAGAATATCCGGCGCAAATGAAATTAGCCGTGATCGGTTGGAAATATGCATCGTTGCAATCTTCGTTTCTCCAAATGGGCAATACCGCCTGTCTCTGAACGGTACTTTCTTTACCGCCGTAATACGTGGTGCCCCAACCCACGACAGTCGCCTTCTTGCCGGCGAATTTGTCGTTCCTCAGCTGCGGGGGCGGCAAGCACAGGGGAATAACGTACTTCGATTTACGAGCTGGCTTGTCTAGTTTCAAGATGGCGATGTCGTTGTAGAAACCTATTCTCGAAAATTGTTTGTGCGTCCTGATTTCCGTCACGTTGAAATTTACAGGACTCGACGGTTCGTCGTCTCGCCTCAAATCTACGTCTCCCAAGCGAACGCTGAATTGACGCACAGCAAATCTGGAATAATGTGCATTTTAATAGTTCTATAATCTAATAAGGCCGTGGACTGGTAGAAGAACAAGAGATCCATGGATAAGAATGGCCCAACAGAACTAAGGCAGACCTACTCTTGGGTACCCATATACAGTAACGCCCTGCTATACTCCTACCAGATAATCTTTAGAAACTTACGGCCGTTGTCTTGAATCCCTAGTGCAATGTGCTGCAGTAAGGACATGAGTAGCTGTTACTAAGGAACCTCCGCACCAAAATTCGCTTCTTCTCGGACCGTGCAAAAATATGGCTGCCATCCAGGGCCACTTTCCAGACAAGGCTTCTTCTCCACCTACTACCCTGAATTTAGCCGATTCCGGTTGGCCGCAATCTGAAAATTTGTGGATGATTTTGCTTGCATTAGGAACACGTTTCGTTCGTACCTTCTGGATTGACGAAATTATTGATAACAGGTATTGTCGAGTGGTTGAGCTTGGGCGTATTGATTGCAACAGGAGTCAACTGTTGCCTTTGGGGTTTTTCCGTGTTGTAATAAATAGCAGCGAACGTGACTGGCGCTGAGTGAGTGGGGCGAGTTGTGGTCGTTGTGGTTGTTGGTGTTGTCGGTACAGGGTTTGCGATGGCAATCGAACTAGGAGACGACACTGGCGTTAAAACTGTCGTTTTCGGACAACAAACGCCGGGTTCAAAAAGACTCTTGAAGCACAATGACTGCCTTAGGTTTCCTAAATTGAGCAACAATTGAGGACAACTACTCAAGTCGTCGCAAAATCTGTAAAAAAGGTCATGAACTCCAATTTTATTTTAAACGTCAACTTTCATTTGCAGTTGGATTAATTATTAATTGAACAAGTTGATTATACTATTAACTAATCGCAACTTTCTCTCGATATTTGCATCATGGGCGATATTAGCGGCGTTTTCCAATGATACAACGAGGATATTTGAAAAATAGCTTACCCTTCTGTATCTTCAGGTGTCGTGCATGCTCTAGGGTCATTAGATTCGTTGTTATCTTTCCTATCGGCTTTATCAATTTTATTGTTAATACTTTCTTCTTTATTTTTTATAACACTTTCCGCATTTTCCACATCATGATTAATCACTGCTGGAAGTGCATCCCTAACAAATGGAGCTATGGTATCAGTAACATTCCTGCCTAGCACGTTCTTGCTAAGCGTATATAAAGCACTTGGTACTTCTGGTGAGAAAGTATTAGAAATTTCACCACCAGTTCGAGTCATATTCACCAAATATCTACCCACAGTATTCAGGGCTCCAAGAGTTTCTGTGATTTTATATATGGTTTCTGGTTTGAAATGTCTGCTAGAATCTAAATCCACATTTCCTTGATACCTATCGATGTTTCGATATTGATTTACATTCCTCGAATGAATATGAAAAGGTGGAATCTGCTCATATGGCGTAGTTGGATATCGATTGTAGTACCTCCTTTGGGGGCGTACTTCCATTTGAGGCGCACGTACCCACCTCGTGGGGTTATTTTGTACAGCAAAATTGGGCTGATAGTAGGTATTAGGTTGTTGGGAAGTCAAAGAAAACAGAAAGCAAAATATCGACATTCTACCTAAAATACAAAAAACAAATATTATGAACAATAAATTTCGTAACCCTTTTCTCATTTAAATGAAAGTCGCATGATTCACTATGTTGATCAACAGCCGTTTAGATGGGAAACTCCAAAATATTATATCATGGAGCACACGAAGCGGATGTGAAGTATTAAGTACACGCTTCTCGCAAGTCGAACTTGGGTGAAAGTGAAACGAATCATTTGTGCTACCTTGACACTTAATACCACTCTCGATCGGATTTTAGACACAGAAAACGCCGGCTTACGCAACGGAGCCATCGATACCGACGGTACCGTCTGCGAGGACGTTTCTTCGTTAATATTTTTACAAGGCAAACGTTTGTTGAACTCGCTTTGGGAAAATTGTGGACGATCAACTCGAGAATTTTTCAACACAAACTTCAAGGAAATGTTTATTGCTGAAAGGAACGATGATTTTTGGCGGAAATTTTAAAGTATTTTTAAGAAGTCGTTTCAAATCGTGGCGAATTTAGTTTCTTCTCAATTTTGCTAATTTTTTTTTTGACATATTCTTATGTACATATTCTTATACTGTATTTTCTATTACTATTGCCTTATCCCAGTCATATAACAAACATGTTACAAGTTTGCTACTTGTTTATTTTAACAAATTTTAATAATAAATCGGCGAAAAATTAAATTTTTCAGCACTGTTCATATTTCCATTAATTATAGTTTTGCCATTCCCAGAAAATTAATCATTCCCTCAAATTTTATAATTTCACTTTTTTTCACCTTGCAATAAATTAATATCGTTTGTTGAATGTCCTTATCTATCTTTAAATATCTGTTGCATTCAATTACAATAAACAAAAGAGTGAAAAGCTTGAATGTTTCCACGGTTTTCATTTTAATTTAAATTCATTGTTAAATCGAAAGGTACGATTTACATTTTACAATAAACTTTCATTTGCCGTTCAAGATTTTATTATTCGACAAATCTTTAATGAGATAGCGAAATATTCGAATGGATCGCCATTCAAATCCACACATACGTTAATTTTTCATTCATAAAAATATTAGTTTTTCAAGTTCACAATTTCTCCTCAAAGTAATCTCGTAAAACCTTAACAAGCTTCAAATGAAAGTACAATTTTGTACGTATTTTACGCTAAAATTGTGAATTTAAAATATATCTAAATTACGTTATTACTTAAGAGTAATTAATTAATTTTATATCTATATTTTGTGTACCTACCAAATGAGTTAATCCACAGACGCATTTCAAAGTATTTCGTTAATACACGAATGTCAGCGCAACATTCACACATACAAGCCACTTAACTGAAAGTTTTCGTTTGACCCAAATTTTGCCGTAGTAAAGACGAGTAAACACCAAAGAAAGTGACTACTTGAGTCAAATAAATCCCTTCTATCTTCATTTTCTCCCACTAGCCATCAGATGACATTTGTTATTTTACTTTCGTTTGAGGTATTTTTTTCACAGAATGATTTGTTAACGACTTTATCCGCATATCAAATCGACCAATTGTAGCAATTCGTGCCTTGAAAATAAGAGTGCATAAAAGATACTCATATTCAATGGGTGTGAATAAAGTGATTTATTTTTTAAAAATTAATTCGACTTTCTCCATAACAGCTCAATAGGGTATCAATGATTTCTTATCGTGCAAAAGATCTATTCTGCCGTGCCATTATTCCCTAAAAATAATTTAGCACTCCAATCCAATTCGTGAATTAGAATTTTTCGTATTACCAAATCGATTTGTTCCTTTGCGTTCTGTATAAATATCTCTGCATGAATAAATTGGAGCTATTGTGTGGGGCCCTTGGTTTTAGTTGCTACAAGGGATTTTTTTTAACGCTCGCTTGAACTAATTTCGCGAATCAATAATGGATCAAAATCCAGCTGTCAATCCTTCTTAGAATGTGGGCGGACAACCCGTTGAGGGTATGCATTAACATTCTTCTTGATTAGGTGTCTAAGGAAAAGGTCACATTTCTAATATACATTAACTGATGAATAAAATATTTTATCGATTTCACATTGTCCGCTTATCAGCGGATTTTATAAAACTGCATGCTCGCGTGCGTTTTAAATCTTTTTAATTATACAACATTATATGAAATTTTGAGATGAAAATTCGCAAGTGCTGTATCGGGTTTTGATAACATGATATACTATTGTGGAGTAATTGTTGTGTAATCGTCAACGTTGCCTAGCGATAATCTTAAGTCGAAATAATTTCCCTTTGAAACGATAATGCGGATTTTCTTTCGACTTATTAAATCTACCTTGACCTTTCCTGACTACATTTTACATAGGTAACATCTATTTCTCATGAAATTTTTATGCTTTTCGCGTATATTTGTTGGCAATCATTCTCGCTGGAATTTCGTTAGGATTATTTTAATAGGTGATACCCATTCGTAATTATTCTATTTTTGTACTATAAATGAAAATTCCACTCTGTGATGTATAAGAATAAAACTAGTGGTGAAAAGTTATTCGCTGTCTAAAAATCATATATTTAAGGACAAGAAAGTGAAAAGATTGATTTCAAATTTAAACAAAGCATAACAAATTACTATTTGTTCTAGTCTAGATAAAAATAAGTTTATTCAACTATTTCATTTTAGTGACGAATTCTTTTATTTGATTTAACGGTTTAAACAAAAAAGCGTTAAATTTTAAACAAATTGACGTTTTGATTTTTTTATTAGGTAGGTACTTGGCGTATTCGTTTTAAATGCTTTAAAACACCTTGAAGACCGACCGGATAAAGCACCTACATAAACGAGCCGTAAAAGAATTTACTATACACTTTATTTAAAAAAAAACGTTTATTTACGTTTATGAACGTTTATTTAAAATTATTAAGAAATTATAACAAACTTGAAGCTTGCTTGCCCAAAGCTCGTAAGAACAAAGGAAATTCGTGAAAGTCAGCGTCTCCTTCGCTTTTAACATATTAAAATGGACACAAAGAAAAAAGATTACCACTAGTGAAGGATACCTCCGCCTAAAATTAGGATACGGGGGAGTTAATACGGCCTTAAGTTTATTTATATATGATGTAGATCACAGAAAAGGGGTTGCAGGTTTATGACGTAACAGTTTGCGTGAGGTTCTTCATTTCAAGGCGCCACAGTGGCCACTAAAACTTATCGCTTCAGGATCTCCCAAGAAAACCTACATACACCGTGAACTAAATTTCATTTAAATACACCTTGTTGTATTCAGGATTCAGATACCTGATGATTTATTTACCCGACCCAATTACGGCATAGTTACCCAAGGAGTACATTTGGGGTAATTAGTTGTTTATATTTTACTAATCTTGCCACTGATTTTGAGATGTCATTAATGGTACCTACTAATAAAGGACACAAAGGAATGTGCCTATCATATGGAAACTTGATTAATCTTGATTTGTTATGTGTGATGGTATAAGGGGAAATTTTTTGGATGTGAAGCAGCTCCTGGTAGGAAGAAAACTCCGGTTGTAAAAACTCTGCTGGATTAGAATCTGCTATATAACTCCTTGGTTCATTTTTTTTAGTTTGAGCCACGGTATAATCGTTCTAGCACGTGCATGACTGAGCGAAGAAAGTGCGCAAGTGTGTGTATGGGTTAATAAGGTTGCAGCTACAACGCATTTCAGCGTCGGCTGTGATTCCAAGACTTGTGGAAAAGCTTTTAACAGTTGAGTGCAAACATGAATGCTTTGTATGTGACAGTGTCCGTAATACCGATCATACTGGTGTTTGCCGGTTTAAACCACGCTCATGGACTAACGACTTTTGGAAAAAACACCAATCAAGGGCAGAATCCGATACCGCAAACTAACGGTACGGATGTCTATTATTTTATAATTTTTGTTCGTAAACTTTAGCTAATTAAGTTTTTTTTGTAATAATCTAATCCAAATATTATTTTAATTTATAGAGCTTATTGTTTTATAGCTTTTTAACAATTTATTTGCACTGGTATGAACTTTTAATTTTTATACTAGAATCACTTAAGTTACTTGACTTTACTGGTGTATTTTCAAGCGCATGTTTCCCTAAAAAAATATATATTTCTTGTTCAGTTTTCTTATAGATTAATAAAAGGCAGTAGTAAAATCAAGTCTGAAGCTTTTCTAATTTTAGCTGTACGCGTGACCATAAATGGCATATTAATTTTTTGTATAGCGATATATTCTTTGAGATTCCGAAATAATAAATATTTATGAAGGAAATTTAAAAGTTTGATAATCATGATAATTAAAAAAATGTTGTAACATTAACCCTACGTTATTCTAACATAGGTATTCTTAATTTCATTAACAGTTGATGGGTATAATTTTTCGATTTGAAAAATTTAATTGAATTCACCAAAGCAATTTATAATGATTATTTAGGAGAGTGAAGTGATTATAATTGCTCAAAATAACGTAAACGCACTTTCAGTCTAATTTAATCCGAAACCAATTAATGGTATGTTTGTTTCTGGCAAATTAATTAAGTATGAGTGAGTGAATGAGTTCTTTATGAAGGAAATCAGTAATGTAATTATTTCAGATGATTGCTTGCAATAAGCAAACAATATAAAGATAATTTTAAAAAGTTAATAATACAGATAAAGTTAAAAATACACTGTAAACAGTTTTAAATAATTTCTTTCTTTAAAAAATAAATATTCTTTCATATTACCACTAGACTTAGACTAAATAGTTTCAAAACATGTAAGTATGCGAAATATTCTCGTTATCCCTATTAACATGGCATGTTAAGAGACCTTTACATGGTTTCTGAAAATTTCCCAGATTTATTATACCTATGTACATATGTTTGTAGGTAAATATTTCACGAACAAACGATATTATATAGGGGAGAAGAAAACTGATATTGAAAAAATATAAACTCACTTCGCTCACTCTTACATACTCTTACGCTTATTTTACAATGTTACAAGTAAAAGAACGATTAAAGAAAAGCATGGACGTTCTTAGCAAAAAAAAACTCTTTAGCATTTTATGATCGTTGAAATAATGAATCGGATATTTCAGTAAAACCAATAAATTGCACAAGTCAAGCGAATTGCACATTAATAAAGGGAACAACATGCATAAAATCATTTTGCCTATGCGGAGACAACAGCCATCCGGCAAATGGGAAATGCAACGCCAAATATAAAGGTAAGCATGTTTTACTCATTAATAATGATTGTAATAGACGATAATAATAATGGTAATGGCGTGAATACGTCATGATTGCGCCTAGTTTATTGGCGTGAAAATAAAGTTTACAGAATTCCTCGCCGAATAACGTGCTATGCCAAAACTAATTGTAAGACAATTTACTTGCTACAAATCCTGAATACGTCATCTTAGATTGTTGCGGTATGGTAAGGTTAAAGGTTGCGCAGGAAATTACCTATAAATTTGGTGTAACGCGAAGAGAAAAAGGCGAGAAATTTTTTTACTCGCGAAGAAAATCGAATGTATCCGGAAAAAACTAGATTATTACTATTGATGCTACGTGATGACCTGTTGATCGAAAAAATTGATATATTTTTCCTAATAATTAACAGATTACACTAAAATGTTTGGCGCAAATCTAGTTTCTACAAAACGTTTCCAACACGCCCATGGCTAGGAATACGCTTTATCAGATTTATTCAAATCCAAGAAAGTAGATATCACAAAAAGCGGATAATAAAAAGCACTGACCCTTTCACCCGTATTTAACACGATATAGTAGTGCGGTGAGGACTTATAATCAGGTAAAATGTTATCAAATTGGGACAAAAGGTCAAACGAACAAAACTTGAGGTTCGCGAATTTCTACCACTAAAGATTGCGACGAATATAATTATGGAAATTAACTACATAAAAAAGGGCGAATATAATAATCAGTTTTCTCTATGCATCATTAATTAGTTTTTGCGTAAATTAATTCAAAGGTTCTCTTTATGCGCGCTTTGCGTTACTTTAAGGATTATATACATAGGAGTATCAAAAGTATCTTAAAATACATTGCAAGTTTATTGTAGGCTTGAAACAACTGATTAAAGGATTGTTCAGATAATATTCTTTTAACTTATAGTTTAATAGCATAATCGCTCTTTGAACTTGTCCAGTTAGAATTAGGTTAAAATATTTCATATTGAGTGTGCTTTATTTAACATTATTTCTAATGAGCTATTCGCTTTTCAGGACCGAAGCATATATGTACAAATGACGAAGAGTGCGTAGAAAATGCCGTTTGTGCAGAATCCACCGACAAAAAAACCATTAATAATTTATTAACTAATGGTAACAACAATAACAATGCTCCGATTTTAATATGCCAGTGTCTAGATGGTTTATTTGCAATTGGAAGTGTATGCAGTGGTAAGTATCTAAAAATTTAAATTAACACATTAAATTACACATTAAAAATAGTTTGGAATTACATATTTCAAACCATTCGAAATCTTGTTCTTCCTATTCCATAATTTAATTTCAAACAGATGAGCAATCGAAATAGGAAGCCCGCGTTTTCATTTTGAATTTCACCGTTTCCTCTGCGGGAATTACAGGGTAATTTCATTTCTTCGTGCTGAGGAAATTAGCAGTTACCTGCCCGAGTAAATTATTGATTTATTCATACTTTGTTGTAGGTGCCGCGGTGAATACAGCGCTGCCAGGTTTGATGATATTCGTTGCAGTACTTGCAAAAATTTACTGAACAGCGTGAAGATTTTGTGTAGAAATTTTGCTTTTGCACTGACAAAATACTGCACTATAGAGATCAATTAATATTTTGCTGCTTTTAATCAATTCATAGACAGAAATGTGTGTCAAAATTTATTTAGATTATCTACAGTAGTTTTAGAAATTGCAAATTAGTTTAATTATTCTATATAAATGTAAACTTTTGTCTAAATGTGTTATTAAAATTTGATGCATTGAAAAGTACAAGTCGTAGTTAATTAAGTCAAGATTTTATATTTAATATATTCTAGTTTTTCAACACAGGACACTTCAATATTTACCACCCCATGTTACATGAAATACTTATTTAGAAAAGCACTTTATCAAATAAAACAAGTTGCATGACATGAAGAAAACTTTATTGTAATTTTATGTCATAAACTGCATCATTTTTTGAATAAAACGTTTATTAAATAAAATATGTACGTTTTAATTTTAGTATAAATACAAAACATACTTACTTAATCATTTTACCCTTTTGGTCATAGGTACATGAGCGTTCATAAAAATGTATATCGAATTAACTATAATAAATTATGTAGTTATTAAAAATATACTTGAAATAATACTACAAAGAAGTCAAATTTACTAAAATGTTAAAGTAGGTATGTTGAAAATTAATTAAAAAAATTGCACGAACTTAAAATAAAAATACAACTAGCATTACAACATACCGACGATGGACTTGCAATATCTCTTAAGTACCATTTCATTGTTAATACTTTCACTAGCTTTTCACACAATGCAATATATTGCTGCAATATTGCAGCTATTTCTTAATATATTGCACCGTGTGAAAACGCTCTAAACCAAATCAAATATCAGTAAATTTATTCGATATATAATTAATGTATTAATAAAAAATGGAGTATTTAAAATTGGTTTATTATAGCACAATTCATTAATAGATAAGCTATATGTTTTCTGCGCCTTACAGGACAACGTATTTAGGAAATATTGCAAACTCTCCGCCAATATTATACTTGGTACACAGCCATAATTAATTTTGGAATGTAAAATACAATGTGAGAACTTAAAAGATAGGTAATTTCACTTATTACTAATAAAAATGTTCTAAAATACATTACGTGATTCAATAAACCTGAGGGCGTTTTCGTATAAATACTCAGTTAAATTTTATTTCCAATAGAAACTATAAAAAGTGGTCCAGTCGTCAATTACGACAATAATCGTCAAGGTCGTTATATAAAATGTGGACGTTTTAGTTCTGGGTGTTGGCAGACATCACCGGGGGGACAATTAAATCAAATATGATAATTCTTTCGAAAAATAAATAAAACATAAACAAAAAACAGAATATTAACAACTTACGTAAAATTGTATTTTATACATGTTTAAAAAGTTAAAATTTACTATGTGAGCATTATAATTATAAAAAATATTAGTACGATTTCGAACCCCAATAACTAAAATCGATTCTCAGTTCCTCTCTAAAACAATAAAAACCCAAATGAAGGAATATACTGTCGAATGCAACTCATTCGATAATTAAATAACAAATACAAATTGCCTAAATATTGACATATTTACAGAGATAAAGCTTACTCGTATCATACAACAGGAAAAATAGGATCGTTAATGTATATTAGTGTGCGTCATTTCTGATAATTTTTTAAGTGAACAGCATATACATAAATATTCGTTGTATAATAAAATAATATCATGTTTGGTACATGTGGCAGAAATGAAATTCATTGTATTCCGGAACTCACTGAATGCTTTATCTTTTGTACGTTTTACGTAAATTAATTTTTTTTCAGCATTTGTTTGTTTAGACTGTATTTTTTTTGGTTTAAGTCAGTCATGGCATCGCATAATGTCTTCTTACTGCTAAACATATTTTCAATGACACTGAAGAACGACATATAGAGTTTAAAAACAGTAAATAAATACTTGTAATACTTTTTTATCATTTTCGATTAATTTCATACACCGATTGTTAACGCCGCCACGATGGCGTTAAGAACAATCATATTCCATTGGGAAATAACGTTGGAGTTACACTGCAAATCGTCCCGAGGATAGGATGTAGATGGCGGAGACTCGTCGCCAATTTTGCAGTGTTCGCCTCTTGAAGCAAATTCTTTCTACAAAGCCAGCATCAAGAAGTCACTTTATTTAAAAATTAATACGGCAAACTTACGGCACATATTTCTTTACATGGAGGACACTTTATGGCACCCTTATGAAGCCACCCATTGCTAATGATTCTTATGAAAATCTCTTGATTGGCATGGTAACATTCATACGAATAATTTCCAACCTGGAAAGTCATCGTTAAGGAACAAACATGCTAAACAAGAAATTATAACTCACTAGAATATGTAATCGGCCGTTTTCGCATCTATAAGCGTAACAACCCGAGCCCCAGTGCTGCCACTGCCTCATTTGCCTGCAAGACTTTTCCTCCCACATCTGATTAGTGTGTTCGAAACAACGAGATTTTTCACCGTATTTCTCCAAAGCGAAGTTCTTGTCTGGCTCTGAAATTTTAATTTTTCAAGGAATATTAACGATTGTTCTCATGTGACATTGATGGCATTAAATCCAGCTAGAGTTGAAAATTTGTACCTATAGAGCTCTAATATTTTTACTTACTGGGATTGTTTTCTACATATTGGCAATGGGAACCACGTACAACCACATTTTTCGACCGCCACGTGAATTCTTGGATATAAGGGCAATAATCTGCTAAGGACACGGATCCTCCATAATAACCTTCCAAACCGGGTTCTACGTAATCTATTGAATCAAAATTCTACAAAAAATCATTAATTAAACGTACGAAATATCATATTAAGTGATAAGTTACCTGGTATATCAGAGGAAGGGGTTGTTTGTGTTCGACTAAGTTACAAAGAGCCACTGAGGTACGATCGTCGGTGCACTCGGTTTGCAGTGGATCCCTTTTAACTTTATTGCAAAACGGATGAATAGAACTACCTCTGAAAACCGATTAAAATAAAATTACCATCGCCTAATTAGCAAGAAAGTTTTACCTACCGAGCAGCCTTGTTTGTAATCCATTCTTTGCAACTCTTCAAAACGAAATCACAGCCTAAATTTTTGCCCCACGACATGTCTTCTGCCATGGAGTAATTGGCAATGTACCACCCCGTATCTTCCAGTAAAGCCAATGTTATGCGCGATATTATAGGATTTTGAGTGTGCGTGCCAGTCATCGCTTCATTCTGAAACAATAAACGACCTTTTCAGAACGAGATCCCGCCGGATTCATATCTCCATTACCTCAAAAACCCTTTTCTCCCAATGCGTTAACGCCGTACCGTCCTCTCCTTGATCTTCCAATTCAGCCCCTTCTAACTCAGAACAATTAAAATAACTCCTGGCTTCTCTAGCAACATTTTTCGTAACCACCATTTGAACCTCCCTCGGAAGGTAACCCGATTTAACCAGCCAATTCGGCCTTACGAAGGTTTTTATCACCTTATCGCTCCATTGGTAAGTTTGCAAACTGAAATAGAACAATTAAGGTGAACTCGAAATACTCTTCCGATAAGCAAGTTTCGCCTACGTTTCGTTCAAAGGTGGTTTTCCCGTCTCGGGGCTCCTCTCGGTCAGAGGATTCCCATCGGCGTCCCGATAGAAAGCGTACAAGCTCATCGAGAAGCCGAGGGCGTGGAGGATTTCGTGCTTAACCGTAGCGAGGTGTATTTCGAGCTCCTGTCGTTTCGTGCTGATGCTGTTGGGGCATAAATTCGCATGACCGGCTATGGGCCTGCAACAAACAACCGTGAGAATCGCTGCGTCGATGGCGTCCCGCGTTTTTATCACCTATCCAAGGCGGACTCTTGCTGACAATGGGACGCGTACGCGACTGTTAGGGACTTGTTGCACCGCTCGGTTTGCATGGCGGATACGTAAAACACGAAGTCGAAGTCCGGTATGCCTTTTCCTTGTTTGAAGTTCTTCGCTATGCGGCAATTCTGGCCGGTGGAATTGCAAATGCGGCAGGCGTCGAGATGGTCTTCGGGAACTTCTACCTCGCCGCACATGGTTTTCTCTTTGCACGTGTCGATGCAGTGAGTCCAGCCGTCCTTTACGAAAACCCGGGAGTCCGCGCATTTTCTGTAAAACGAATGGGGAAATCATTTTCCCGTTGGAACGTTCACGGTGCAAGAGAAGTTTAAATGCGCCTTCGGTTGTTTCGTTATGCCGGAAGAAACTACTCATATTTAAGTATGAAGAAACAATAAAACAATAATTAATATTGATGGATTTGGATTTTTCAAGGATTAGTTAAAACAGAAGCAATAATTTTCTGTTTATACGGATGCGATATTAAACGAATTGAATAATGTTTTTACGAATATATGTACATAAATACATAATTATACTGAATCTGCGGTTTATTTATTATCAAATAAAAATTTACTGGAAGGTTAAAATACCTTAAGCATTGTTTATCTAATTATTGAAAACCACTCTTCCAGCCTTCCGTTGGAATATCTTTGAATTAAAAAAATTTAAACGTGAAGGCGATTACGTCGATCTTTTTAATAATTTTTGGAATTAGCATGCCTTGAAGATGCATTTCGCACGACAAGGTTAAACCGTGACTATTCTTGAAAAATACTTGCTCTTTGCATTGACCAATCCTTAAAAATACACTTATTGTTAGAACGATTGTACCTTTCTATAAATAAGTGTTTTCCATCATGTTGCAATGGAGTCTAAACACAAATTATTTGGATCAGCCAATAATTTAAATAACTTGCGAATAAGAACATCATGATACGCTTCTGCGAACACAATATTAATAGATATAATTCTTAAATTATCTGCTCGGTTTTTCCAGAATATTATTCATGAACTATGAATAATAACATTTACATTTGCAATAACTGTGATACAAAATAATTGTAGTTTATATCAACCTATAGACGTTTAATTAATTTAAAAATTCGAAGAGATAATTATATTACGAAACAAGCAAATAGACTAACATATTACAAAGGCAAACTAAACAGGTTTTTATATAATATTTTTTGTGTTTTAAAATATCGTAATGTTCCAAAAGATCTAAAAAACTCACCTTGTTAATCGAATTACATTTTCCGTCCTTCTGACAAACAAAGCTTTTTCCCAGAAATTGACTGCTTCAGGTAAAATTGTATTCTGGAAAAATACATGTTTATCTAGGTTATAAGTGCCTTACTCGTTCAACTCAAATAATAGCACTTTTCCAATCTGAGTAAGACATAATGCAATTAGATGTAGCGATGTTAGTAAAACAAGAAAGAAACATTATATCTCTAAAAGAACATTTTTCTGAAATGAAAACTAAAAGATTGTTTGTTTGAAGCGCAAAGTAGACAAAGATAATATCCTTACTATTCTGTTTCAGGAAAAATAGAATTAGAAACGAAACAATCTTTGTATTGTTTCAAAAGAACCGGTAACGATATATCCTTAAAACTCCTAATGGACAGAAAACTATTAATTTTCGATTAGCAATTTCTACTTTTACTTCCATAACATCTTAAATAATTGTCAGCCACATTGATAATTATAATTAATACTTACATTTATTAACTCGAATCTTTTTTGATCCAATCTGAAAGATAATATACAAGAAATTTCAATAGTGAAAGTGACAATTAAATGCTAAATTGTTTACGTGCACACTACCTCTTAAAGTACCTATTAATAACAATAATTATATAAGATATTAATTGTGAATAATTTAAAATACATTTAGTCAAAAGCCTGCTGATTATTCTTGTACTTTTTAATTCAGCATTATGTAATATTTAAGAAGTCAATTACAATATGTAACATAATTGTTCTTTAAATACACACTTGATTGAATTTAATTAGAAATAGGGTAGGTACAATAAAATTAATTAAGTGAACAGAAAATCTATTGTCTTCAACTAAAGACAAGAATATGTTAATTAAGTGTTTAGAACGCAGCAGGTATAAAAAAGTTTTCATCTTTTTTATGAACTATAAAATGTGAAAGACATGAAATGTTTTCATCCTTATTCGCGTAATTTAAAAGTTAAAAGGGAACTTCATTACCTGTATACACTTTGGTCGTAGTACAGCAATATTCTCAGCGATTGATCGGCGCTTCTTTTTCTTAGAACATGCTCCGGATCTACTTTTGTGTGCAAAACCTAACAGAAAATAAAGTAGCAATTTGTAATTAAACGCCCACAGTAACAGCCAGAATGTAACTTTATTCAGGAATAAATTGATGTTTATTACTGCCTCTAATAGGGCTAGATTTAATGTCCGCATACTCGCATCAATTGTTAGGTAAAAATTAAAAGAAGAATAGAAATGGAAAACAAAAATAATGCAGTCCAATTTCCATTCCAATAAATAAATTGACTCAATATCACGATAATTAAAAATATAGTTTGTACTGACTAAAATTTATTTATTTATTAAAGCATGGTTTTTTTAACTATAACTCTTTTGGAATATTCACATCGTTAGCAAAATAAATTGAATAATAACCTGCATAATTTCTGCAGTTATACAAAGTAAACAAAATAAAATCGGATATACACAGACAAATTTCACAAACAACGTATACAGACTTTCATTCATAATTTTAATTAAGAGCAAAGTAAATTAAATTGCCTTAACTCTCGTGCGTCTTGTATTCAAATATCAAGTTTGTTCCAACCCAAGAGAAAATCGAAATATTACTGTACACGACCTGCACTTTACGCAGAAAATGTTGAGTAGATTTGAAATATCCTTTGCACGCGCAGTTTCTGTACCGTAATATTATGATTTTCACATGAGTTGGAACAAACCTATCGTTTCAGTTTCTTTCTAAGTACACAATAATAGTTACCATTGCTATTATGAATGTTTTATATACGCGATTACCAGTATAATTGGACTAATAAAGCTTTTTAATCTTTAAACCAGATAAATTTTGCTGCATATTTCTCAGAGTTTCTTAATAAATTGCACTCACGTAATTTTAATAAATGCTTAATTAATGTTTGCTTGATTATATTTCTAACAAGTAGACGGCGCATTGAAATTTAAAAAAATATACAAGGAACTTGGTGCGAACATTTGTGAAACATAAAAACTCAAATACATTGTGTTGCGACCAAAATGAATGTATTTATATGCTAGATAATCCACGAAAATATTTCGGAGACATAGCTTAAGAGTTATAAATAAAAAAGTATTTTAAAATATCATAATTTTAGATGCCTTTTGTTTAATCCCACGATGATTATTATAACAGGGAAACTGCGTAGAAATATATGTAATTGCCCTAATATTCAGGCATTAACGCAATATTACCCGAAACTCATCATTGCATATAGTTTAAATTGCCAATTAAACGGTTTTTGTAAAGTCATTCGAATATATTCACCATTTTTACAGATATATTAATCAAAGCTCTTTCACTACAACAAATAAATTGAAAACAAGCTCACAAATCCGAGCATATGTAATAATTCGGTTTTCGAAATGAAATATTTATATAATCATTTTGACACGATGAACTAGAAATTTTAATTCCATAAAGTAAATACATCATATATTCCAGTATTTCCCAGATATTCCCGATTGCTAAAAATAGGCTATTGATTTATTTAAAATACTCAATTTTGAATATGTGTTATTCGAAATTCGGCAGTAATATTTTATTAATTTACATTTTAATGAATTTATTAATTTGTAATTATTACTCTCTGTTTTTAATATAATTAATGGCGTGAAGATTGTAATATACAGTGCGTTTCATTGTATTGAAACTATGTGAAAAAAATTTATTATTATTAGATTGAGGGAAAGCACTATCTACGCTTTGTAAAAAGTTCTAAATGCACTCTTGAAAATGGTTAGGTTGATTTCATAACAATTTAAAAATTTATTTCATGTTATTGCTAACCCGTCTGTCTCTGGAATGAATAAGTAGGCAGGTAAAAGTGTTGCAAGGAAAAATTTCTTATTGAGTAATAAAAAAATTAGGAATTGCCTATGGTAAACTATGATAAGTACATAAATTGTGGTAACTTTTTCTACTTTCAATGTTTCTATTGTTTGTTATGAGAATTACTATTGGATAATACCATTTGTTTGGTCGAAACTTGAATGTGTAACAATTTTAATTTAATTTTTGAAATAGGTAATAATAATGATTAGATTTAATATTTCATGTATTAAAAATTATAGTAGGTGTGAATTAATTAATTGGACATCATTGCAAAAAATGAACTAGTGTTTTTGAACTTAAAATTTCGCTATTATGTCCTTATGTTTAATTGAAACAATTATCTTTGTCGCAACTAGGACAGATATATGGCTATTAAAAAAAGTAACGGAACAAAACATTTAGGCTGAGTAAGTACGTGTTTGTAATCAAACCATTTACCATTTGTTAAAGTAATTACTTTCCACTTAAACGGATCCCACACAAAACCAATTTAAAAACCTAAACGAAACTTCTAAGTGAAAACTCAAGAAAAAGGTATGCAAAAAATGCGAAAGTTTACAAATAAAACAAAACTAACCTCTTGTTGTTTTGGATGCACATGATTGCAGTGCCTGGAGCTCGCAGCACAATTAATGAAAAATTCAACGAAAACGAAACAAAAAAAACTGCGCGTTTTCCATGTAACTGGTTTCACCATTCTTGCGAAAAGCCGAGGAAATCGTCGAAAATAAACATTCGCGTTTTTGAGGTTAGGAACGTCTGTTGATAAATTCACATTTGAACCACTCCTTGTAACTTATCAGAAACAACTGATTCCGCCGTGCTTCGGCTTCGGCTTGTGCCTGCTATGCAAACTAAATAAAACGAACTACGCGAGTACGCGAATAAAATACTCTACCGTATACGGCAAGCGTTTCTCTCGCGACTCACAGAATCTCAAATACCGGCGCGATCAAGCAGTTTTCTAATTACATTTTCTACAATTAATATTTTTTCAAATCAAGTTTAAACGAAAAATTCCAATAATTTCCCGTACAATCTGTCAGCAAAATGAATGATTTATTCCTCGGAAGAATTTGTATTTGTTGTGCTCTGTTAATATTAATAGCCCCGAAGAAGGTATACAAGATTATTAAAAAAATACGATCTATTTTTGAAAATTTTCTGAATCTTTAGTTTTTGAAAAAGGGAATAAAATGACCTATAATAAAAATATAATTGAATTACACCTGTTAAACTTTTATCAAATGTAACTGTCAAAACTGACAGTTACAAAGTCAACCTGAAACTCCTGAAAGTAATGAGTGAAATTAAATTCAAATTTTGACCTAAGAACCAATTGAACTAAAAATCTATATCGCGTGAAGGAACTAAATAGTTTTTGATGGCCTTTGACAACAGCGCTGTATAACCAATATTTAGTAGAACACTTCTTTACCATAGTGTACATAATAATCGTTCCACAAGAACTACACAGATGTCGCCACTAATTTAGGTATTTTAAATGGTAATTAGAATACATATTTACATCATATCTATGTTTATACCATTAGAAACTTATTTAATTTACAAACGAAATATTTATATCCCCAATTGACGGTTATTGTTATATTAGAGTTAGCCAACTATCATTTTCTTTTACAACAGTGCAAGAGAGAAAGAACGAGATTGACTTTAAATGACTTGACGTTTCTTTATGAAATTACTGTTGTGTTGTTTTGTGATTATTATCCCATCCCAAAAAGATTGAGATGGAAAGTCTGCGGTTCCGCCCCCTATTTTTAGTTTTGTTTTAGTTTAGTTGTAAAATGACTTCATAGTTTTTAACGAATGCTAAATATTGTTAGCAGAGTGGTTAGAAATCCTTTTTTTGTGTGGTGCTTTTGTTGGTTTTGTAAAATAATCGTTTTATGATGCAAAATTAATGTGATTCAGTTGACAAGCAATTTATTAGTATTCCCAACGGTTGTCAACTTAATTGTTTACAATCTAGAAATTGAACTCTTTATGCCCTTTTTAAAAAGGTTAATTATTCAGTATAATATTGGTATGGTTACATATCTACGATGACGGTTGATTTTAATGATTACTTTTGGGTAAGTACTGTTTATTCAGCACCTTTGAATCTTATCTACTTACATGTAATAGGCTAAGTTAATTACTAAATACTATTTTATTTATTAGGGGGAGAAAAATAATGGATTTGATGTCTTATACCATAACATGAAATTTGGTTTAGTTGCTAGCAAAGAATTTGCTGATTTTCTTAGAGAAAAGTAAGTAAATTTACACATACAGCTTTTTTGTAGACAGATTCTTAAGGTATATAGGAAATTCCTGCTATTTCTAATCATAAACTTAAGCTCGCTTTATGAACTACACCAGAATCTTATTTAATTTGTAATAGACAACAAGCTGGAGCTTGTTGAAAACCAAGCACTCTGCTGTAATTATTGTGATATTACCCATGATGCACCTACTTACATAATTTCGACTATAACATAATCTAAATGTGCATTTCACTTTACTAATCTCTCTAATAATAATTCGAAAGGGTATTTTAGTAGCCGATTAAATTGCTATAAAGACTCGCCTATTAAACTTTAGTTTACACGAATTCTCTACGTCATTCTCCTAGTTCCAATTTCGTTACGAGCAATAACATAAACTATGAACAGAAATGTACATTGTTCAAGAGATGTGAACATGCAAGGAATGTTCATATGCCTTAGAATTGTACCATACAATATGTATTACAAAAATTTAGAATATACGATACTGTAATTTTTTTGATACGTGGAATACCAGAAGTGCTTTGTATTATAAGAGCAAAATAATATTACAGGAAAATACAGTATAGAGAATTACAATTATTTAAACACGAGAGTGTAAAAGTGAATCTAAGAAAAGGTACATATTTAACCTAGGAACTCGATATGATCTTAAAATAAATCCAACCCGATGAAATTACTATAGATGCACGAGACTCTTACAAACGCTTTAAATTTTGAATGTAAACAATGCAGGCAATGAATACACTGTCTACAGAAAAACAAATCTGTTGTCCAGCTTAATTTTAAAATTACCTTTCAAGTGGTTTAAAAATTTTATTACCAGTTAATATTTATTGTAGATCAAATTTAGAAGAAAATAACTCAAAGTTATTGAGTAAATTAGCGAAACAAGCAAGTACTTGTTGTGTGCAAGGTACATTTGCACCATTATGGCAAGTATTGAGGACATCGGCGGAGAAATTGTCTCTCCTTCACATGCAAATGGTACAAAAAGTGACAGATTTAGTCAAGGAAGTGAGCAAGTACTCCGATGAACTGCATAAAAAACACAAGATGGTAAGTTATTCATAAACATATTTTTATTCTTACCAAACAATACGAATGAATTGGTAATATTTGTACGCAAATAAATGGAAGTTATCTAATTACAACATCAGATAAAAATAATAAAAAATTACTATTTCTGTTGTATCCAATATATTATTTTAATTTCTGTAAAATTTGTGTAATTTCTGTGGCTCACTCACAAATTATACTATTAATTGTTCGATAATTATCACAGTTGACAATCATATGATCTGTACAATTTGATTTAAAACAAATTTAAAGTTCATTGTTTTAAAGAATATTTCTTACTGAATTTATAATGCCTGATTATACCCGCATGTTTTTCCTAAAATGAATTCAGACAATGTTGCTTTTATTTTTATTGATGAACCACAGACATATTTCCGTTTGATAAGGTTTGTTTTCAAATTGATATGTAGTGGTTTTATTTTTCATTATTATAAATTTGGTGGTATTTATTACGTAATCATTAAGCTTTATTATATAATTAGATTTAAAAATTATATTCCATTAAAATGATCACTGCATAGTAAACGTAAACAATTTAATTTTAACTTAACGTATGATATTAGCATGGCAATTGATTATAAATTGACTCGATTATAAATATCTTAGCAATTAAATATTATTTCATCATTCTTCCATTGTCCTGTAATTAAATAAAATTGAAACTGATAAAGAAGTTCATTGTGTCGTTATTGGATTTGGCTTAATTGGACTTTCTACACTCAGAAATTCCACATCTTTTAAATTATTTCTAGTAAATAATTGGTTTTCAATAGGTAAAGGAGGAGGAATCCGGGACGCTGGAGGCAGTCCAAGCCATGCAGACGGTGACAATAAACGTTCAAAAATCTCGTGACATCTATACACAACGCAGTTTGGAATTAGAGAAGTTACGCAAAGAAAGCAATTCTCCCAAAGAGATAGAAAAGGCGGAATTGAAACTGAAAAAGGCACAAGAGGATTACAAAAGTTTCGTAGATAAATACAGCAGCGTTAAAGAAGATTTCGAGAAAAAGATGTCCGTAACGTGTAAAAATTTTCAAGAATTGGAAGTCAATCATCTGATGCATATGAAGGAATTTCTCAATAAATACGCCGATGTTATAGATTGGACACATCAAGAAATGGGAACTGTACATTTAGAATTTAGACAGCAATGTATAGATTTAACAGTAGATCAATTACTTGAACAATTCGTAAGGAGCAAATCAACAGGACTCGAGAGACCAGGTACGCTTTTTTTTAAGTAATTACTCGCCCATACAAATTGCCAATTTCTTCGAAACAATAATTTATGATTGGGTTATAGGCGTGTTGAATTTGGATGACCCACTCACGTCCCCCACACTGACGGAGGCAGAACCAAAGCCAACAAAGAAAGAAGGTAATGGTCAAAATGAACAATCCGTGCCAACACATGCCAAAACATCTCGTCGAACAACCTCTCTCTTAAACCTCTTCATGTCTAACTCCCAGGGTACGTTTATGGCCTCCCGATGGTTAATAACACTTTTAACGGGGGCTTGGGCTATTTTTTAGGATCACGTGAAAGTCGAGCAGGTCCTTGTAGCGCGCCTTCGAGCCCGACGACTCCGGAAGGCGAGCAGCAGTTAACGAGACACTCCAATAGAGGATCCAAGTGTAAATTTTTCTCTCCTTTTAGATCTTACCAGGACCGAACGGACACGTAAAATTTCTTTTAATCGTATCTCACGCATTATCTTGTCGTGTCTCTGAAAATTGCTCTGTGGACGATTTTGAGGAATTTTATGTCCCCATACTGTCTTCCAAGCTGCATGAGTGGCCAGAACTGTATATTAATTTTCGGTGGAGGTTTTTCTTTTATTTTTTCCTTTTTCAGCAATTCGTGTCTTTATGTTGATATAGAAGGCTTTTATTGTTTAATTTTCTCATTGTAACCTGGGTACCTAATAAAGGATCATATTTCTTCAAATGTCCAAAAAATCGTTGAAGCAAAATGCCATTCCTTTGTTGGGTTATTTGAGGCTTTTTATTTACTATTATAGCAGCATGGCTCATTTCTATTCATTTTATGGCGTTGTGTTGGCAACTCAATATTTTCTACATTATTATAAATAGTAACGCTCTAGTATAAATAGTTGAAGCTGATAAACATTTATTTTATTGTCGCACATTTTCGTATTAGAGTAACTGCTTTAAATGGTATATATAGGCACATCTTTCGTTCACCCTATTGTTAACAATATTCACCTGAATTATTTGACTCCTCTATAATAAGCGAAATATTAATACAAAATGTGTTCTTAGGGTTTTTAAGAAGTAGAAGAGATAAAACTAAACAGAAGAAAACAAAGAAAAAAAGCAAAGATAATGTTGATAATCAAAGCAATAAGGAAGAAAAATCAGATCTGTAAGTTTTTATATTGTATTCGCGAAGTTGATGATTATTTTCACTAATCGATGTGATTATTATTGCAGTGAGGAAAAAGATGATTCTCAACGAAGCCAAAGGACCACGGACACAGGGGATCCTTCTACTCAAGAAGTCGATGAAGATGGCTTTGTGATAAGACAGGACGTGTCTCATAATTGGAACAGCGAAAAGGGTAGTTTTTATTCATCATCCGATTCTGACTCAGGTATTCCAACTATGAGTGCTATGCTATAATTCCCTAAACGTTTTTGTTTGTTTTAGATGAAGATAGAGAACGCAAAATTCACGTAGAAATCAAACCTTTGAACAACGGATCGGCTCCGATGTCCGCTTCAGTCGATGAACTAAGAGCAACCGTCGGAAATTTGTATTTGTCTCCCACAGGAGGTTTCGCGAGACGCGGATCGAACATGGATTCCGGAATTGAAAAGATGAAGAGATCGCAATCGGTTTCGCAGCAATTGCCAAGTAGTGATCTATTGGGCCTAAATTTCCTTCAAAGTCCCACTGCCTCGAATGCTTCCACGCCGACTAGTTCTCATCCGTACGCTCCCTTGCAGAGCCCTTCACAGCTTGCGTTGAATTCCCCTACGCTCTCCTCCTCTTCTAGATATGCAGGTAAGACGCGTTATGTTATTACTTGTCGAATCGGAAATGAACGGTGTATGTTTCAGAATTAGGAGACATTTTTTCCGAAGACGGGGAACTGCAGCAGCCCCCGTCGAAGCAGCATTCTCAGCGCCAAACGCCGACTCCAACGTCTGGCTACATGTCAATTCCACGACCGCCTTCGCGTCGTTCCGATCCTTCTAGGAATCTCATGAATCAAAGTACAATATCTCGTGCCGATAGTATAAATAGTTTAGAATTTCGTACTGCTTCGGTCCCCATTGGCGTTTCCAGAGGCCCTAGTCCTCTAACCATAGGCATGGCGGATACTATTCCTCTTGCAGTGGCTTTTCACGAGATTGTCCATTCGTATTTCAGAGGCGCCGACGAATCACGGTAAGATATTATATTCGTTTTAGTCCATTTTGTTTAACACTCTTCTGTTTGTAGGTGTCAAGTTAAGATGTCTGGGGAAATGATGCTGTCATTTCCAGCTGGGATAGTAACGATACTTGCGAATAATCCTAACCCGGCTAAGTTGGTATTTCGGGTTAAAAATACGTTCAGGCTAACCAGCATATTGCCCAATACTCAGTTAATCAATTTGTAAGTGTTCAGTTTCAATGGTAAATTGTTGCTTAATGTTTGTCGATTTCAGAGAGAATGGACAATCCGCCGCAGATTATGTAACTATCGAATTTAATATGTTCGCTTTGAGTTCATTGTTAAAGAAGCAGTCCGAACAAAATCCAAGCGCCTCTTATTTTAATGTAGATATATTAAAATACCAGGTATGCTTTTCAATTGAAATAACTCCAATAATACAGAGTAACAAGAGTGAAATATCTGATTAATAAGCTACATAGTTATTAAAAGAATGCTTTTTACATACTATCGGAGTCATTCCATACCTTTGAGTATTTTAATAAGTTGCAAAACTTTTTTAGATCAAACCCAAAGCAGGGGCAAATTCTTGTCCGTTTCAACTAGTCGCTTATTGGAAGTGCTCGAGTGCTCATACAGATTTAAAAATTGATTACAAGTATAACTCTCACGCCATGAGTTCGCCGACTCCATTACTGAACGTAACTGTTGCTGTTCCTGTACCTGGAATAGTCAAAAACATGCAAACTAAACCTACAGCACAATGGTAAGTTGTAGATAATGATTAATACAAAATAGATAATGCTTAATTGTATTGTTATTCTAGGCCGACAGAGAATAACAGAATCGTATGGAAGTTCACTGAATTGTCTCAGCATTCAGAAAATCATGGGGTAGGATCCGTAGCGGCTCGGTATGATCTTGAAAGTGGTCCGGGCACACCGCAAACCGTACTAACGCAGTTCAATTGCGAGGGCACGACTTTGTCCGGTATCGATTTCCAACTTGCAGGTCCCGGTTACCGATTGTCACTAGTCAAAAGAAGATTCGTATCCGGTAAATATATCTGCGATGGGGATCAAAAATTTAGTTCTGGTACAGGTACTCCATCTACGGTCTCCACGGTTTCTTCTGTCGGAGACCAAAATTGCTAGCATTCCTACATATCCTGTGCAATACCCGTATTCTATAATTTTACGTTAGTTTCACTATTTTTATTTATGACCATTTCCATGTTAAATATAGCATATTATATAGTTTATGAATGATGCTATTTTATATTCAAATAAAGGTTAAAGCAATATATTCTTTGAGACATCCATAATTATATGTCCTGTATTTAGTTTTGTGCAGTTTTCTTAAAAATTTTCGGAAAGCTTGATACTATTTTTGTTTTTTTATTTAATCATTTTCTATTCGTTCATGATGAAACAAGGTGTGTAGGTAGATAAATGAAAACATCTTATAACAGAAAACTTTTATGTATTTTTTACTTTCGACTTAATAAAATAACACAAGTGCGTTCGATGTTACACTAAATTAATCAATACTTTTGCAAGCAAATGCATCTACACAAAATAGATGGTTATTAAAGTTTATGTTGTTTTTTTTCTGAAATTGTTTGACGGAAACATGAATGTATGGTTTAAAAAATCTCATTTTTGATTTGTAAAAATGGGACGTTTGGTGATTTTGGCTAAGGAATAGAAAAACAAAAAATTCCTGCGATCAGTTTTGACGGATTCGGTTTTTGACTGTTGGACGCAAGGAATAAATATTAAGCATTTGTAGACCAGTATATTTAGAAAAGAAATTGGCAATTTGCTTAAGTTCAGTAAATATAAAAACTAGCTAAATTAACGTTTAAATATATTTTTTCGTAAAACTTTAGCTCTTTAAAAATTGGCATAGAAATTTTACCAATTACCCTAGTAGATTTGTTTAAATTTAATTAATGCGTAATGCCTTATTACAGACGGAGATACAGAATTGCAAATGCTGATATAGATGTATATTATATAATATGTAATACTATTTATTCAAAATTTTCATTTGAACCTACTAGGACTATATGGTAGAAACACGTTTATTAAAGTTAATTTGATTAATATATTCATACACATATCCCTAAATATACTGAACTACGTTGTTACAAAGGTAAAGCTGAGCTTAATAGCTAAATAAGGACTGCAAAGAGCATATCAAATACCATGATACATTTTCATATTAAAATTGGTCTTCATACAAAGATGTAACACGGTTCGGCTCACAAAAAAAACTTTGTTGAACAGTAATTATCGAAAGTTCTACCCTGTTGAGAGTCTCACGGGCTTGTGATTCATATTATCTTCGTTATGATCTACTGTTCATTCCTCCCAGTGATGTTGAAATGATTCTTAGATCTTGACAAATATGGGTCTTCTAAATTATTCTATCTCGAACACGAAGGTTTTAAACTGAAAGAAATAACTTACATTAATAATAAACTATAAAAATAAGTAGAAAAGTGTTCAAGTTATTACTATGAAGTTTGTCCTTTAAAATGACAACTGACAGATTATTTTTGGCATTCCTGATAAGTGTTGAAAAATTAAATGGTCAGTTGACTTTTGTTTCTTTTTCTGAATTGGAGCAATAATTATACTGAACAAATCTACTATCTACAAAATAGTTGAAAATAGAGTGATGCGATAGGATTTTTTGGATTTTTTTAGGTAAGTCGAAATATTCTTTTAATTGACCGAAAAAAGCCTTTTATTAGATTTGAACAATTGAATTAGTTTGGGCTAATTTTGTGTCAAAAATCAAGCATTCTCGGTGCCGGTCTAGTATGCGGTCTACCCAAATTTATTTTATACAAAGTATAACTGCAAGATTTTGAAAATTGATCTCACTTCACTGTGAGTACACTGCATACTAGACCGACACCGTATTTTCTTTAGTTTTAAGTCTTAGCGTTTGGACTTGCCTGTGCAGCGATGGCCTTGTCTCTGCCCGAATTCATACTTCTGCTGAAAAATCAATATCTAAAGCAAGTAACCAAATCAATAATGAACAGTAAGCAGAACTCAGGTGGTTTAAGACAGGCCTCCCGTCTCCTTAGGTAAAAGTGTTGGCGGGGCTGACTGGGCCACAGGAGGCGGTACATCTGGCGGCGTCCAGACCTTCACTTCACTGTGAGGTCTACTTCCAATGTCTCCTGTGGGTAAAATTAAATGAACGTAATGTTTATCACTCATTTACCACAACATAAAGTTTAAATAAGTAAATCTCAAGTAACACTTGCTGCAAATGAGTGGTATATGTATGGAAATTAGTATAATGCGGCATTATTTAGATCTATAAAATTACCTTCTCGAACGTTTTGTGTAACAGTAAATGTTTTTCCGGTATCCAAAGGCACTGTCCAATTAACTGGATCAGGGGAACGCATAATTATCTGTTCTGGAGACTTTACCCTAGTTGGTTCTGGAGGCGATTTAATTACAGGCTCGTAATTAAGGCTGTCGTATTCATCTTGCATTGGAGCTTCCTTATTTTCCGCGGAACCTTTCGCAGCTTCGGCTGTTGAGGCAACAATAGTGCATTTTAATTATTAGTGATTTTATTAAATTAGTTCGCTAGGTAGAGACCTATCTATATTTTACAAGCTGAAAATGTAAATGATTATCTAAAAGTATTTAACAGAACGTAAAAAGTATTTAACAGAAGTACTAAAGTTACACTTACTAATAAACCCTGCGATCAAAATTTATTATTTTTTAAATACTAAATAATAATAATAAAAGTTATCAATCCTTTTTAAAATAATACCCAGTTTTGGTAATAATTTTTGATTGCATGATTTGATTGAATATTTTTAGAATATTTGTTTACTGCATGTTCGAAAAATATTCCAAATTTTTATTAAATGATTAATGATATCTAGATATAGCAGTGGTAAAATAAAAGTACTACCTTAATAAAAGTAATACCTTTCGCATGAAACACAAACTAACAAAAAACATTAAACATTTATATCGAACATTCTCAAGTGAACATTTTAGTTACATAAGTCTTGCGTGTGCCAAGGATCGTGCCAAACACGATGACTTACCTGTAACATCTCCTTTTCTATCACTACTCGGTTTTTGATTTTGCTTAGATGTATCTAGAGTTTTTTGGTTTTGCAACGGTTTGGCCAATCTATCATCTTCAACTTTTGTTACTACCGAACTGGGTTTAGATCGGGATGAGACATTGGTGTTGAGGGAGGCTAAAACACCGGAACATTTATTACAATTACGAAATTCACGCTTGTTTGTCACCCATTCAATTACAAGCTACTAAAAAAGCACTCCACACACAGCCCAAAAATTGGAAACATGTACACAGAAGCACCGGAGATATAAGAATAAATTATTAATTAGATGGATAAAATGCACATTTCGTTCGGATCATTATCTCATTTCCTTTATCGTATTTATAAATTTATTTCGATTTGAAAAAAATAAATTATATGTAAAAAACGGCAAGGTGTACAGGAGTGAAGAATACATACTTCCGCTTCCTTACTTGTGTATGATAAACTTTCTCTTTTCTTGACAACAGATCGAATTGAAATTACACTATAATAAAACTTTAGCAAAAAATACACACATTCACGATTACTACTTTTGTCAAAGGCCTGAAAAAAAGGATTCTTTACGAAACGAGGAAAGCAAAGAAAATATGTCCTTGGCTCGCAGCAAGCTCACGAGTCTTGGCACACACTGGTTGTATTGCTAATTCTTCTTTGAACATGGAATTGTACAGTTATAAATAACATATCAAGCAATTAACATCCCAACTAGAAAAATTATTGATTTGAATAATAAGAAATTACAAAAATATTTATATTTTCCTAGTGAGTAATTTTTCGTGGATTCGATTTTTTTGTCATGCATTATCGATACCGCTTGATTTACAAGTTTCTTCGATAAAAAATGGAGTAGAATTAAAAAAAAAAAAACAGTGACCCAATTTCATTGTGATGTCAATTTTAACAATGACAAAATTAGCTTTGAATAAACGCTTGGCAACAATTTGACAACACATAGAAACGTTTGCAATGATTGAAGCGGCTCTAAGGTATGATCTGAGATGATAATTTTGCGTAATTGCACAAAAAACCACATGCTTAAGCTTACAGGGTCTTGGTCTTTTAGTCGAAGGCGTTTCGGCTGAAGGTTTTCTCTCGTTCTTCGCCGTAGTCGATCTAGATTGGCGTTTGGGCGATTTCTTTTCAGTGCTACTGTCTGTTGTCGGCCCAACGGACTGCGACCGAACTAAAAAATTCAGAATACACAAGGTATAGTTCCTGAAAATGTTAATTTCGCGTTATTTGCTTATGCTTAATTTGCTGTTTTGGTGGTTACCTCAAAAACTATATATGAAAATTTTGCGGTAACCATTTCCCAATAAATAACTTACGTGCTGTAGGCCCACCTTGTTTAGTTTTTTGATTTGGTCTCTTAGTAGATTTTAGAGGAGAACTCTTCTTCGGGCTGTTTTTTTGAGAGCCTCTCGAGTCGTCGTCCTTTCTTGGTATTGTAGGTTCTAATTTTTCCCTTGTAGGTGATAAGATAAGACCGTCGAATTCTAAAGGGATTATAAAAGAATTTCATTAGTCAGCCAACTTAAAATTGCGGTCGAAACAAACCTGAACCACCAGTTGTTCGCTCTAAATGATGTCGTATAATGTCCCTTATCATTCGCGCAGAATTCTCGGCATTCCTATAAGCTTTTGTAGGCGAACTCTTTCTGTTATTGTCATCTTCTTTTTCTTCTTTGGTGTAGTTCTTATGACTCATAGAAGCTAAGGACAGTGCTGCTAGAGAACTTCTTCTCGACACTTGATCCCACAATTCTATTTGCTTATTGTAAATATCAGTAGGGCGTTCCGGTGCGATTTCACTTCCCCATCCGCGACTCTATAAATTCGTATAAGTAATCGTCATTCTAAGCATTTTATCCCACGTACTTTATATTCCCCGGCCTTCTTGCGCAACTCGACAACTTCTTTATACCAATATTTATTGTTAAGCGACTTTTGCTTCTGAACGCTGTCAATGACACCTGCTTCCTTAGACGAATGGTCGTAATGCGAAAATGGCCTAAATTCCTTCTTGTACTCGGTGTTAAAATCTTCTCTGCATTGAGTCCTTTCGTCCACCAAAGGCTCCATTTCGCTAGCTGGAATGAATTGGTTATCTGATTGTTTAACTAGGTAATCAAAAGAATTTTTACCATCTTTATTCTCGAGTATGACTCGGTTTTTATGTACCATGGCGTTGGCTTGAGATCTTGCTTTTAAAGCTCCCATTGAATGGCTCTTCCTCGGAGTGGAACCGGCAGCTTCTCGTCTCGATTGGTGTCCCTGAGGCCAAGCAAATTGCAGTCTATATTCAGTACTTAATTTTGAAATAGCGTTTCTTAAAAGACTCCCGTCTTTTCCCTAAAACATACCAGATTTATTACCTGTATATTTTAAGGAATAAATTTTCAACTTGAATGCAGCCTTATGTTAAACGTTTAGTCTAAATGGATGAATAACTACGTATAGAAAATAATGAATACTTGCATTCAAATTGGTTTTGTTTGGTATGACCAAAATACATTCTACCACTTAGAATACAATACTGAAACAAATATTTGTAATTTGGCCATCCAATAAAGACAAATAGTGTATGATTTTGTGAAAAATGAAGTGTGTTGGGAACGCGCCTTTTCTTCAATGCATTTTCAAAAGGTTGTCACGTTTTTTCATAATTTCTATATTATCCTTAAAACACTATTACTATAATTTTTACCACAATTACACTACAAACTTTTAATATAATCACTGTAAACGCAGCTATAATTCTTGTAAATCAATAATAATAGTGTTCTACTATTATTACTTGCTCTGCCCAAACAAACTTACTACTACGTCTTTTTTGTAGAAATACTCTCCATCGATTAACAGCTGAAAATGAACTCTATGAAGTTACAACACAGTACAGGCGACTATTTCTGATTGGTATCAACTTTGTTTGTCAAGAAACCAAAGTTAAATACGCAATTAAAAAAATAATTGGAAATCACTATACGCCATTCCACCATTCCCCCGGGCTTAAATAAATCAAATTTCCAATTTCTAACACTATTCGTATCTACCGAATTCTTTTCGATGAAATGGAACGCAGGTTGGCATAAACTTGGTCTAATTAACTCCCATAATTACGACAACACGAAACACCACGAGGAATTTTACCTGCAGCCTCCATCAACATTGTTTCTTGATTAATTCTTCTGGACGCTGAGCTTGTTAATTTTCTTTGTAGTGTTTTGAATTCATCTTATATCGTTTAAAGTATAGTTTGTTATCGTTGTGATCCCACTATATCCTTAATTTGCATCTTCAACTTCTTCAATACATTGTTTTTTCACGAAAGTGATTCTTTATTGCCATTCGCCATCAGCTTTTGGTCGGTAAGCTTATAAAAAAGTCGTCGAGTAATGTCGCAGGTATTATAATACCTGCATAATATTAATTTTGTGTTGATGTCCGCTTGATTTTTCACATATCGAAATTGTTAATTACGTGATACAGATATTCGAAGATTCAAAAGCTTCTTCTGTACTACACGTGTTTTTGAAACAAAAATAGTCGCCTGTATGAGGATGTATCCTTGTTTTTAGTGGTAAGTTTACCGTAATCGTGTTTTCCTTATCGGGATCGGATTCTCTGCGGCGTTCCCGGTTCCTATTGCCACCTGAGGCGGTAGCGTTGTCTTGAATGCCATTTCGCAGAGGCCCTTCCGACTTGCTACGCCTCGAGGGTCTCCACTCGCCCCCGTTCCGTTCTTCCGACTGGAATTAAAAAAAACAAAAACGCCCTAATTTTATTGCACCATTTTCGACCCGCATGCAATCTACATTCACGTATCATTTTTATCCGTACCGTAGGATCTTTTGTAAATTGTAACTACCTACAAAAAATTACAAATATTTGCTTATGAGACTAGAGTATGTACAAAGACGATGATTCGATACGATTTTAAATGCTGTTTAGAAAGTATTTTGGTTATTATTGGGAACTTTAAATTCGCTAAAAATTAGAATAACAAATGCATCCATCAATCCTCACATATACAGGGCGAATATTATTTTAACTGTCAAAATTTATTGGGCATATGCTATAAATTTTATGAGTATGAGTATTGAAACTTATTTTCCGACCTACCCGGAACAATGTTCACCCTGTATATTCAATTATATTTGTTTGGCTATAACGAATACCTAATGCTTAAACCTAAATTAATGCAATATTAAAATTATCATACAATTATTGTTAAAGGTTTAAAATTAGATCATATCATACTTATGTATACAATATTATTACCATCTAATTATACACCAATAACTTGTTCCATTTTTATCATTCTATTAATAATAAATAATGTTATTTATCCAAAATAAATATTAATTCATTTATTTTATTTAACGAAAGAATGGACAGAACAATATTAATTTTTAGCTGCACTTGACTTCTGACAGGTATAAATCAATCATTATTTATTTTAATTGGAATCTACTTTTCGCATTTGACACGTAACTATGAAAACTATTTACCTATAATATAGGACAACATGTAAATAACATGTCGCTGTAATTACATCTTACTTAATATCGAAATACTAGATCTTACTTATTATCAAATAGGTAATGTCTTACTGCCATTTCGTGCAAATACCTTGTATGAATGCACCTATAAGGACAGGTCGAAAGATAACATGATGATGGTAAACACACGAAGGTTGTAAATATTTAATTTACTTTGTATGCATTAAGTCATTGTCTGTTTACGGCGTAATTTCAAGTCGATTAATCGGAGATAGTTTTGCGAAACTTTATTATAGCCACATCCACGAGTGTGTCAGCTGGATACTGATTTAATTAGTGAAATTGATCGATATTATACCACATTATCAATTTTTAAGCAAGCAATAAGCGAATTGCTTTACGTTGAATGTAGGGCAACTTTTATGCTAGCAAAATAGTGCTCCAAGGAAGCTAGCACGCTCAAGAAAATGCTTTAAAAAGCGATAAAAAAGTTTTATACTGGTTTAAACGCCAATTGGATTAGTATTTTTCTTGCAAAAAAATATATTAACTTATCGATTTCGTTTTCGGTAACACCTCTTTAATGATTTGAGGCTATTTTTATCCAACACAGTGTTCGTTGGGATCAGCCTAATGTTAGGGTTGCATTATTCCGTTCATCGACCCCTTATATCGCCATTTTGGGCCAATTTTCTTCGTAGGTTCCACTTCTTAATATAAATTAAAAATAAAATCACATTCCAAACAAATAGGTCTTCTATTTTAAACACTTTTGAAGATAACGTTATTTCTAAAGGACGTAATTTAAAATTAGTGACATGAATATACGTGACTTCCAGTTAACTACTATTTACAATGCTAGTACTCTCTTTTGTCATAGGTAATGATAAAATAATGATATATTTATTTAAGAGAAATACCAATTTTGTGAAATATGAGTCATTAAAAAATCTGGTCAATAAAATTTATTAGTGGGTATTTAATTATTAATATGTCTCATGATCTTGATATAGTACGTATATGAATATTTCTTAGAAACCTTACCATGTTTTAAAATTAGGTTTTGGTGAAAGGTATTTAAAGGTACAGGTAATTTAGAGAAATTAAATATTTTGAGTAAAATCAAATCCAAGAGTATAGTTAATGCTATAATATGTTGTATAAAAAAATCTCTTTTTATACACGTATAATAAGCAGCGATAATTAAATAGCATGTTAATTATGTGGTTAATTAATTTTTATTGTTTTGTAGGTGAAAAACCTTATTAAACAGGTAATTTACCAGGTATTTTTATTAAATAAATAAATCATTTGCATATAACATGACCAATTTTATCGGTGAACTGACAGGCGTATAGGTACTAGCAATGCAAAACCCTATATTACTTATAGCAGCCGCGTTCCAAACAATTACTAATATTGCAGTGCGTGCATTAAAGAAATATTAACACTAAAATAAGTATATTACTGAAAGAACAATAACTACTTACTCTAGCTCTATCACCGATATTAAAATCATTAGTTCCACTTCCAATGAATTCATGATGCCGGTAGGCTAAGTCAGGATACTTTTTTCGTCGAGGCATCGCTGGTTCTCGTTTAGACTCTGCAAATAATTTTACATGTAAGCACCGAGAAACCGTACAAAGTACATATCGATCTATGTAATTACTTCGAATTCGTATAAATTAATTTAAGTTACAACCGATGATTAATGGAACTGTTTTATATTACTCCTACTTAATTCGACCTATGCAGGGTTGGATTTAGAATTTTTAACACCCAATGCATTTAGGGTGATATGTTATCTTATATTTTATATAGTAAGTGTATATTACCTGAGTCCGCGTGAAATTCTTCATCGTTATATCTTAAGACACTAACTTCGTTAGGTTTATCGGTTTGCGGTGGTTTTCTGACGACCTCATGTCTGGGCCCCGTATACTCATGCCATCGATACGTGCTCCTATATTCGGAGTGAAGCTGCAATGAAAAATCAAACGTAAGACGTTTCAATCGATGAATTATATCGATTTTCACAGCGACTTTGAAGGTGCAATGAGAAATCGAACGTAAGACGTTTCAATCGAAGAATAATATCGATTTTCACAGCGATTTTGAAACTCCGGAGTCTTGTAAGTACCAAACGGATATTTAATATGTTTCCTACGAGACTTGTTTTGCTCAAAAAACTCACAGGATGAAGCATTAGATTTATTTGATAAATGGCGTGTTTAATAAAACAGCTAAAGCTTGTGCTCAGGGAAACTTGTAAATTATGACCGCAATAATGTAGTTGGAATCACCATGATAATTCGCCCACTCGCCGGTAGGTAGGTAAGTCCGCAGTACATTTATATTCTCATAAAAAGCCGCATTTAAGATTTAATCAATTGATAGTAATTATAAGTATACATTTTAAGTAAAAATTAATTAGGTTAATTGCATAAAAACGGTGACATATTATTAAACAAAAGAACATTAAACCTAACCTCAATACCTACTGTTTATTAATAATGAAATAAAGATTTTTTTCATTATTCCCTATTTCCTATCTCAGTTTTCATTAAAAATGGTCGATAAATTACGCGTAAATTCGGCATACTCATGAAAAATGTACGCGGCATTAACTGTATAACACGCCGGTCCTGCATATTAACTAAACGGACATATTTAATACCATCCGCATCATCTCCTGCATAGCGATTGCCATTGAAATGAACAATGAACTTACGAAATTGAAATTTACCTTATCGACAGGCATCGAAGGGCAAGCACGACAGAGATTCCAGAAGGAGCCAATCATGAGTTCTAGGTTTGGGACACTGAATTTGTTTCGAAAAGAGGCCAGGAAGCCATACACCTATATACTAGGATGCGCGTTGGGCCCCAGTCTTTTAGGGGAAACGGCACGGGACCACTGTTGTTGGAATCAAGTCGAGTAGTCGTGTGACATACTGAGCCCCACCTTGGCAAAATTCAAGAGAGTAGATATGCTGGCGTTAGAGGACAGTCGTAGGAGGATCAATAGAAGGGCGCATGGTTGGTTCGCGAACACGCTACTTGCGCAAGGGTTTTTGGGTTTTCCTACCCTTCGGATTACGCAACTTTGGCGCCGGTAGTTTCCTATTCAACTTAAATATCATCCGCTTATTCATAAGCCATGCATATCAGCGAATTGTGCACGAACACACCTATTTCTAACGATTATAATCGTATAAATCATGCATCAGGCTTTAATAGATTTTTTTAGTGAAAAAATAGTGAATTTAGACGATTCAATTGTGAAGTGTATACATGTAGACTGTTTTAATTGTAGCGCAGATATTTAACGAAAAACATTTTTGCTTAAATTTAAAATGTTTTAAATAAGGAGATTAAAGCGATAATCGATTTCTCGGAATTTGAATGCATGCACATATTCAATAACAATTGCATTTAATATCTGCTGCTTAATACACAAAATTTACTATTATCTTTGAGTTCTTGTTTCTTTCTGAAGGTGCGTACGTACACAAGAAATTGATGCACCATAGATATATCAGACTTTTAAAATGAATCATAACTAAGATCGTTAGGCCTTACAGCAGGTGAATAAAAAATTTCCCGTAAACTCATGGTATTGTTCGAAATTGTAAAGTTCTCACAGCCGAAATTAAATAAGTTTCGAGTTCATTGCTCGATTATAAGAAGGTAAATATCAATTTCGACAGTATATCCTGTCTGCCGTGGTGCGAAGTTGCGAAGTGGAAATGGCATTAAAACATTGACCTTTGACCTAGGAGGAAAAGCGCCAGTAGACCAAACGGGCTGAATTCATTGAACACTTATCTAATTTTACTGTTTCAATGAAATTTAATTGTTATCGACGGAATGGCAATAGAATATTAAAATCTATTAGTCAGTTTTTCTATCACTATTTTTCTAACACTATCTAATTTTCTTCGTACTCCCTTCAATGTCTCTTAATAACGTATAAGGGCAGAAGCACTTAAAAAAACCAAAAAGTGCGTACCAATACCCGCCTATGGTGTTAGTAAAAAATTCCATTAAAGCGAGAATTTTTTTCAGTTATTTTATGCACTGGAGTAGTTAATTTTCTTGAAAATCATTTGTTTCGCTCGCTACTTTCCAGCCGAGAATTTTTTCTGAAATATTTGTGGTTTATGGTTAAAAAAAGCGATTCCAGCCGAGACTGGCAAACTGGCTGTTAAATTGAAATAGTACTTTTTATTTTTTTCTGGTTTGTTTTATTTGTACTTGCCTGCTATTTGGAATGCGGTGTAAGGTATAAAAAACATTTAATGTATAATAATTCTGATTTCCAGGATAGTTAAGTAGACAATAGCCAAAAAATCACTATGAAAATTTAAATTCATTATTTCAAAATTAGAGCATATTTCTGGGAAACTTTAAAACGTTCTGGTATTTGCCTCACCGTAGTAATTTTAATTTACTTATGGAATTTTATGTACATATAATAAATTCTTAGAGGTATAATTATGTAAATGAAATAAGCAAGTATGTACTTACTAATAATATAACAGATTGTTATACTATGTATAAGAAAAATCTTGTAATAAAAATAATATAGGATTATTTTATTTATGTACATTTATTGTTTTTAAATAGGCAACACATCTAGCAAGATTAATAATTGTTTTTTACAATTATTTATTAACCCTATCTTATTGCCTATATTATACATACCTATTTCAAATAAATGGAAAATGGGAAAAATCTTAATCAGAATTTGTATTCTAAACTCCAAAATAATATGTATTACTTTACTTACAGAGCAATTTATTAGTCTTGTCGTGAAGAGTATCTATTATTTTATTAGTGTATTCAAATACATGCGTGCCTCTAATAATTTATATAATTTTTCGATTCTGCGGAAGCATTTTTATTGTTCAGCAGGTACCTCGAGGTTGTTTACTGTGGCCCTTCTTCCGCGATCGCCATGTCAGCCGCCAAGCGGAACCTCAACCGCCTCTGTTATGGATTCTTGCAGCCATCAGGCATCAGGCAAATAAGCGTTCATGTTCATTCATAAGCTAGTGGTAGCTACGAGAGTAAAGACCCACCGGTTTCATTCAACAATTGTCCGCTCGCCGAAAAGCACGGGCAAAGAAATGCACGAGTGATCCAAAGTCGCACAGGGTATTCTCGTTTCGACACCTGCTGGGAAATTGGTGCATACCTTTCGATTCTAATTCTAAAACTTTTCGTTCGACTTCGAGCCTTTCTGCCCACTCAAAAGTTCCATACAATCTTGGTAATATTTTATTTTTTCGTTTGTCGTGCTAAGAGTGGTAAAGTCGGTTCTATGTTGAATTATATTTAAAGTGCGCTTGTTTTACTTAGTTTTTTTCGAAATGAACTCGAACAGCATCGTTGCAGTTTTGGTGATTGTTGGTTTTTCACAATGTAAGTATTAATTTACATTTTGTTGTTTAAAACTTAGTCTTACTACAGTTTGAAAAATTTTACAAGTAAATACGAAAGTATAAGGGAATTTTTAAGATGAAATTTTTTCTTGGAAGATGTAAATATAAAAGTATTAAACGTAAATAATACATTTTGTAACAATAAGCCAGATATACGAATCATACACACAGTAGGTATTAAGTAAACAAATCTTATAAATGCACTCAAAAATTGCAACTAAATCATTTTCTCACCATATTAATTTCAATGTGTAATTTTATAATTTTCAACTAAGCATTTCGACTAATTTATTGGGAAAGTATTTTGCACAGGAAGTTTAGCTTCCTTATCTGTTAGCTTAGGGTGAAACATGAAGATATGTACATATGTGTATATTGTCTTTTTTAGTCTCACACGTACATACATATGTACAAATCTTCATTTAAACAAAAACTTTTAATATTGGAGTAAACTCCGAATATTGAACGAGAGTGGGCACCTTAACTCTCAAAATTCGGATATGCTATTTCTTAAACAATAATTGAAATACTAAAAAAAATTAATTGATGTATTTGTCGGCGATATCCGCTAACAAATAAACCCGTTAACCGTTGTGAGAACGTGTTCTAACAAGTCCCGAAGTCGATTATTTATTTCACTTGGCTTAACGAATACCTATTTATGTATCCTTGTGATTTAATCATCTTACCTATAAGTACTGAATAAAAAGTGATAATATAATCCTATGTAAACTAGAAGTTACATCTACATTTAATTAATTTGTTACATCTACATACATATGTAGTACATACATATATTGATATTGAAAATTCACTTAATAAAATATTCATGTGAAAGTACTTGTTATTAATTTTAAAAAATGTAGTTAAGTAAATTTATGAATGACAAGCCCAGAGAAATGACTTTCAATGCAAATACATAGCTGAGCTAATTAAGTAATAGAATAAATAAAGGATTGCTGTTAAACATAATGTATAAATTGTAGATAAAGTTATACTGTTCATACATTTCTTATTGTTTGTTAAATTACTGTTTCTTTATACTAACTAGTGAATGTGGGTATTATTATGTTTGGAAACTTTCTCGCTACTTTAAATTCAGCATGAATTTATTGCACGTTTTTAAGTAAAATTTAAAAACCATGACGAGTTAAAGATGTAGATGAATAAATAAATAACCAGTTTAAAAATAATTACATAGTAATAAGTTTTTACGTTCGATAAAGTTAAAATCAAATTTTAAAAATTGTACAAGAATATTATGTTGAAAAATATAAATAAACTGGCCAACATAATTTAATTCGATAAATAATATGAAGGCTACAACACATTTAAGGCGCCTTCCCAAGTTTTCAACTTCTTTCATAACATACAATATGTACATATGTAGCTATTAGGAAGTTTTATTCCTCTTATTCAATAAAGTTTGGTTAATTTATTGTTTTTCGGATTTCTTTGGATAGATGGAATTCACATTAAATAGATTACAGGGCACATTTTAATTTGATTGGTTTCCTAATTAAAAGTTTCTTATTGTTCAGCGTGCTATCTTTATACAAAAAACCACTCCATTTCTAATTTTAACTACTTTCAGTGTTCGGCTGTCTAATTAAATTCAAGGGTAATCAATTTTATGATAATGTTTGTCTCTTTTAGTGTTCGCCGTCGAAGCTGCAGGTAAAATTTTTTTACCTAGCTCTATACAGGTTGTGACTGCGTTCGAGCTATATTTTTTACGTTTTAAATGCTGCAGTCTCTAAAGAAGATTGCGCATTGACTTAAAAGGAAGTCAAGTTGATTCCTAATTAGAACATCCTAAAGGTTTATTTCAGAGGAAATTTCAAACCTATTATGTACCTATTAAAACTAAAAGATTCATATTTGCGTTCAAGTTTGCACCTCGTTCGCAGGCCGGACAATTATGTGCTAACTAAAAATATTAAAAAATATAAAACATCCATTAGAAATACCAACGGAAGACCGAACTTTCGAGTTTTCGGAACAAGAGGTTAGATTAAACAAGCCGTAAAATGGTACCGTGAGAAATTTCGGCATGTACCTATGTATACAGTGTCACTTCTGATTTTATTCGAGCCATATAAGTATGACGTGGTATAATTTATTATATACATTAAAAATGATCAGTCGTTTATCAATTATTCACTTAATTTTAGTGATGTAGGCAAATGCTGGGATGCGGAAGAAAACGACAGTAGGCCAATAGAAAAATATATTAATGAATGGACGCTATAGAGATATAAAAATGCTAGAATGAAAAAGTGATAAATGTAATAGTACCTTCATTTGTCCAAGTTTGACTGTAATAAAACGATTATTTGGATATTACTTAAGAATTCATTTGGATCATTAGTATAGAAAATGTGCACCTGACTGACTTTAAGTTACTATCTACTCACCATTAAAATAAATCGCTTTTGAGGATTAGGTAGTCGTGCGGATTGGTATTCCTGGCAGGTAATCTCAGATGATTATTAAGATTTCAGTAGCGCGCTTTTTTTGATGTGCATTTCATCTAAGACATCCATATTATTAGCATTAATTCGTCACTTAAATGAACTTTCAAATACATAAATTAATCAAATCATATTATGTACTTTATATGGTTAATATCTAATTACATTTCTTTACGAAAATTTTTACACATTTCAGTAGTCTTTATTGGATTTTAGTGCGACACTGATGGGCTGAAAATTCGAAAAGGATTAGGCACTTTCAGCATGAGTAGTTTCGTGTAACAACGGTCACAAATATTTGTTAGTTTCCTGTTTTTGAATAGCATTCCGAACGTAGGATTTGTGGAATAGTCCCCGTACAATCACCAGGTGGTTGATTCTCTTCATAATGGGCTTTTAAATTGCTCAGAACTTTCGGCAAACGTCACTTTTAAGGCACAAGTATGTGGCCATTCAACGATGTTTTCAATAGGGAAGGAGCTCATTGTAAAAAAAATTATAACGTTAGGAATAATGTGCACCAAATTTAGTTGTTTAATCTATGAATGGATGGATTAAGTATAAATATTGTATGAAAAGTATGAAAAAATAATCGAATATCTACAACAAGCATTATCTATAATTACTTATTGTTTATTATATGTGCTTCGGTTCGCAAGTATGTCAAAAAAAGCGCAGCAATTAGAGAAGCTACTTTGGAAATAAGATCAGTTTATCTATCTCTGTGGAATTACCGCAAATTAACCGATAATTGTATAGCAAATCTTCTCTAACATTATTACAGTTTTCGTAATAACCCTTTTTCAGTAATATCGTACCGCCAATGGCAAAATGTAATTATTCGAACCATTTTTTTCAACCAGTAGTTGATCAATTTTCTACTCACCGAATATGTTATTATTATCATTATAATTTTTCGAGAAATTTCGATAGAATTTCGCTCAAATTATCAGTTTTTGACAGGATCTTCTTCGGCTATCTAGTTAACTTGAACAAAACTATTTACCACATTGTTCTTGTCTTATCTATGTCTAAAATATTTTTCCGAAAATCATAAAAAAAATTCCTAGAAGGCTAGATTAGGTAAATGCATCGACTTGTATTACGATACACGTACTCAAAAAGGAATGCGGTAACTCAGAGTCAACGAGTCGCAGGTAAATTCAGTAGTAAATAAGCGAAAATAATAATTTATTTGCCTCTTCTCGGAAAACCTAGAGGACAAAAAAGCCACTGTTCTCGTGAGGATAACCCACCCATATAAATAGAGCGTCACATTCTGACATGCCAAAAACAATCTAGAATGTTCCATTAAAAAATATAAATTGATGCGAACAATATTTCATTTCCAGCCAGCCGATCTGCTCCCATTAAAAAAGCTTACCTGAAAAATAAGACTGAAGGTAATTAAGTGTAACAGGTAGACATTTGTGCATCCCTTGGGTCCGTTTTAAATTGGCGTAGTAGACGAGCACGGCATTTAGCCGGATGCGACTCGCCTAAGGAATCTGCACAAGGACTGAAATTTTATAAAACAGGATCCGGGGCAAGTTTAACAGGTGTCTTTTATGCCTCTCGGCTCGGCTTTGCTTTTATAAAGGCTCATAAGAGCAAGTGCGAGATGAACAATCTGCACGCGATATGTAACCAGTCCTTCAAACTGTAGCGATGAATAAAATCGTAAAAATGTCACGTTCATGTATAGACTATTTTTTCAAATTTCAATCAAAGTATTGTAGTTGATTACTTTTTTTAGGTAGGTTATTATTGGAATTGAAAAGATTAACCTTATTTTGATCGTACAATTTGTTAAACCACAAGTATTATGTATTTAGAAGATTTCTTCGACTCAGAGTATAAAACTGAGTTATTTTATGCAATAAATTCCATAAAAATAAGAAGTACTATGTAATTGAAATTGAAAAAATATTTCCATTTAATCAATTATAGGTATGGCTAAAGAGTTAATCGAAATGACCAAATACAACTAGAACACATATTGAAATAGCTAATAATCAATTTCACTTTATAATACAATCTAATGAATTCAATCAATTGCCGAAGAATGTTATCAAAAATGCAGACATTTTAATACAGTCCAGTTATATTAAATTTTATTATTACAGCTTCCTTATGCCATTTAACGTTTCATTAGTTATTTAGTACTGCATTATTCACGTTTATAACAATTAATCATATTTACGCTATTGTCTGGGTGAAAAATGGGAGTCATGAATTTGAAAGCCTAAAATTTGTTGTAGAAACATTTCAAACTGAAACATTTAAATCGTGATAAAGAATACGATTAAAAAAGAAAGCGTACAAAACCTATTTCTAAATGTTTCGTATCAATCTAATAATTTCGTTACTCTACATACATTTTTAGTAGTAATCATGTAAAATAGACATTATATTGATACTTTAAAGAGCAACAGTAGGTAATAGTTCTAACAGAAAACAATTTCATCGAAAAGCATGGAGGTAAAGCAGCATTAATCGGTTAACAACAATAGACAATCAGCTGTTAATAATTTTCAACCACAAATTATAAAGTGGAAGCACTGGAATCTTGAAATTCTACATTAGTTTCACTTTATATGCTTGACTAACAGAGTGATTATCAAGGTATATCCGTTTGTTGCTCCGTACAAAGAACAATTTTATTTCCATCTGTGGATTGTTTTAACAATTTTGTTAATTATTAAGTTTGATTTGTGTTTTACATATCGTTTTTGTTTCTCTTTTATAATAAATTAATAACACTACTGAATCGACCGGCAAAGAAAGGTTCGCCTTTATTATAACAAAATAACGCCCATAATTTTTATAATCAATAATTCCAATTATTATGAGAGAGTTTGTTCCCATTATTATACAATACGGCGCACCCTGTATGATCCATTGTGTAGATTGCATTGTTTGAACTTCATAGAATCATTGTTTTGGTTCGGAGGTAATTTTTTGTTGATCACCGTTCAATGGAATCTTATTCCTCGATACCGCCAAATGAAAAATATAATGGAGACCGAAACCACAAGTATCTGAATCTCTATTGAGTTCTCATGGTTCATTTTAACCGAAAAGATTATCTCGAACTGCACAGCGTGTAATACACAAACGTCTTTCCTTAGTTTTATTTGTTCAATTTTTCATTTTGCTTTCAATTTTAATTGAATACCTACTTCTTTATTCGTCATGTCGAATGAAGTATCGATTTATTCGATTGTTTATTATGCTTTGAACGATTCTAGTACTCTAAACTAAAAGCTGCGATTTATAGTTAGAAATAAAACAATTCCTTGAGTTTAGTTTGGTTTTTTGTGAAGGTTATTTGGTTGAAAAAATTATTGTTTAGCCCCGTATGAAGCTGAAGTAACAGTTAAGAGAGCTCGGTGTGCCGTAATCATTCCGCTAGGGTCCACCGGGTAGCCCGGTCGGTGACTTTGCCGTGCGACGGACCATGACAGGCTCATCATAGCCTTTTTCAACGTTTTCTTAGATAAAAATGAGAATTCAATTGCACATATGCATTTTTCTAAAACGTTAACGGTCAATTGTTTGAACTACTGTTCGGTTTGCATTCAACTGCAGCACGAAATAACAGCGAGAAACTGTAATTTTTTTAGTTTACTTCACAATGCGGAATAATAAAACTGACATAACAGCGTTATAACTTTCACTATTTGGTACGGTATATCGCCTTGCTATTATAAACTGTTTATTTTTCTTTGCTATGTCTTCCTGAACGGTGCAATAAATTTTGAGCAGAATTTCACACATTTATTGCTCTGCCTGTATTTTTACACCTCCATATTTTATCAGAACTATGCTTATTTATTTTCTTTTGGTTGGTTCCTTTGTTACTTACCTATTTTATCATAGGTACTATATTTACTTCTCCTCCTACTATCTATATTGTATTTAGAACACTAGAATCTTTTGTATATCCCTAGTAGAAGAAAATTTTTCGTGATAACGATTTTTGTTATCGCATTGAAAGAGAAATGTGTGTTCCATATTATAGAAATCAGGACGTTCGATCAAATAAACACAAATAACTTTATTCTAGGGTCGAATACGGAAGCATCATGTTACTTCCCGCAAGAATTTCAAGGGGAGTTCTTAATGCAAAGCCCAACTGTCAGCGGGAATGGTATACAATACAGCCCACTTAATATCACAGAAAATTCGATACCAGTCTGGGGAAATTGCCACCGCAGAATTGGAAATAATTTTATACTAATGTTTAAGTAAGTGTATCGATTTATTTAAGTAAAATCTTTATTATCATGCGATTGATTAGTTACAGCGAAACGTTATGCGTAAGGTGTTTGCACTTAAATCTTCGTTCGTCGAATATCTTACAAATATTCGCCGCTAGTGAAGAAACCATATCGAAATGTTTCACGTACGAAGAAGCGGCGGAAGCGAATTGTCCTTCGGAACAATCCATAATTGCCAAAGAAGCGACGGAAATACTGTTGTTTAGTAAGCTAATAACATTTTCTTCGGCTATTGTGGTTATTAATTGGCTTTTGCAGAAACGAAAGACGGTTTCGGATCGTACACAACGAGGCAATACTGCCCCATAGACGGCAACTACCACTTGAGTTACCGGGGAACTGCGAAAAGGCGTTCGAACGAGTGCAAAGGATTCGATTCGATGGTGAATTCGTGCCCATCGGGGTCTACCTTGAATGTCATGCTAAGAAACTGTACATTCGAAGGTTACGGTAATCATTTCAATTCAATTGTTTCGACTAATTTTAACGAGCATCTTTTGTTTAGATATGAAATTCGAATGCCTTGGACACTGGAAAGGTGTCGATGATGAACGTTATGTGGTATTTACTGACAGCAGGCATTTGACCAATCTCAGGCCTAAATATAGATGCGCTGTAAGTATCTAGGTTTTGTTAAGTATCTTCTATTTAAACGGTCATCATCAATTTGTAGATATACAGGCAGGATTACGAGACCGGTAGAATAGAAATGGCTCTATCCAGAGACTCAACGTGCACTAATGGATTGTATAATTTTACTTCTGGATTCGAAACAATGATATTGAGGCCGAAAATGGAACGGCCCTGGCCTGCCGAGGTATCTTTCGAAACATGCAGCTTTCCTCAATGGATGTATGGAGATTGGGAACATCTCAGAGTTAAATCTGACACCATGATTTACAAAGACCACCATTCCTTCAAGACGCACACCATAAAATGCGTGGGGGTGTTAGAAGATGGCGATAAATATTTAGTTTACAGCAGAACGCAGTGCGACGAAGAATCATACAATTGCTTACGATTGGCTACCAGAGGAAATAATATACTAGAATTTCAACTTGGCACTAATACCAGTATCAACAAAGACGACGTTTTCACTATTTGTTCAGATGAGAATTTCCAATCGGACCAATGGATTACCCAAGGACGTAAGTACTTTTTAGTAGGTTTTCATTAATAATCCGATTAAAATGAACGCGTTGCAGGCCTCGAAATTCAACCAGGAGTATCTACAGGAATGTGCCCCATAACTGGAGAATACACCGGTCGCATTCCTGATGCGACCGAACTGTGCGCGAAATTGTGGTCGGATTGCAGGGCACCAGAACTTATGTACTATCAAGTATCCCACTGCGAATCCGAAGAAATATTCGAAGAAAGAGAGTACCAATGTCTCGGACATTGGAGAGAGCGGAGCTTACTCTACACTTACACTGAAAGGAAGGACGTAGCTCCGGGAACTTATGAATGTTTCGTAGGTTCGATTATAACGGAAAGTGAAATTTACATCAAAGAAGCAGGAGAACATTGTCAAAGAAACGTAGATCCTTTGAGATATGGAATGATGCTCACCAAAAAACAGCCATTGTATTCCTGCATTGACAGGAGCACCACTCCTAAACAAATACCGAAGACAACGACCAGAAGACCGACCACTAGACGCACTATGCCTACTTTTATACCCAAGAAAACGAAACCAGTTCCAGATTTCGGTAAGTTTATTATTATTATTATCACTTTTGAAAAATTGCTGCATTATTTTTTTAACGAGTTATTTGGTGCTTTTGATGATTCTTATTCCAGCATTTAACTGAATTTAGTGGGTACAATTTTGTCTTGTTATACCTCAAGCTCGTCAAATAATTTAATCAACCATGAAAAATTGGTAAAATTTAATTTCAAATTTAACGATTTTGCGGTTCCGAGTCAGACTTTACTCGTTGAGTAAATTACGAAATTACATTATTTGTTCATACAAAAAAATGGTTGTTCTATGATCGTCTATATTATTTTATTACGGTACTAGATTTTACATCAACACTATATTAAGCCGGCTGAAGAAATTAATTTAATAATATTTTTAAAACAACATTTTTAATTATGATTTAATAAAAAAAAACGAAACCGTTACATAGATGTATCAATGATGTTGTAAATTAGTTGTTATTCAGACAAGTAAAAAATTCCGGCCGTAAATTATTCTGTTAGTGCAAAATTAATAACAGATTTTATATGAACGTCTCTACGGAACACCCCCGTATGAACTGTAAATTTGTGGTATGCGACTGTGCGCCATGTTTGATGGTTCCGAAGATAAATGATCGTTTATATACACATCACATTCGTGTGGGTGGATCGGCTATATGGGTGTGCCCACAAATGCGACAAATTTCTCGAGATATAGGCCTGATAAACCTGAATACAATCCCACATCCCACATATTTATAATATTTGAAAATAAAAGGTACAACATTCTTCGTTGCGATGATATAATTTTCGAACGTAAATTTCTCATTGTTTCTGTCAGTTTATGTATTTAAATTTAAAGCAATAGACATCCAAGAAGCGATCGAAAGCGTGGAGAAACAGGACGAATTGATACATACATAGTATGTAGATACTCACGTGGTCATATTCCTTTTGTTAGATTCTGCAGCGGATTTATTCAATAACTTAATATTTTTTGTGTTTATATTGATGTAAACATTTTCTAAAATATTATTTTTCAGAATCTAACGATATTCCTGATGTCCCAAGGGAAAAAACGAAGTCGACTTCAACGAGTACTACAATTTTCATGGACGGCAAATTGTACATAGTTATATATTTATTCTACACATATTTTTAGCGAAAAATAAGTATTTATGAGCTGGTTTTACTAAATAGCATATTTGCAACAATTTTTCTGCTGTTAAGGGGAAATTTGTTACCCAAGCGTCACACTCAATACACTGATATGTATACGAATAATTTTAATTTCTTTAAACAGCTCGATAAGTATACCACATACTTACTACTATTTTTGTATTTCGAGACTATTATACTGCCATAGTAGATTTTAGCAGCCTATTTTAGCTAGCCTTATGAAATTTTTATCTGAAATGTTGAATTATTTTGGATCTTGCCTACATTAAAATTAATTTTTAATAAATATTAATAAATCTATTCCAATTATCAAAACAAATTTAGAAATACGCTGAATTTTCAACGAATTGTACCAGACTAAATTTTGTATAGTATTTTGTAAGTTTTTATGTACTTCTTTTTGAGTGAACTGACTTTCAAAAAACATTCGTTTTTACGTGTGATGTAGATAATAAACTCGCTCTCGGCTTTCAGTCGGTGAGTAATTTAAACCTAGTGATGTTGATTCTATTGTGATTTAAATTTATTTATACAATTTATTGTAATAAAGTGTACTTAAGTATTATTGTGCCTTCATACTGTGTGAGTATTTATTTTTTATTATTATTATTATTATTATTAGAAACACTGGGATTCACACAAACACATTTTCGAAAAAAATATGTGTTATATTTTACATTCTCGTATACAATTCCTAATTAACATGAACATTTTTGCATTTACTACACCAAGACATTTGAGTACAAATTTTACGAGAAGGGTTCAGTACATTTTTACGACTAATATATCCATTAGATCCACACCAATATGGTTACAAACATATTTACTAATTTGTGTTTACCTAATTTATATTCTTTTTACTTACTTACAACAATTAATTACGAAATGATTTCTAAAATCTCTCTATTTTTCTCAAATTTCCATGAACCTTGAACATATTCAAGAGGTGTTAAAAGTTTCCAAAGCAATTAAACCATCTTCCGGTTTGGAATTACTTCGCGTGTCATTGTGAATTGTAAGGGATATTTCGGAATTCTGAGTTTTTATCATGGATGGTATAGAGAGATTACTATCAGATCTTTTGCAACAGCAGTTGATTCTTCCTTCGAAGTATCCCAGTAGGACGTACACGAAAGGATCTAGCAATAAGTACATGGTCAAAAGCATGTCGCAAAGGAGGAAAACCTTTTTGAACTTTGTATCACTCGGATTAATGTCGTAGAATTGTGCAATTGGAACGGTCATCTGTAAATAGAATAATTTGTGTTAGTGTTTATGAAGAAATAGCGAACAATTGATACCTAATTAGGCGTTCCATTTTTTATGATATACACCTAATGATAAAATGTAATAGGAAAAATTACAGTGTATAAAGTATCGATCGGACCAAGAGGCAGAACAAATAACTCCAAACATCGATAATTGTTTATTTACTCACCAATTCTGGTATCCAACACATTACGAAAATGATGCAAACGTAGGCCATTAATTTAGCAAATGCCACTTCTTCGGGCGTTTGGTATCTCGAATGTAGTTTTTTGTTGATTATAGATCTACTTATTCTTCTTACTAATACTCGTTGTTGAGATCTAATTCTATATAATTCGCAAATAACCGATGTGTTGCAATAAGTTATGCAGAAACATAAAATTGTACCTAAAAAAACGTTTAAATAATTATTCGGTTTATTTCATCGTGACAATATCTTACCAAACGCAGAGAATAAATAAGCGTAGACAATGTCTTTCGTTTCTTTGGCAAACCTGAATCTGACGCATTTTTTTTCTTTCGGGTCGTAATACACACCAAAACCGAAAATTGGACAATATGTTAAGGTAACTGCTGTTAACCAAAGGCATATCAGAATTTTTTTTAATCTCTGCGGTGTTATCAACTACAAAAAACAGTTATTAAATTGGTAAATCCGTATTAAATTAATTTTTCGGAATTACCTGATGGTACAGAAATGGTTTAGTAAGTGCCAGCCACCTTTCGAGAGCCATAATAAAAGCAACGCATCCAGACCCAAGTGCGAAGGCCCTGATCACAACGAACATTGGGCACGTTACCCAAGGCGGCCCGATTTGGATTGGGCTTGTTAAAATAATCATTCCAATTTGAGCCATTAGATCGTTGGTTGCCAAACATCTCAACAGGAACAAGTGCTTTTTGTTCCTTCTTTTGGCAGTTTTGTGCAGAATACATAAGGCCGTAATGTTAGCTAATACTCCTATCACAAACGCCACTTCCACAATGTACATCCAAGGACCCGATAAAACCATAGTTAAAAATTTTCTTTGACTACTGATTAGTCAAGATTTGAGTATGGCATGCTAATGCAAAAGTTCGTCCTTTCAACTAAACTACATACACGTTCAAGCTGAATGACCGATCAAGTGAACATCAACCCATCAAGTGAACATCCGAACCTACAACATGATATTTTAATATTTTCTTGTTAAATAAATATTAATTGAAATGATTGATGATAATATATTATCTGCTTGTTTCGATTATCTTGGACTATTCATCCGAACTATGATTATGAGTTTATGAAAGTAGGTATAGATTAGTAGATAACTGTCAGATTTTGGTTGTAAAGAAAAATATGCGAAGTTATTACTTGAAACTTTATGAAAAAAACTAAGGGAGTAAAACTTTGAATTAATGTTTAAATTGGCAAATGCTTTCTATGTACCACTGGACATGGTAAAAATGCCATGAAAATAAATGACGGGATCCGTAAACAAAATTATGCTTTGTCTAAAAATTAAAGCTGTTTGAACAAAATGAAATCAATTTCGTTAATTTTTTGCCTTTGTAATGAAAATTCGTCCTGTATATTCGAAAAAGAAATATAAATTCTTAGAAGACATATCGATATAAATAAATAAAAATTTTCGTCAGACGATAACATGGTAAAGATTAATTGGTATCTCATTATCTACGCTTTGCTTTGTATTTAATTGTAATTATTCTCAGTTGTATTCTGTTCATTCTCCAACAAGGTTTCCGTAGTAATATTTTATGCTAAAATCATTTTGTTAAATTGTATTGTTAAGTAGCTTTCCATTTTCGTATTTGAATGAATAGATAGTTATAGGAATGTTATTTACACCTTTCTTATTCTTAAAAAAAGGGTAAATTTAAAAACATCCGGTTAGTGTCTGTAAAACAGTATGAAACAGCAATTTTCAGGGCATTATCTTGTATGAACTCTAATAATTCTTAATTAGTCGAAAACAATGACAGCAAACAAACTTAGGAAAATTGAAAATCGATATGACTGACGTATTTCTTTTATGTATGTAAACGCTAATTTTTAATTAAGCCATTGTTCCATTAACCAATCTATTACTTCCACTCTGGATATTTATAATAGACCTTAATTATTGAGTCAAATTATTATAACTTTGATGTGCCACACGCAGAAGGATATTTTAGAACAAATTGGGATGGTTTATTCAGAATAAATTTTCTTTGCGGTGTGTTAAAACTGGAATGTAGAATTAATTCAATAGAATATATGCAAAAGATAAAGTATTAGGATTGCAGTTAGTATAATTTTTACATTGCACGTTCCTTACATAATAATTTTTTTCAGTAGCCTTGATAAATGTGAATCACTGAAAACTTGCAGTGTCTTTTATCAAAAACCACAATAAAAAAAAATATTTAAAATAAATTGTATACTGTATGGTAACAAAAGTCGTTACAAAAAATTGCTTTTAAATCAATTATATCTATTTTAAGGGCTCGTACATACTCGATTTAACCCCTATATTATCAATATTTTTGTGTATTTATAGGACAAAAAACTCTGAATGATTTGAAATGCAATATGCCATAAGTATTTCTATATTTACCAGAAACGAATCCACTAATCAAGGAAATTTGATTTGCTTTATTAATGTAGATGCAGATTAAATGCATAATTAGGCTGAATTTTTTTGCACAAAAATTTTATTTTATAAGTTATTTAAAATTTTTCAATCTAGTAAGTTTTATTTTAAGAAAATTGTTCATTAGTAAAACTTACTTTGACAAAATCTGGACTGAATAATATTTTACAAAATTTTATAATACATCTACACAATCAATCAAGAGTTTGTTATTTAAAATTAAAAAATAAAAGCGTTTTTACTACATAAAAAAATAATAAATGCTTTTAAAATTTTTGAATAATTTTCACCCCTTACTTATAAATTAATTCTTTTTAAAATATAAAAAAATATAAAAATATACAAAGGAGTGGTCGAAGAAAAAAATAATTATTTCACTTACATATTTTGCACTAAGGTCCTCACCGGTCCTTTTACTCGGCTGCTCCTAATCAACACTAACACGCTTTTTGTGATACGGACAAGATGTTGACGCGATACGCATTCAGTAGCCGCAAGCGTATTTTATCTTCTGCTATTGCTATTACTTACAATATCCTGTTCCAAAAGTGATTTTATGGGATACTTTGGCGATTACGATCGTTAATAATAATCAACTATAAAATAATAATTTCGTATGCAGACGTCGTCCTTAAATCGACTAGATACGCACATATATGGGAACTCCACAAGAGTTTATTATACTTTGCAAATATATATCGTCTATTACACCCCATTTTCGTGTAGGTTTGTCGCCTACTGCGCCCCTATTTGCCATCAAAAATTATCGGCGGACGGAACAAAAAATGGAATTACTGCGAAGATCTTTTACAAATTAAGAATGTAGGAAAATGTATACTTTTAATTAGAAAGGAGGTTGTACAATGTAAACAAAAGGGGAAGGAATTGAGCAGGAAGTTTCTGGAAAAGTGGATTTTGGAAGAAATATCGTATAGGGAGTTTTTTGTTCTTCTCGATAAGCTCCTTTTAAAAATATCTAGAGATTTTTGTTCCTGAGTTTCCTAGGATCTCATATATGTAGTAAATAAGGAAATTCTACATTCAGTTTAATTATGAGTGTATGATATTTTTCTACTTTGTTAGTTTTATATGGTTTTTAATTTTTGGAATTCTTGATGATGATCCTCTTTTGGTTTGGAGTCATTTCGATATTAACTATACAGTGTGTCCCAAATTCGTTTCTCTATACAAGAAAAATCGAAAATGGCGGATTTCGTTTTTCGCCTGTCAATCCGAAATTAATAATTTGACAGATGTCAAAATGTGACATTACTATATCAGTGACATCGCTGATATTTCCAAAACCAATTGACCGATAGTAAATTTGAAGCCGGCGATCAAATGTACTAAGTTTCCTCTAAAACTTTTCCCATTTTACCTTTGCTGTAGATATTATAGGAGCCGAGATCCCTGTATAGAGAAGCGAATCTGAGACACACTGTATACTTGAATAAAATTACTTGATTTCTTTACTTGAATCATTTTGAATATTTTATTTATTTTCAGTGAACCAAAAGCAAAAGGACTTAAATGTAAAATAAGCTGACCACCAATTCTGTATACGTCATATGGACCCATCATATGAATAAAGAATTGAAATGGAAGAAGATATGGTAAGTGTACTTATGTAAATTATTAAATTAAATTTATCATAGAACATAATGCATAACACAGAACATACATGTCTTCCAACACAGAACATATATAAAAATGGTCTTCCAACACATCTTCCAACACAGAACATACATAAACGTCTTCCAAGACTATCAGAGCCATCTATAGCTAGCATCAACGTATGTTATCAAGCTTTAGAAATTGTACATCTACTGAAAACATACTTTTGTTATTCCTATATAGATGGCATGGAAGTTCCAAGCAGAAGTAGATCAATAAATATAACAATTTGTACAATGTTTTATGAACAAATTATTTGAGATTTTTTTAAATCGTCAATCTAGTTGTCGATTGTACTAAATGTATATTAATTTATTCGTTAGAAAATGTTATAATAAATAAAAAATCAATGTGGAGCGCTTGTTGTGAGTTTGATAACAGATTTCTGCTATGTTTAGGTGAACTGATAAGTTATGTTGATAGGTGCCAGCCAATCGTTTAATGCAGATTTCTTTTATTTTAAAAATATAGTTCTAAAAAGGACGTATGTAATATATTGCTCCACAAAAATTAAGGAAGTTCACAAATATTGAGATTAATTTAAAAGTTGCAGGTTTTTTGATCGCCAAATTTAGTATGAGTTGTAGAGGTAGGGGCAAAAAATCTACCCGGATATGAGAGAAAACATTTAATTTCGCATATTTAAAAATTTGGTGATCAAAAACTCTGTAACTTTTAAAATAATCGCAAAATTTGTCAACTTCCTTAACTTTTGTGGAGCAGTTTATTTATATGAAGTTTTTATCTTAAAATGGATATAAGAATCACCCCCTTAAATATTAGCATGTCATTAAGGAGCACTCTTTATAGCTATATAGTCTTATATCGTAAATTATTAAAAAATAGCTTTTGCATGAAGATCATTTTTTATGAATATGTTATTGGATAAAAGATTAATATATTTATGCAAAAATTAGGATGTGAATTGAAACGCATATAATATAATTCCAGTTTTGTATTTAAACAAATGAGAAATTGATATACCAGAAATATTATACAGTACAATTTTACATGGAGATAGTGATAGATTTGCGAAAATTGAGCAGAAATTTATATTTTGACGATTTACTTTTTGGAATATTAAGTCGGCGTTAAATGTACTCAATAGAACATATCGATCAAATCAAACCGTATGATATACATTTGGTGGTTCGTCCCCACTTTTTAAGCATTTAATTTCTATTGATATGTTAAAAAACTATAACTAATTACCACACATTTTTTTTCTACGAGGTGGTCGTATTTAAATCGTTTAAAGTAAATTTCTGTTCGTACAGCCGGTTTTTTAAATAAACAGCTTGAAATAAAAAAAATACATTTACATTCTATGTACACATATTTCTAATTATTAATTAAGATTTGATTTTACACCTACTGTTTTCTTGATACTTATTTTATTCAGAACTAAATAGTTAAGTAGTAATATCTTTGGTATTAATGTCCTGTTATTACAATGACAAAATTATTGTAAAACTTGATCTATTTTGTACAAATCTGTTATTAAGGGCAAAAATAATAACGTTTGGAGTAAAAACGATGTAAAATCAATCTTGCAATTTCCTATCTAAAAGGAACTGGACACCATTTCAAGTTACTAATTCATATTACGTTATATACACATATAAGACAAATTAATAAATTATTAAGGGTTCACAAAAAGGTTATAGAAACATTCAATTAGATATACACTCATTGATAATGTAATAATCCTTGAATTTATTAGATTGATACAAGCACAGATTAAAAGTAATCTGATGATATGGTATGAAAACCTAGCATTTGTGTTATTAAATAAAAAAGAAATATAATAGGGATTTTTTGGTAGTTGTGATATATTACCAAAACAGAATTTCCAAAAAAAAGTCCTAAATTTATATTGCAAATGTTGCCCAGTTTCATTAATTTTATAAACTCAAACTAAGTACTATCCAGGACCGGCGTGGATATACTAAGCGTTTCGGAGCGAAATTAATACTAATCGAAACATTATTGTAACTTTTTATTGCATATCATTTAGTTAACCATTTCGCGATACAAATTACGATGACTTCCACTGTATAGAAAACGATTCATCATTGTTATCTCCTTTTGGAATAACTTTAGTTTTTTATACGTAACACTTGAACACCGTAATTTGTATGGAGGTTGCTTCTTGCCATTTTCCAAGTCAGGTCCTGGTTCTATCACAACTATGCGAATGTATTTGGCAACTTTATGGCAGAAGTAATAAAAAATCATAGAGACGATTCGAAAAATGTGTTATGTGCGTTTGCCAAAACCAAAACGGTACATGTATGGATCATTACGAAAAAACAGATTTGAAATTTTATAGAAACCAAATTTAATTATTAATTTAAAAAAGTTAAAAATTAGTGGTACAAAAAATACTTGCTTCTGTTGCATATTTTATGGTGACAAGTTGTTTCAAAAATGATCCAAGTACGCTTAATTTTACAGGGTAATCCAAATTTCCACTAGAGAAAAAATCTACGGTATGCAAGAAAAATTTAGCATCTTTATTGCGCGAGAAATTAAATCGATAAGGGTTTAAATAATTTTTTATAACAAAATCGTATTAGCATGAATTGAAAAAAAAAAGAATTCAACTTACCTCAGCGGCTTTCTTTCATATTTAAAGAATTGGAGTATCCTGTATGTTTGGCAATTTATTAAAATGAAAAAATGCTTTAGAAAACTCTATACGTCGAAAAAATGGCGATAAATACAATTATTAGCCATTTCTAATATTTCCGAAATTAGCTAGATGTACCTAATTATTATGAAAACGTATTGACCTACTATTTATACATTGATATATGATTTTTTATTTTAGGTAGTGATATGGAATTTAATATTTGCAGTAAAGGTAGATTACAATAGCGCTTAACGAGAATAATTTACAATATTGCTTATTTTACATTACTATGTGAGCGTAAAATTGATAGCACAACAGTGACGTATTGTACTTTCATGAATTAACACAGACATAACCATTTTAATGGCAAATTTAAATCGTAATATATTGATAATAAAATTCTAAAATAATTAACATTAAAATCCTAAAAATGTCGCAACCTTATACGCGACAATGTAATTCGATTATATGAAAAATTTATTAATAAAATAAATATTTAAAATATTATTGTTGCAAGCTCCAACAAAAATAAAAAAAACTTATAAATATAACGCCACTGTTATACAAATGAGTATATTTTCTTTTACATTGTATACTTGTATTAGACTTTTCCTACGCAAACATAGTATGTGATATGCTAATTTTAAATCTATCTGTGCGATAGCCACTGGACGAATTTTCAAAATACTGTTTATTTTGGTTTTTGAATCCTGATGATTCAAAAGATTGAGTATATTTAAATTACCTGTAATACTGCAATGATAAACTAAAATGATTGTATTGGTATTAGGTATTTGTTACTCAGAAGTTTAGCAGGGGACAATTTTTAAAAAGTAGGGTTATTTGTTAATAAATATTATTTAAATATACTTTTTTACTATGCTTGTTGACGAGTGAATTCAGTAATCAATGGCTGGTAATATTATTATTAACCCAAACCCATAACTCGTCGATTTTATCTACTGTCGTGGCATTTCGGGAACATTTCTAACTGTTTGTGGTACCTAATTTGTTTAATGTTATAAAAAATATCAACATAAAGTACTATTCATAAAAAGCACGACATTTAGGTACAGTTCAAGAAATGCTTCATCTACATTAAAATTATTTTTGATTATAATTCCTATAACATAACACAGTATGTTACTTTTTTTATTTAAATGGGTTCCTTTAGATTTTTGTCCGTAATACGTAGTATTGTTTCAGTTTTTGAAAATTCGTTCAAAATTTAGAGAATATCATTTTTTGAAATAACAATACTAAGTTAATAATCTTTGGCTTAGCCAAAAAAAGTCTACCGCGTAACAAATAACCCTGTATTAATAAAGAAATTAAGATCTTTTTTTTTGATGATACAACACGCGACAATTTTGTCTAAATAATAACAGTACCCATAACATGACGCTATCAACCATTTGAACATATTTTCTATATGTACACGCACGCACACAAAAATATACAAGTTAAGCCATTCTTCAATTCTTCACCAATAATACACAGGATGAACACTTTTTCATTAAACACTTCTTCCGTGGAATCGTTAATATATCCGATCATTCCACACTACATACCAATTTTTTGATAGCTTAAGTACTTAATAATTAGTGAATTCTTTTCGAAATAAAAATCTTCCGCAGTCTTCCAAACAATTTCGTGTGATAGACAATCATAGTGTGTATTGAAAAAGCAGTCACACTGAGCACCACGAAGTTCTCCAATTTTCAATTAAAACAAAAAAGAGTCAAGGATTCGAGAGTGAATTGAACACTTTTTTATCACTTGCGTCAATAACGTTCGACTCCGTGTGATCTGACGCCATTGTGAGATCCTCAGCTACATTGTCCGACTGGTCTTGATCTAGATCTTCGTACTCCGATAGCATTTCGCGTTTGACCGCGTGATGCTGCATGTCTTGGTCGCGATCACGATCAGTTCGCATATGATGGTCTTGAATTAGTTCTTGCTTTACATGCAAACCACCATTCATTGGTGACCTGAATGATCATTGTAAACGTCGATTTTAGCAAGCATATGTCCCTATACATATACAAGATGTTTCTTACCTTATTAAATGGTCGTGTGGAGGTGATTCCGACCTATCTCTCGTTCTGCTGGCCAACAGCGAAGAATTCGTTAAAAATGATAGGTTATTCTCCTCCATCAGCGATGCCTGCATAAACTTTTTTTATAAGTTACAGCATGATGTCGGTTTATACATAATTCGCTATCTTACCTGAACATTGGCAGGTATGTGATCTCCGTACAAAGTTGGACTGTGGTTCATCGTCGGGCTTTTTGACGTAGCACCCCTGTAGATACACGATAATTATAAGTAATCCGTTAATTCGTTGCTAATTTAGAGAACATTTAGATATAGATTAAAAACATCAAGATGAACAAGAAAGCCAAAAATTTAAAAAGAACTTGAAAAAATGACGTACCCCGTGTTATCGGTCCAGGTTGTGCAAATGAGTGAGCAATGATAACGTTTTCGAAACGGAATAAATCTCGTAAATATTTTACGGATGGGGTTTATTCCGCTTCAATAACTAACAAGCGTAAGAGAAAAATACTAATCAAGTCGTTCCTGTATTTTCAAATATACCTAATTGAAGCTGTCCATTGGGCGTGACTGACTGACTGACCGTGTGATAATTAAAAAAATTAAAAATATGAGAAAATAGTGAATACAGGAACTTCTACTGTGAGATATAAGAAAAAACATGCCACATCGAGAGATTTAAAAAATATTAAAAAAGATATGAAAAATGTAATGAAACGAATACACACTATTCCACCTACATCACATTAAATATCCAATATAATTTGTTGCATTCATTTCATTATAAATTAGCTAATAAATCAATTATAGAAATTAAGTAGGTAATATCAAAAATTAGTTTTGGTTATTATCCTTTTACCTTGTTCATACATACTTATCTGTGATCAATAAATTTGTGCTGAGGGGACGTAAGAGATTCACATTCATCCAAAGCATGCACAAATGTTCGTGTACCAATTTTTTAATTATTATTACAACAAGCAAAGACAACTTTTCGCAAGCATTTGAAGCATCCAAACAAAAACCGGCGTTTAACATCTTTTTTTTGAATAAACTCCCAATCGGCTGCATACTTGAAATTCAGTCGAAACACGGTTACAGCAAGTTTTAATAACGGCAAAAAAAGAGCGCAACGGGCGATATCAGCTCATCAAGTAACTCAATCTGTAGGCGAGCAGAAGCAGGAACTGTCGATATAAAAATGTAAACCTTCGTTCCCGTGAAATTTGATTAAAAAAATGATACACGTACATAGTAATACGCTAAACCAAACATTCCATGAAGCCAGCTGCTTTCTATGTTGTTTTTCCTATGATCTAATATTGCTTTAGCACACTCGCATGGCTATACAGAGTGACCCTTCAAAATGTTTTTACTACATATTGACTACTCTGTTAATATAGTTTATTATATTATTTTATGTACTAATAGAAAGAGGTACCTACAATTTGATACACGCGAGTTAAATATCCATCCTTTATTTTTAATTATTTTTTTTATTATCTTCGATTATATCTTTTATCGTAGATAAAGCATGTTTATTAAAATTGATCCTTTAAATAACAATAAAAATACATCGTCGGGTCACCCTGTAACTATCGTGCATAAAAGGATTGCATTATATAGGTGGGTAGCCGAGGACAGGTGTCATATGTCTACATTTTAGCAATTTCCTCGGTGTCTGTTTATTTTTTGGCGGCGCGAATTAATAGTTTTTTTCCGTTTCCACCGTTTACCGGTTTAGGAGGATATACGCGTCCCGACGCAGAGTTCAATGCATTGTTTGCCGCTGCATCGCATGCTACTGCTATGCAGAACAAACATGTGTACCCATGTGCGATGCGCTTAAAGTGTTATTCCCCGTAGGGTTAGCAGCGATTCTCAACCTCCGGGGCCGACAAGTGGTGATAAATGTGTATACAAACAGAACTTTTGGAAAACATAAAACGGGTACTGTACACGTAGAAAAAAATAAAACTGCGATGTCGAGAATTGGTAGTAAAGTTGAAGTGAGTTTTAAAAGCAAGAAAAACTGATGCTTCGAAGTATTCTGTGAATTTTTTTTTGTTTTCTCTAATAAATATTTCTAGGAAAGTTAGGTTTAAACTGGAACTGGAAAAATCTAGTAAAAAAACGTTAGAAAAAAGTAAAATGAATTGCACGATTAACCTATAGATTATTTGAACAAAAAACATATACCTATTTGACAAAATAGCAGAAAGTTTTCTTTTTCGATTTTCTGACGATCCTTTTTGTTTGCAGTTGGAATATCATGCAGGAATGTTGCAAGCAGAAGCAGAATGTTTGGTGATGTGTCTGTGTCTGACTTCGGGCTTCTAATGTTTCAATTATCTAACGAGCAACTAATCAAATAAAGGTAAGTCTAATTAAATTTATAAAACGTGTTTTTTGGAGCTACATTGAATTTATGTATGTTGAATTTGATATTAGTGTCCTCATCTTTTTAAGCAAACGTAAAAATTGAATGCCTTTTTTAATTTAGAAGTTAGGAAATGAAAACAGACGAATTGTTTTTAGTAAAAATGAAAATTCCCATAGTGAAATTATTTACGAACAAAACGTTGAAGTATCGATGAGAAAAAAAAATTGCCAAAAAAGACGAGTAATGTGGTAGTAATTAAAAAAAAAGCAGCTAAGCGGGAGCTAAGCTGAGCTTGAACTAGAGCCGAGCAGACAGCAGCACACGACGGCAGGTACGGTACTCTGCGCCGCCTCTCACTCAAGAGAAACGACGCCTTTTGAAATGGTGCTTACTGTGCGCAGTGGGGTGGAGTGGGTGATGGGGTTGGGTCATATTTCCGCGGCCGACCACGCGACAGGTGGCGGCGCTTCACGAATTCCGCGTCGTCCACCATCCAGAAAGACCCAAAGTCGTCTTCGTAGCGCACAAAACACTTGTGGAGTGACAGATTGGTGCGAATCGCATTCTACAAACGCAGACCCAAGAAAGAGAAAGATAACAATCAAGTAAGGCAAAGGTATAAGTTTTTGGGCGACACCTGGTGCTTATACTAGTTAAACTACCTTCGAAGATAACGGGCGCAAATTACTGCTAGAATTGCGACAGCCCTTGCGCCTGGATGGTCTCCTGTTAGTCGCCCAAGCCAGCGGCCCAACGACATGCGGTTACTGAACCGGCTACACACTCCCGCATTCACACCACACAAGCCAACGCACTTGGTTAATTCATAATAAAAAAGAGATAAGCTAATCTTCGTGTATTGGAAATCAAACCGTACATCGAATTACCTACTTCATATTAGTATAAAGAAACATACCATAATGGAGTTAATTCGATTACTGATGTAATGAATGTTAATTATTTAAATTCGAAGCGTAACGAAGAGTAGCTTAAATAAAATGTATATATAAAAAGATGTAAAAAAGAGATTAGAAAAAAGATATATAAAAAATCACAAAACACACAATGTACAAAGGTAAAAATGATGGACCCTGGTGACGTACCCGACGACTGGTTGGGCCAACGGACCCGAGGAACATCGTTGGGGCCTCCTCTTGTAGAATTCAACTTCGTCCACTGTCCAAACTGCCCCTTTAACGTTCTCCACGCGCATGAAACATTTGTGAAGAGATAGGTTGTGTCGTACTGCGTTCTAACAACAAATTAAACACCGCCAAATAAACAATGGCGCTACAAACAACGCCATTTAAACAACGCCTAATATAGCCCCGTAAATCAAATTCTATTTATACACAATAATTATAAAATATAAAAGAGCGAATTCAAATTAATTTTGTCTCCGACAAAATTCATGCGTGGAAAATCAAAAGGTAATACAAAATATAAGTCTAGGATTTTTTTCCATTATTCGATTAATGCTGTAATAACATTAAATCAAAATAATAAATATTGACAAAAGTATTGTTTGAATCAATGTTTTCATTTGATTTGTAAGGCTATATTTAAAGTAAATAACTAAACAAAATAAATATACTCTATTATGATTAAAAAGTTATGAATTAAATAAAAGCATGATGAGATAAATTTAAAGTTAAATAAATTTCATGAATGATAAAATTAAAATATCGACTCATGCAAGCTACAAGCGTTTGTAAATTGACCCTGAAAATGTATAAAATACAATAAAACAGTTTACCAAATTTAGATATATCAACCACCGCTCATCGCTTTAAAAAAATTTCATTGATATATTAATTGTCGTTTTCAAATGAAAAAAACCTATATTATTATATTAAGTAATCTTATAATTTATAAATAAACTAAATGTGATTCAAGAAAATTTTTATCTAACGTATTTAAAATACGAAAGTTTAATTGAAAAAGTTTGTAGACATGTTTTTTATTTTCAATTTTCTTGAACCAAACCTAATCTTAACAATGTCGATTGATATAATAGAAGTAATAATCGATTGCTTACCAATAAAATAGTATTTATATAAATTATAATAATTGGCACAATACCTTCCAAGTAGCTGCATTTCTCCTAAAATAGCAAAATGTATTTTGGAACCAATTGTATATTTCGTTGAGGGTGAGCTGTTTATCAGGAGATTCGATTATAGACTGAAATAGTACGAAATGTTTAATTTTGATAATCAAATTCGTTCACGAATTTACCTGTCTAATAAGGGAAGCGTATGTGAATGGAGGCCTAACGTCAGCGTTCTTGTAAAATTCCCTATTTCTTTGTATTTCTGAAAAAACAGTATCTTTTTTTTGATAATCGCATTTCATTATCCCGGTAAAAATTAAGTAAAAACAAAGGAAGTACTTTTATAAATCATTAAACCCCAACATGAATTCAAAATATCGACAAAAAATATTTATAAAAGTCATTCGCTGATCAAAATACCTTGTTGAACATCTAATCCAGCTCGTTCTAACATATACGGTAAACCTAATAAGCAGCATGGAAAGAGAAAACAATGACAACTTTTAACTTACTAATTCAATTAGTTTCGGACGATTATTTCGACTTTTAAACTATATCATCGTATGAATTTCAAATTTTTAAAAACTCACCCCCAGCCAATGACAACGCAGATTTATCGCTGAGCCTCCGTCGGATGGGCCCCGCAACGTTGGGCGCCGGCGAATGTAACACGGGCGATCTCACCGCCGACACCATCGGTCCTATCGATACGGGTGGTTGAGGTAGAGCTGCACTGACCGCGATCTTGACTGCATTCGAATCCTTATGGGAGTCCGGGGAGCCCATCTGCTTGGACAGATGCAAATGGTGCATCATCGCCTGGAGTCGATCTCGTTCCTTTTGCAATTGTAATTCTAATTGCGATACTACTTGCATTTGTACGCGCGCTTGAGCCGTCGAACGGTCGTCGAGGGTGTGTTCGGTATTTAAATGCCTGCAAGTGAATTGCTTAAGGGTTACATAAGAGCTACGTTTTGTTAATTAGCAATTTTTCCTTGCTATGAAATTTTTGATTGTTTATTTATAAGAGAATTCTGATGATTCGACTTTTTACTGCGGTATATTCTTATTGGTAATTTGTGCCACCCCGTAGAATATTTATAGCTAAGATATAACAAAACAAAACATAAAATTCATTGATGTAAACCTATAAATTTCCAATTTATTGTCGAACTATTCGAAAACAGTGCAAAAGCGAGAAACTTAACTGTCGTTTATTCAAAACTTTTCTGTTTATGTCTTGAACGCAACAGTCGTAAAATTGGAATAATTACTTTGTTTTTATTTTATTGTCGCGAATTTGTTTTCAGTAAAACAAAGGGAATTGATCGTTCTGAAGCGATAATCGAATATTGATATTTTTATACCAAAAAACATTTTATTTGGAAAAATATTTAATGAAAAAAAATTTACCTAAGTATGCAAAACTGATGAATGATGACCTATGTATTTTTAATATAGAACTTTATTAATTACGTTGATGGTGCCGGCATCATAATTTGTGTCAAAGTCAACATTCATTTTGGCTTTTTTCTAAACTAATTAAAACCTGAATGAAAGAGGATTTAACCGAAACATCAAATTACAATATTTTGTCATCCTCGTCTTTTAAGTTACAAAAGAAAAAGCCAACCTGGCATAAATTAAAGAAGACATCGCGGTTAAAAAACTCTAATTACGCCATGTTTAATTAATATGCAAGGCGTTTGATCACCACGTTGCCGGATTCAATGTTAATCTCCCAAGGAGTCTACTTCCTCCCCACGAAAAAGGTCCCTTTTGTTTTGTACAGGGTGGTTGGCGGGCCGCGATAAAATCTAGAGTTGCGAGCGAAATGTTTTATTTATGAAATTAGGAGAGGTGACGCCGGAGATACGGAAGACATTTTTAAACGATAAAACTTCGTAATAAGGACTTAAATGAAGATAATGTAGATACTTTTCTTTGCAATTCCGTTGGATTTATAGTATTATACGAGTACATAAATAATAGTTTCCGATCATTTATTATAAATAGGTAAATAATTGAAAACTTACTTTATAAATGCTTCTAAATTTTCACAGGGACTTTCACAACCTGGCCATTTACAAACACCGTGACCATAAAGGTGATGCACCCTATCCGGGGTCGCGGGCCTATCGGACTTATCGTCCATCGGTTCATCCCTACTCGATCTGCTAGGTGGAATTCCTAATAACCCAGGCGAATTATCTGGAACAATGAGCAAGGAACGATGCGCGATTAAAAATAGTCAACTTAATTTCTGTACGCCGCTCACCATTTAATTCCGGTGGAGGTTTATTTTCCGCGTGCGGATCGCCTACGTCTTTCCATGGACTCATCACATCTCTTGTGTTAAGAGCTAAACGAAAAAAAAAAGAAATATTCTGAAATAAGCTACTTGTATGGAAGCAAAAAAATAGGAAATTATGAAGAAGTTTCATAATTGGTGGTGCTGTCACGACACTGGTACGTGCGATTAAAACCGTTGGGCAACCGGCCGGCTGTTTCAAGCGTTTTGGTTCGGTGGAAAGTATGCGGGATAACGAAAGGGAAAAATGAAGATTCGCAAGGAAAGGCAAGTGCCAATAGTTTTAACCGCACGTGAACCATCCGTCTCGTGTAAAGGGCCGGCTATAGGCACTCGCCTTGGGCACCATTGACAAGGGAAGACCAAGACGAGGATATATTTCGCCACAACGTTTCTTCAATACGGAATTTTATATTATTAGTCTCCTAAAACGTCATATTTCCATTAATTGCAAAAACAATCATGCGTTGCTATATTTCACAATAAATAAAAAATATAGGTGTACATTTGAATCTATAAATCGAAATACTACTTTAATTTGATACAAACGGCGCATCATGCGGGACCATTAGTAACATCAGAGTTGATAATTAATTGCCAGATAATTTTTTCACTTTCCAGCGTTTTTTAACAGTGTACATACCTACTCAAAGAAACGTTGTTTGGTCGATAAATAATTTCTTTTGTCATTAATTTCGCTTACTATTTTAAACTTATTTAATACAATCTCTAATTATCGCAAAACCTAGTAAAAAATGAATAAAATGACAAAAGAAATGATGGCATTGTAGCTGAAGGATATAGTATGGGAGGTACGGGTTTAAGACGGGAATGGAAAATACGTACCAAAACGCTGGAAACGCACCAGTACCAGACGAATCTTCGTATAAAATAATTTTCATTTCAAATAATTGAAATAATTTCAAATAATTGACAGTTACAAAGTTAAGATAAAGTATGCAATTTTTAGTATCGTTTAAATTTGATATCTGTATGCAATTGAAATAATATGAAATTACAATTAATGCAGCGCTTTCTTCTTGAGGCCATCTTCCAACATATTTCCCTATGTCTTCTTCTTTCTTTCTTTCACTTTTTGGCACTACTGTATTTATGACTAAAAATATTATTTGCTGTTTTATTCGAAAAAAGAAAACAGTTTATCTTCTTAACAAATTGATTGATGAGACGAAACACTTTATTCTTGAAGAAAACACAATTATGAGTGTTTCTTACTCACCTTGATTTTGTGGAAGTATTAACGGCTGCATACCCATTCCTTGATGAACAACATATTGTCTCTGAACGAGCTGCAGTTGTTGAATCAGTTGCTGCTGTTGAAGAGCTAGTTGCTGTATTGAGCCTGATGCCTTCTTCTTATCTGGATTTTGTAAGATATGTGTTTGTTGGATGAGATTCAGTTGAAGTTGTTCTTGTAGCTGTTGCATTGTTTGTTCTATTTGTTTTTTACCTAACTCTGCTAATTGATGTTGCTGAAACAAATGAAACAAATTGAGCACATTCTAATGGAAAGGTGCGTGGTAGATTAATTTACCTGGTGCTGTTGTTGCTGTTGCTGTAATATCGAATGTTGCTTCATTAGAGTCTGTAGCTGCGTGGGACTGAGTACATGTTGCTGAAGTAGCTGCTGCATATGGTGAAGATTTGATGTGGGTGAAGACATTAATGGTGGTCCAGATGTTTGTGATTGGATATAAGTGTAGTCGTTTGGTATTTTCGTTGCATCATTCTGAAATGCAAGATTCTACCAAGTCTATAGGGAAGAAATTTTTTTGCGAAAGCTCACTTGTATTGGTGGAATCGTTGCCGATAGATTTTTCTGCGGGTCGGACGTAGGTGGAGGAGACTGTTCCTGCGTCCTATGATCAGACATCGGACTTGAGCTGCCATTTCCTTTTATATCCCTTTCCCTCTCCTGATCCCAACTTCGATCCAGTTCTAATTGCTGTTGTTGTTCCTTTAATACTTTTTCTAGCGAAGCGGCTTGCTGTAACAATGAGAAAATACATTTTTAAAGTCAAATATAAATTCGCCTCCGCCCATGTAAAAAGCAGCTCGTGCATGATATAAATATGATTGATTCTCGGAGCGCTCGCTGTGTACAAGACCCCGCATTATAATCGAGGAAGCCATGCATCTTAGAGCAATAGTTTCTTCATAATACCTGTATACCTTCCTCAGATATATGGCCATTCGCAAAAATAATCTTGATGTAGTGTCTTCACCAGCGTCGTTTTATCTTTTTTTATTTTCTTTCATTTGAATATAGTCACGAAAAGCGGGAAATGTTTGCATATAAAAATGCGTTATGAGATGAGGGAGCAAAATAAAAAAATGGAAATGTAATAACCGCGACTTTTAATTAACAAGAATATGTACCTACTCTATATTTTATTCTGATAAATGCCTAATTATTATGTTAGGAAAATAAAACTTATAAAATTATTAAAATATTTCGCATTACGACATATTCCAACGAAAACAAATTTATTTCAACCATCCAATCCGTATAAAAAATAGGAGCCAATATTAATTAACAAAAAAATGAAAAATACAATTCCTTTTCATGAAAATATATCGAAAAAGATAACAATTCAAATTATATTAAGCATAATTAATATTAAAGGATCAAAATACAATATTTTACGTACACATAGTGGTTAGGTACACACAAAAAATATTACGAAATAAACGAAAGTGAAAAAAGAAATCCATTCGGTGTGTCCATTAATGTTTTAATCATAAAAATGTAAATTAAAATTGAAGACAAATTCGGCAATTGTATAAAAGTTGTGCATATTTATCAGTGGACTAAAATAGGAAGGGTCGGTCCGCCGAAATGTTTATTCAAAAGTTGAATACTTTGAAAATTTAAATTAAACGATGACAGATGAGGACGCCGTATTTTTCAATTCGGGGATATTCCTTCGACCGATGCGAAAGAATACTTTAAAAGCGCGAATTTGCATTCACAATATTAACAGTTGACTTTTTCGGTTTTCATTTGATGAATTAGTTATTTCGGTTTGATTCCAAGTGGAAGGCTGAATTAACATTTTATTGCGAACCATTAATTGACTTTATTCAGCATTCCGATGTTTCTGATTCATGCCATCACCAGCACAGACGCACTACCCTTTAATTAAATTTCTTCTAAACCTAGACTCGAGGAGAAATCGCCGGAATTTTTCTCGTGCAATTTAAAAATTGTTTCAAAAACCAACGATTTATTATTAAGGAAAAAGTTTCAAATAATATATTAATATATAAATAATAATTATTGGCTACATGGGAATATTTATCTCGCTGTTTACGCCAATATCTTTCGCCGTTATCGAGCGTATTCCTTTTTGATACAATTCGATGTAACGTAAAAATATCTTCGATTTGGTATGTTTGTTTTGCATGAAATTAATGCCGCTGTATGCTTTGGGAGATTTTATCAACAAATGGGGTAAAACCAGTACACAAACGTACAACATGCGCTCCGCATTTGTAAAACAATGTCTTTGTTTACTGTGTATCACTCTACATTCGTTATAAGATTGAAATAACAAAATTTACAGAGGAATTTACATTTATAAATCGAATTTGAACACGAAGACGTCGTAAATTAGTATAAAAGGATGGATAGATCGAATTATTCCTTTAATCTCTAATTTAATGATTGAATATCCAAATAACAACCCACATTTTCTGTTTATATTGTATTCCTTATTACATGTTTAGCATGATTATGTAATAAATAAAATTTCGGGGTTAGTCAGCCAAAATAGGAAAATAAATTAAAGACGTACGCTGGCGTCCTGCCATAGTATCAACATCAACGAAACTCACCTCAGCATTGATATTCACTGCGAAACGTGGTGCAGAAACTTAAAAAAATCTCCTTAGCCCTGATCACATATTTCATATGCAGGGAGCTGTTTTGCTAGCTAGAGCAATATTATTTCCATATTTTTCACATAATGCCGCTCTGTATATGGGTTTTATTTCATGTGACATCATGGTAATGCATTTTAACGTCTTATCATTCATTGCGGCGTCTTCACAACTCTTTACGAAAACGAGCTTCCCGGTAAATATTTGTTAAGGGCGATTTTTCACAATTTATAGCAATAGTTGCATAACAATTGCAGTGGCGTGCATTATTTTCGAGTCATTTAACAGGAGATGATCGCATTTATCAGATTCTTTTATGCTTATTTTCGAAATGTAAAAAAATATTAGACTGTTTGTTGAATCTTTGAGTCTTTTTTGTTGGAGATTATCATATAAAATGTTCGTCATTATTTTGAGGGTAAGTTTGGAGTAGGTATAATATTTTCATTATTTTAGTGTAGTACCAGTTTTCACAAGTTTTTTAATAGCAATATTTGTGGTATTTACATTGAATATGAAAAGTAAAATTTGCTGAATTTACTGTATGAAATTTCATCATTCTTTAAATGTCATTGGTTTATATGTTTTGCTTTAAGGGATTCTGATTAGTTTCTACTACTAACCTAATGGGTACATGATTCGTGTGAATAACTGATTTCTTATTGGTATATTATAGGTAATTTAATTACTTACAACAGATTGATCCATAGTTTTGATTCCTTCAGTAGGCTTTGTACAATATAAAAATTTAACTAAATTGCTTCTTGAATACATTTTATTATTAATATTGTTATCATTTAGGTCACAAAATGCATTAAGAAAATTTTGAAGATTGTCTGTGCCGACGTGCAAAATTTATACTGAAATACATGCGTTATAATAATATAATGTTAATAATAGGTTATATTAAAATATGTTTGAATTGTATAAACTAAATTCCAAATTAAATCAATATATTATAGAAAACAAGACGAGAATATTTCTACTATTTTATATTTGTTTATTACAAGTGTAGTATGACTGTAAAATTGAGAATTTATACAATTTATCTTCATCATTTATTTACACCTGTTAATCAGATTTCATATTTTTTACATTATTTACATCATAAGAAGACTTTAGAAAAATATTTTATCAAAACAACTTATGGCATTTCGAGTATTCGTCGTGGATTATGTAAAAAAAACACAAGATACGTTTATAATATTTTTAGATATATAATTTTTATAGATAACACAATATTCTCAGCTTCATACCAATCATAGTTTCATATAAAGACCAATTTAAAAATAATTAAATAATTTATTAGAGTATTTTATAGTAAACTTTAAAAAATGGTGGTTTAGATTTTTTCGCCAAAATTTAGAAAAGTTTGTTTTTATAACAACTATTTTCGTTATAAAATATGAAATAGATATTTGGGATTTTAAGCATAAATATTAAAACAACCTTACTTCTATCATAACAAATCTTAGTCTAATTTAAGGATTAAAATATAAATAATAACAGGCTATCCATTTTACCTTAATTAGGACCATAAAATAGGATACCGATAGGAATCTTTAATTGTTTAAATAAAATAATGGGTACCTACCATAATTTGCACATGTTTGTTGAAGCTTGCAATTATCAGTAACGTTTGATTTCACCTATCTAAAATACACCCTCAGTGTTTCTAAACGTTCCCTAAGCAAACATCTTGAGAAATAATTTAATTTCTCTCGAGATATTTGGTATTGACAGATGACCCCTCAGGCAATGTGGACATATAAGGATTGCCAATAATAAACATATAAACAACCTCGTGAGGGTCTAGAAATTGTTAGTAAATCGTACGTCAAATAGGTCTAAGGAAATCCGATATTGCGCTCTGTCTCCTCTAATTTCTCGGTTTGCAATGTCAATTTATTTTACAATTTTGTTAGTTTGTTGATTTTGGTGCGCCTATTGACGTGCCTACAAAGTTCCCTGTGAGAAAATTAGTGAAACTATTTGTTATGTATTAACTATAATAGATGCTTATTCGTAATAATTTACGTAATAATTTTATATTTAGTGTTGTTTGAGACGTAAATATTTTTTAATAATCTTTCTCCTGAGTAACAAAGTCTACCATTTGCAACAAACTCAATTTATTCTTAACCAAGAAATTCTCATCCCACTAACGTGTTAATTAGGTAAAAAGAGAGAGAGAGTGAGAAGAAATAAAGCGAATACATGCAGACTCAAAGCAGTATTGTCTATGAAAACGAGATTCCCACTGTGTATAATATAATAACCCCCCTTCCGATTTAGATTACAAACAGAAAGGGACTACTGTATTCTGTTTTCGTCGTATTAATGATTCAATATCAATTAGCGGTGTTCTGAATTATATAAAGCCAATCTTAGCCTTGAAAAGAATAATTGCAGTCTTATGAAAATTCTATTTGTTTTCTGGAAAATTGGAACGAGCCGTAATTATTCTTCGCTCTTTTGGAAGAAATATTGCGTCGGGTCCGAGAGTGAGGAGAGGGATGCAAATTGTTTAATAAAATTTCGATGAACTTGATTTATCAGGCAATTCAATTCTTTCATTATAAACGATTTCATAAAATAGTACAGGTACATTTAAAGAATTTTTCGGCACAAAAATATTCACGAAATTTATCGATCGCAATCAGCAAGTAAAATTTTTCCAGTAGCCCTTACTAATTTTGCGCGAGTCGCACAACGGTGTTTGTTCTGCAAAAATAACACCGTCTACAGAATTGGAGTTATTTTGGCACTCGAGTTCCCCTTCGAATACTCGTAATCTCTCACCCTCTCTCTATGAAACCAATAAACAAACAACAACCCCTCCGAATGTGAAATACTTTTAATATTTCGGATAACGAAATTGTCTTTCGATGTTAGGTCCATGCACGATCAATTTTTTGCAAGATGGTGACGATTGAATCTAAAAAACGTGTACAGAGTGACTCAGAACTTCAACAGATGTAATATAAGAGTAAATAAACAGGGAAGGGTAGCTTGATTATACACAATGTAGCTCTGCAATAGCATGCTTACTATGCTTGTAATTGAACATTTTCAATTAAATTTATGAACGATTTTTGAAATATT